GTTCGTAGCAAGTTCGTTCTGAAATGGAGTAGTTGGTGTATTGCATAGTTTTAGCCATTGGATTTCACTCCAAAACCAACCAAATGACTCCTCCCACCATATTATGTTGTTCCCCAAGTTTTGGACTCAATCCGATATCGATTGGTCCATGAAATCGGACTATTCAGGTTCGTAGCAAGTTCGTTCTGAAATGGAGTGGTTGGTGTATTGCATAGTTTTAGCCATTGGATTTCACTCCAAAACCAACCAAATGACTCCTCCCACCATATTATGTTGTTCCCCAAGTTTTGGACTCAATCCGATATCGATTGGTCCATGAAATCGGACTATTCAGGTTCGTAGCAAGTTCGTTCTGAAATGGAGTGGTTGGTGTATTGCATAGTTTTAGCCATTGGATTTCACTCAAACCAACCAAATGACTCCTCCCACCATATTATGTTGTTCCCCAAGTTTTGGACTCAATCCGATATCGATTGGTCCATGAAATCGGACTATTCAGGTTCGTAGCAAGTTCGTTCTGAAATGGAGTAGTTGGTGTATTGCATAGTTTTAGCCATTGGATTTCACTCCAAAACCAACCAAATGACTCCTCCCACCATATTATGTTGTTCCCCAAGTTTTGGACTCAATCCGATATCGATTGGTCCATGAAATCGGACTATTCAGGTTCGTAGCAAGTTCGTTCTGAAATGGAGTGGTTGGTGTATTGCATAGTTTTAGCCATTGGATTTCACTCCAAACCAACCAAATGACTCCTCCCACCATATTATGTTGTTCCCCAAGTTTTGGACTCAATCCGATATCGATTGGTCCATGAAATCGGACTATTCAGGTTCGTAGCAAGTTCGTTCTGAAATGGAGTAGTTGGTGTATTGCATAGTTTTAGCCATTGGATTTCACTCAAACCAACCAAATGACTCCTCCCACCATATTATGTTGTTCCCCAAGTTTTGGACTCAATCCGATATCGATTGGTCCATGAAATCGGACTATTCAGGTTCGTAGCAAGTTCGTTCTGAAATGGAGTGGTTGGTGTATTGCATAGTTTTAGCCATTGGATTTCACTCCAAACCAACCAAATGACTCCTCCCACCATATTATGTTGTTCCCCAAGTTTTGGACTCAATCCGATATCGATTGGTCCATGAAATCGGACTATTCAGGTTCGTAGCAAGTTCGTTCTGAAATGGAGTGGTTGGTGTATTGCATAGTTTTAGCCATTGGATTTCACTCCAAACCAACCAAATGACTCCTCCCACCATATTATGTTGTTCCCCAAGTTTTGGACTCAATCCGATATCGATTGGTCCATGAAATCGGACTATTCAGGTTCGTAGCAAGTTCGTTCTGAAATGGAGTGGTTGGTGTATTGCATAGTTTTAGCCATTGGATTTCACTCCAAAACCAACCAAATGACTCCTCCCACCATATTATGTTGTTCCCCAAGTTTTGGACTCAATCCGATATCGATTGGTCCATGAAATCGGACTATTCAGGTTCGTAGCAAGTTCGTTCTGAAATGGAGTAGTTGGTGTATTGCATAGTTTTAGCCATTGGATTTCACTCCAAACCAACCAAATGACTCCTCCCACCATATTATGTTGTTCCCCAAGTTTTGGACTCAATCCGATATCGATTGGTCCATGAAATCGGACTATTCAGGTTCGTAGCAAGTTCGTTCTGAAATGGAGTGGTTGGTGTATTGCATAGTTTTAGCCATTGGATTTCACTCCAAACCAACCAAATGACTCCTCCCACCATATTATGTTGTTCCCCAAGTTTTGGACTCAATCCGATATCGATTGGTCCATAAATCGGACTATTCAGGTTCGTAGCAAGTTCGTTCTGAAATGGAGTGGTTGGTGTATTGCATAGTTTTAGCCATTGGATTTCACTCCAAACCAACCAAATGACTCCTCCCACCATATTATGTTGTTCCCCAAGTTTTGGACTCAATCCGATATCGATTGGTCCATGAAATCGGACTATTCAGGTTCGTAGCAAGTTCGTTCTGAAATGGAGTAGTTGGTGTATTGCATAGTTTTAGCCATTGGATTTCACTCCAAACCAACCAAATGACTCCTCCCACCATATTATGTTGTTCCCCAAGTTTTGGACTCAATCCGATATCGATTGGTCCATGAAATCGGACTATTCAGGTTCGTAGCAAGTTCGTTCTGAAATGGAGTGGTTGGTGTATTGCATAGTTTTAGCCATTGGATTTCACTCCAAACCAACCAAATGACTCCTCCCACCATATTATGTTGTTCCCCAAGTTTTGGACTCAATCCGATATCGATTGGTCCAAGAAATCGGACTATTCAGGTTCGTAGCAAGTTCGTTCTGAAATGGAGTGGTTGGTGTATTGCATAGTTTTAGCCATTGGATTTCACTCCAAACCAACCAAATGACTCCTCCCACCATATTATGTTGTTCCCCAAGTTTTGGACTCAATCCGATATCGATTGGTCCATGAAATCGGACTATTCAGGTTCGTAGCAAGTTCGTTCTGAAATGGAGTGGTTGGTGTATTGCATAGTTTTAGCCATTGGATTTCACTCCAAAACCAACCAAATGACTCCTCCCACCATATTATGTTGTTCCCCAAGTTTTGGACTCAATCCGATATCGATTGGTCCATGAAATCGGACTATTCAGGTTCGTAGCAAGTTCGTTCTGAAATGGAGTGGTTGGTGTATTGCATAGTTTTAGCCATTGGATTTCACTCCAAACCAACCAAATGACTCCTCCCACCATATTATGTTGTTCCCCAAGTTTTGGACTCAATCCGATATCGATTGGTCCATGAAATCGGACTATTCAGGTTCGTAGCAAGTTCGTTCTGAAATGGAGTGGTTGGTGTATTGCATAGTTTTAGCCATTGGATTTCACTCCAAACCAACCAAATGACTCCTCCCACCATATTATGTTGTTCCCCAAGTTTTGGACTCAATCCGATATCGATTGGTCCATGAAATCGGACTATTCAGGTTCGTAGCAAGTTCGTTCTGAAATGGAGTGGTTGGTGTATTGCATAGTTTTAGCCATTGGATTTCACTCCAAACCAACCAAATGACTCCTCCCACCATATTATGTTGTTCCCCAAGTTTTGGACTCAATCCGATATCGATTGGTCCATGAAATCGGACTATTCAGGTTCGTAGCAAGTTCGTTCTGAAATGGAGTAGTTGGTGTATTGCATAGTTTTAGCCATTGGATTTCACTCAAAACCAACCAAATGACTCCTCCCACCATATTATGTTGTTCCCCAAGTTTTGGACTCAATCCGATATCGATTGGTCCATGAAATCGGACTATTCAGGTTCGTAGCAAGTTCGTTCTGAAATGGAGTGGTTGGTGTATTGCATAGTTTTAGCCATTGGATTTCACTCCAAACCAACCAAATGACTCCTCCCACCATATTATGTTGTTCCCCAAGTTTTGGACTCAATCCGATATCGATTGGTCCATGAAATCGGACTATTCAGGTTCGTAGCAAGTTCGTTCTGAAATGGAGTGGTTGGTGTATTGCATAGTTTTAGCCATTGGATTTCACTCCAAACCAACCAAATGACTCCTCCCACCATATTATGTTGTTCCCCAAGTTTTGGACTCAATCCGATATCGATTGGTCCATGAAATCGGACTATTCAGGTTCGTAGCAAGTTCGTTCTGAAATGGAGTGGTTGGTGTATTGCATAGTTTTAGCCATTGGATTTCACTCCAAACCAACCAAATGACTCCTCCCACCATATTATGTTGTTCCCCAAGTTTTGGACTCAATCCGATATCGATTGGTCCATGAAATCGGACTATTCAGGTTCGTAGCAAGTTCGTTCTGAAATGGAGTAGTTGGTGTATTGCATAGTTTTAGCCATTGGATTTCACTCCAAACCAACCAAATGACTCCTCCCACCATATTATGTTGTTCCCCAAGTTTTGGACTCAATCCGATATCGATTGGTCCATGAAATCGGACTATTCAGGTTCGTAGCAAGTTCGTTCTGAAATGGAGTAGTTGGTGTATTGCATAGTTTTAGCCATTGGATTTCACTCCAAACCACCAAATGACTCCTCCCACCATATTATGTTGTTCCCCAAGTTTTGGACTCAATCCGATATCGATTGGTCCATGAAATCGGACTATTCAGGTTCGTAGCAAGTTCGTTCTGAAATGGAGTGGTTGGTGTATTGCATAGTTTTAGCCATTGGATTTCACTCCAAACCAACCAAATGACTCCTCCCACCATATTATGTTGTTCCCCAAGTTTTGGACTCAATCCGATATCGATTGGTCCATGAAATCGGACTATTCAGGTTCGTAGCAAGTTCGTTCTGAAATGGAGTGGTTGGTGTATTGCATAGTTTTAGCCATTGGATTTCACTCCAAACCAACCAAATGACTCCTCCCACCATATTATGTTGTTCCCCAAGTTTTGGACTCAATCCGATATCGATTGGTCCATGAAATCGGACTATTCAGGTTCGTAGCAAGTTCGTTCTGAAATGGAGTGGTTGGTGTATTGCATAGTTTTAGCCATTGGATTTCACTCCAAACCAACCAAATGACTCCTCCCACCATATTATGTTGTTCCCCAAGTTTTGGACTCAATCCGATATCGATTGGTCCATGAAATCGGACTATTCAGGTTCGTAGCAAGTTCGTTCTGAAATGGAGTGGTTGGTGTATTGCATAGTTTTAGCCATTGGATTTCACTCAAACCACCAAATGACTCCTCCCACCATATTATGTTGTTCCCCAAGTTTTGGACTCAATCCGATATCGATTGGTCCATGAAATCGGACTATTCAGGTTCGTAGCAAGTTCGTTCTGAAATGGAGTGGTTGGTGTATTGCATAGTTTTAGCCATTGGATTTCACTCCAAACCACCAAATGACTCCTCCCACCATATTATGATGTTCCCCAAGTTTTGGACTCAATCCGATATCGATTGGTCCATGAAATCGGACATTCAGGTTCGTAGCAAGTTCGTTCTGAAATGGAGTGGTTGGTGTATTGCATAGTTTTAGCCATTGGATTTCACTCAAAACCACCAAATGACTCCTCCCACCATATTATGTTGTTCCCCAAGTTTTGGACTCAATCCGATATCGATTGGTCCATGAAATCGGACATTCAGGTTCGTACGAAGTTCGTTCTGAAATGGAGTGGTTGGTGTATTGCATAGTTTTAGCCATTGGATTTCACTCCAAACCAACCAAATGACTCCTCCCACCATATTATGATGTTCCCCAAGTTTTGGACTCAATCCGATATCGATTGGTCCATGAAATCGGACAATTCAGGTTCGTACGAAGTTCGTTCTGAAATGGAGTGGTTGGTGTATTGCATAGTTTTAGCCATTGGATTTCACTCAAAACCACCAAATGACTCCTCCCACCATATTATGATGTTCCCCAAGTTTTGGACTCAATCCGATATCGATTGGTCCATGAAATCGGACAATTCAGGTTCGTACGAAGTTCGTTCTGAAATGGAGTGGTTGGTGTATTGCATAGTTTTAGCCATTGGATTTCACTCCAAACCAACCAAATGACTCCTCCCACCATATTATGTTGTTCCCCAAGTTTTGGACTCAATCCGATATCGATTGGTCCATGAAATCGGACAATTCAGGTTCGTACGAAGTTCGTTCTGAAATGGAGTGGTTGGTGTATTGCATAGTTTTAGCCATTGGATTTCACTCCAAACACACCAAATGACTCCTCCCACCATATTATGATGTTCCCCAAGTTTTGGACTCAATCCGATATCGATTGGTCCATGAAATCGGACTATTCAGGTTCGTACGAAGTTCGTTCTGAAATGGAGTGGTTGGTGTATTGCATAGTTTTAGCCATTGGATTTCACTCCAAACCACCAAATGACTCCTCCCACCATATTATGATGTTCCCCAAGTTTTGGACTCAATCCGATATCGATTGGTCCATGAAATTGGACATTCAGGTTCGTAGCAAGTTCGTTCTGAAATGGAGTGGTTGGTGTATTGCATAGTTTTAGCCATTGGATTTCACTCAAAACCACCAAATGACTCCTCCCACCATATTATGATGTTCCCCAAGTTTTGGACTCAATCCGATATCGATTGGTCCATGAAATCGGACATTCAGGTTCGTACGAAGTTCGTTCTGAAATGGAGTGGTTGGTGTATTGCATAGTTTTAGCCATTGGATTTCACTCAAAACCACCAAATGACTCCTCCCACCATATATGATGTTCCCCAAGTTTTGGACTCAATCCGATATCGATTGGTCCAGAAATTGGACATTCAGGTTCGTACGAAGTTCGTTCTGAAATGGAGTGGTTGGTGTATTGCATAGTTTTAGCCATTGGATTTCACTCAAACCACCAAATGACTCCTCCCACCATATTATGATGTTCCCCAAGTTTTGGACTCAATCCGATATCGATTGGTCCTGAAATCGGACATTCAGGTTCGTACGAAGTTCGTTCTGAAATGGAGTGGTTGGTGTATTGCATAGTTTTAGCCATTGGATTTCACTCCAAACCACCAAATGACTCCTCCCACCATATTATGATGTTCCCCAAGTTTTGGACTCAATCCGATATCGATTGGTCCATGAAATCGGACAATTCAGGTTCGTACGAAGTTCGTTCTGAAATGGAGTGGTTGGTGTATTGCATAGTTTTAGCCATTGGATTTCACTCAAAACCACCAAATGACTCCTCCCACCATATTATGATGTTCCCCAGTTTTGGACTCAATCCGATATCGATTGGTCCATGAAATCGGACAATTCAGGTTCGTACGAAGTTCGTTCTGAAATGGAGTGGTTGGTGTATTGCATAGTTTTAGCCATTGGATTTCACTCAAAACCACCAAATGACTCCTCCCACCATATTATGATGTTCCCCAAGTTTTGGACTCAATCCGATATCGATTGGTCCATGAAATTGGACAATTCAGGTTCGTAGCAAGTTCGTTCTGAAATGGAGTGGTTGGTGTATTGCATAGTTTTAGCCATTGGATTTCACTCAAAACCACCAAATGACTCCTCCCACCATATTATGATGTTCCCCAAGTTTTGGACTCAATCCGATATCGATTGGTCCATGAAATTGGACAATTCAGGTTCGTACGAAGTTCGTTCTGAAATGGAGTGGTTGGTGTATTGCATAGTTTTAGCCATTGGATTTCACTCAAAACTCACCAAATGACTCCTCCCACCATATTATGATGTTCCCCAAGTTTTGGACTCAATCCGATATCGATTGGTCCATGAAATTGGACAATTCAGGTTCGTACGAAGTTCGTTCTGAAATGGAGTGGTTGGTGTATTGCATAGTTTTAGCCATTGGATTTCACTCCAAACTCACCAAATGACTCCTCCCACCATATTATGATGTTCCCCAAGTTTTGGACTCAATCCGATATCGATTGGTCCATGAAATTGGACAATTCAGGTTCGTACGAAGTTCGTTCTGAAATGGAGTGGTTGGTGTATTGCATAGTTTTATCCATTGGATTTCACTCAAACCACCAAATGACTCCTCCCACCATATTATGATGTTCCCCAAGTTTTGGACTCAATCCGATATCGATTGGTCCATGAAATTGGACAATTCAGGTTCGTACGAAGTTCGTTCTGAAATGGAGTGGTTGGTGTATTGCATAGTTTTATCCATTGGATTTCACTCAAACTCACCAAATGACTCCTCCCACCATATTATGATGTTCCCCAAGTTTTGGACTCAATCCGATATCGATTGGTCCATGAAATCGGACAATTCAGGTTCGTACGAAGTTCGTTCTGAAATGGAGTGGTTGGTGTATTGCATAGTTTTAGCCATTGGATTTCACTCAAACCACCAAATGACTCCTCCCACCATATTATGATGTTCCCCAAGTTTTGGACTCAATCCGATATCGATTGGTCCATGAAATTGGACAATTCAGGTTCGTACGAAGTTCGTTCTGAAATGGAGTGGTTGGTGTATTGCATAGTTTTAGCCATTGGATTTCACTCAAAACTCACCAAATGACTCCTCCCACCATATTATGATGTTCCCCAAGTTTTGGACTCAATCCGATATCGATTGGTCCATGAAATCGGACAATTCAGGTTCGTACGAAGTTCGTTCTGAAATGGAGTGGTTGGTGTATTGCATAGTTTTAGCCATTGGATTTCACTCAAAACTCACCAAATGACTCCTCCCACCATATTATGATGTTCCCCAAGTTTTGGACTCAATCCGATATCGATTGGTCCATGAAATTGGACAATTCAGGTTCGTACGAAGTTCGTTCTGAAATGGAGTGGTTGGTGTATTGCATAGTTTTAGCCATTGGATTTCACTCAAACCACCAAATGACTCCTCCCACCATATTATGATGTTCCCCAAGTTTTGGACTCAATCCGATATCGATTGGTCCATGAAATCGGACAATTCAGGTTCGTACGAAGTTCGTTCTGAAATGGAGTGGTTGGTGTATTGCATAGTTTTAGCCATTGGATTTCACTCCAAACTCACCAAATGACTCCTCCCACCATATTATGATGTTCCCCAAGTTTTGGACTCAATCCGATATCGATTGGTCCATGAAATTGGACAATTCAGGTTCGTACGAAGTTCGTTCTGAAATGGAGTGGTTGGTGTATTGCATAGTTTTAGCCATTGGATTTCACTCAAAACCACCAAATGACTCCTCCCACCATATATGATGTTTCCCCAAGTTTTGGACTCCATCCGATATCGATTGGTCCGTGAAATTGGACGATTCAGGTTCGTACGAAGTTCGTTCTGAAATGGAGTGGTTGGTGTATTGCATAGTTTTAGCCATTGGATTTCACTCAAAACACACCAAATGACTCCTCCCACCATATTATGATGTTCCCCAAGTTTTGGACTCAATCCGATATCGATTGGTCCATGAAATTGGACATTCAGGTTCGTACGAAGTTCGTTCTGAAATGGAGTGGTTGGTGTATTGCATAGTTTTAGCCATTGGATTTCACTCAAACCCACCAAATGACTCCTCCCACCATATTATGATGTTCCCCAAGTTTTGGACTCAATCCGATATCGATTGGTCCCTGAAATTGGACATTCAGGTTCGTACGAAGTTCGTTCTGAAATGGAGTGGTTGGTGTATTGCATAGTTTTATCCATTGGATTTCACTCAAAACACACCAAATGACTCCTCCCACCATATTATGATGTTCCCCAAGTTTTGGACTCAATCCGATATCGATTGGTCCTTGAAATTGGACATTCAGGTTCGTACGAAGTTCGTTCTGAAATGGAGTGGTTGGTGTATTGCATAGTTTTATCCATTGGATTTCACTCAAAACACACCAAATGACTCCTCCCACCATATTATGATGTTCCCCAAGTTTTGGACTCAATCCGATATCGATTGGTCCCTGAAATTGGACGATTCAGGTTCGTACGAAGTTCGTTCTGAAATGGAGTGGTTGGTGTATTGCATAGTTTTATCCATTGGATTTCACTCAAAACACACCAAATGACTCCTCCCACCATATTATGATGTTCCCCAAGTTTTGGACTCAATCCGATATCGATTGGTCCCTGAAATTGGACGATTCAGGTTCGTACGAAGTTCGCTCTGAAATGGAGTGGTTGGTGTATTGCATAGTTTTATCCATTGGATTTCACTCAAAACACACCAAATGACTCCTCCCACCATATTATGATGTTCCCCAAGTTTTGGACTCAATCCGATATCGTTGGTCCGTGAAATTGGACGATTCAGGTTCGTACGAAGTTCGCTCTGAAAGGATTGGTGGTGTATTGCATAGTTTTAGCCATTGGATTTCACTCAAACACAACCAAATGACTCCTCCCACCATATTATGATGTTCCCCAAGTTTTGGACTCAATCCGATATCGATTGGTCCATGAAATCGGACAATTCAGGTTCGTACGAAGTTCGTTCTGAAATGGAGTGGTTGGTGTATTGCATAGTTTTAGCCATTGGATTTCACTCAAAACCACCAAATGACTCCTCCCACCATATTATGATGTTCCCCAAGTTTTGGACTCAATCCGATATCGATTGGTCCATGAAATTGGACATTCAGGTTCGTACGAAGTTCGTTCTGAAATGGAGTGTTGGTGTATTGCATAGTTTTAGCCATTGGATTTCACTCAAAACTCACCAAATGACTCCTCCCACCATATTATGATGTTCCCCAAGTTTTGGACTCAATCCGATATCGATTGGTCCATGAAATCGGACAATTCAGGTTCGTACGAAGTTCGTTCTGAAATGGAGTGGTTGGTGTATTGCATAGTTTTAGCCATTGGATTTCACTCAAAACACACCAAATGACTCCTCCACCATATTATGATGTTCCCCAAGTTTTGGACTCAATCCGATATCGATTGGTCCATGAAATCGGACATTCAGGTTCGTACGAAGTTCGTTCTGAAATGGAGTGGTTGGTGTATTGCATAGTTTTTAGCCATTGGATTTCACTCAAAACCACCAAATGACTCCTCCCACCATATTATGATGTCCCCAAGTTTTGGACTCAATCCGATATCGATTGGTCCCATGAATCGGACAATTCAGGTTCGTACGAAGTTCGTTCTGAAATGGAGTGGTTGGTGTATTGCATAGTTTTAGCCATTGGATTTCACTCCAAAACTCACCAAATGACTCCTCCCACCATATTATGATGTTCCCCAAGTTTTGGACTCAATCCGATATCGATTGGTCCCATGAAATCGGACAATTCAGGTTCGTACGAAGTTCGTTCTGAAATGGAGTGGTTGGTGTATTGCATAGTTTTAGCCATTGGATTTCACTCAAAACCACCAAATGACTCCTCCCACCATATTATGATGTTCCCCAAGTTTTGGACTCAATCCGATATCGATTGGTCCATGAAATTGGACAATTCAGGTTCGTACGAAGTTCGTTCTGAAATGGAGTGGTTGGTGTATTGCATAGTTTTAGCCATTGGATTTCACTCAAAACTCACCAAATGACTCCTCCCACCATATTATGATGTTCCCCAAGTTTTGGACTCATCCGATATCGATTGGTCCATGAAATCGGACAATTCAGGTTCGTACGAAGTTCGTTCTGAAATGGAGTGGTTGGTGTATTGCATAGTTTTATCCATTGGATTTCACTCAAAACCACCAAATGACTCCTCCCACCATATTATGATGTTCCCCAAGTTTTGGACTCAATCCGATATCGATTGGTCCATGAAATGGACATTCAGGTTCGTACGAAGTTCGTTCTGAAATGGAGTGGTTGGTGTATTGCATAGTTTTAGCCATTGGATTTCACTCAAAACTCACCAAATGACTCCTCCCACCATATTATGATGTTCCCCAAGTTTTGGACTCAATCCGATATCGATTGGTCCATGAAATCGGACAATTCAGGTTCGTACGAAGTTCGTTCTGAAATGGAGTGGTTGGTGTATTGCATAGTTTTAGCCATTGGATTTCACTCAAAACCACCAAATGACTCCTCCCACCATATTATGATGTTCCCCAAGTTTTGGACTCAATCCGATATCGATTGGTCCATGAAATTGGACATTCAGGTTCGTACGAAGTTCGTTCTGAAATGGAGTGGTTGGTGTATTGCATAGTTTTAGCCATTGGATTTCACTCAAAACCACCAAATGACTCCTCCCACCATATTATGATGTTCCCCAAGTTTTGGACTCAATCCGATATCGATTGGTCCATGAAATCGGACAATTCAGGTTCGTACGAAGTTCGTTCTGAAATGGAGTGGTTGGTGTATTGCATAGTTTTAGCCATTGGATTTCACTCAAAACCACCAAATGACTCCTCCCACCATATTATGATGTTCCCCAAGTTTTGGACTCAATCCGATATCGATTGGTCCATGAAATGGACAATTCAGGTTCGTACGAAGTTCGCTCTGAATATTGAGTGGTTGTGTAGTGTTAGTTTTAACCCTTGGATTTTCATCAAAAACCACCAAATGACTCCTCCCACCATATTATGAGTTCCCCAGTTTTGGACTCAATCCGATATCGATTGGTCCGTGAAATTGGACGATTCAGGTTCGTACGAAGTTCGTTCTGAAATGGAGTGGTTGGTGTATTGCATAGTTTTATCCATTGGATTTCACTCAAAACACACCAAATGACTCCTCCCACCATATTATGATGTTCCCCAAGTTTTGGACTCAATCCGATATCGATTGGTCCGTGAAATTGGACAATTCAGGTTCGTACGAAGTTCGTTCTGAAATGGAGTGGTTGGTGTATTGCATAGTTTTATCCATTGGATTTCACTCAAAACACACCAAATGACTCCTCCCACCATATTATGATGTTCCCCAAGTTTTGGACTCAATCCGATATCGATTGGTCCGTGAAATTGGACAATTCAGGTTCGTACGAAGTTCGTTCTGAAATGGAGTGGTTGGTGTATTGCATAGTTTTAGCCATTGGATTTCACTCAAAACACACCAAATGACTCCTCCCACCATATTATGATGTTCCCCAAGTTTTGGACTCAATCCGATATCGATTGGTCCGTCAAATTGGACGATTCAGGTTCGTACGAAGTTCGCTCTGAAATGGAGTGGTTGGTGTATTGCATAGTTTTATCCATTGGATTTCACTCAAAACACACCAAATGACTCCTCCCACCATATTATGATGTTCCCCAAGTTTTGGACTCAATCCGATATCGATTGGTCCCTGAAATTGGACAATTCAGGTTCGTACGAAGTTCGTTCTGAAATGGAGTGGTTGGTGTATTGCATAGTTTTAGCCCATTGGATTTCACTCAAAACCACCAAATGACTCCTCCCACCATATTATGATGTTCCCCAAGTTTTGGACTCAATCCGATATCGATTGGTCCATGAAATTGGACGATTCAGGTTCGTACGAAGTTCGTTCTGAAATGGAGTGGTTGGTGTATTGCATAGTTTTATCCATTGGATTTCACTCAAAACACACCAAATGACTCCTCCCACCATATTATGATGTTCCCCAAGTTTTGGACTCAATCCGATATCGATTGGTCCGTGAAATTGGACAATTCAGGTTCGTACGAAGTTCGTTCTGAAATGGAGTGGTTGGTGTATTGCATAGTTTTATCCATTGGATTTCACTCAAAACACACCAAATGACTCCTCCCACCATATTATGATGTTCCCCAAGTTTTGGACTCAATCCGATATCGATTGGTCCGTGAAATTGGACGATTCAGGTTCGTACGAAGTTCGTTCTGAAATGGAGTGGTTGGTGTATTGCATAGTTTTATCCATTGGATTTCACTCAAAACACACCAAATGACTCCTCCCACCATATTATGATGTTCCCCAAGTTTTGGACTCAATCCGATATCGATTGGTCCGTGAAATTGGACGATTCAGGTTCGTACGAAGTTCGCTCTGAAATGGAGTGGTTGGTGTATTGCATAGTTTTATCCATTGGATTTCACTCAAAACACACCAAATGACTCCTCCCACCATATTATGATGTTCCCCAAGTTTTGGACTCAATCCGATATCGATTGGTCCGTGAAATTGGACAATTCAGGTTCGTACGAAGTTCGCTCTGAAATGGAGTGGTTGGTGTATTGCATAGTTTTATCCATTGGATTTCACTCAAAACACACCAAATGACTCCTCCCACCATATTATGATGTTCCCCAAGTTTTGGACTCAATCCGATATCGATTGGTCCGTGAAATTGGACAATTCAGGTTCGTACGAAGTTCGCTCTGAAATGGAGTGGTTGGTGTATTGCATAGTTTTATCCATTGGATTTCACTCAAAACACACCAAATGACTCCTCCCACCATATTATGATGTTCCCCAAGTTTTGGACTCAATCCGATATCGATTGGTCCGTGAAATTGGACGATTCAGGTTCGTACGAAGTTCGCTCTGAAATGGAGTGGTTGGTGTATTGCATAGTTTTATCCATTGGATTTCACTCAAAACACACCAAATGACTCCTCCCACCATATTATGATGTTCCCCAAGTTTTGGACTCAATCCGATATCGATTGGTCCGTGAAATTGGACAATTCAGGTTCGTACGAAGTTCGCTCTGAAATGGAGTGGTTGGTGTATTGCATAGTTTTATCCATTGGATTTCACTCAAAACACACCAAATGACTCCTCCCACCATATTATGATGTTCCCCAAGTTTTGGACTCAATCCGATATCGATTGGTCCGTGAAATTGGACAATTCAGGTTCGTACGAAGTTCGTTCTGAAATGGAGTGGTTGGTGTATTGCATAGTTTTATCCATTGGATTTCACTCAAAACACACCAAATGACTCCTCCCACCATATTATGATGTTCCCCAAGTTTTGGACTCAATCCGATATCGATTGGTCCGTCAAATTGGACGATTCAGGTTCGTACGAAGTTCGTTCTGAAATGGAGTGGTTGGTGTATTGCATAGTTTTATCCATTGGATTTCACTCAAAACACACCAAATGACTCCTCCCACCATATTATGATGTTCCCCAAGTTTTGGACTCAATCCGATATCGATTGGTCCGTGAAATTGGACAATTCAGGTTCGTACGAAGTTCGTTCTGAAATGGAGTGGTTGGTGTATTGCATAGTTTTATCCATTGGATTTCACTCAAAACACACCAAATGACTCCTCCCACCATATTATGATGTTCCCCAAGTTTTGGACTCAATCCGATATCGATTGGTCCGTGAAATTGGACGATTCAGGTTCGTACGAAGTTCGCTCTGAAATGGAGTGGTTGGTGTATTGCATAGTTTTATCCATTGGATTTCACTCAAAACACACCAAATGACTCCTCCCACCATATTATGATGTTCCCCAAGTTTTGGACTCAATCCGATATCGATTGGTCCGTGAAATTGGACAATTCAGGTTCGTACGAAGTTCGCTCTGAAATGGAGTGGTTGGTGTATTGCATAGTTTTATCCATTGGATTTCACTCAAAACACACCAAATGACTCCTCCCACCATATTATGATGTTCCCCAAGTTTTGGACTCAATCCGATATCGATTGGTCCGTGAAATTGGACGATTCAGGTTCGTACGAAGTTCGCTCTGAAATGGAGTGGTTGGTGTATTGCATAGTTTTATCCATTGGATTTCACTCAAAACACACCAAATGACTCCTCCCACCATATTATGATGTTCCCCAAGTTTTGGACTCAATCCGATATCGATTGGTCCGTGAAATTGGACAATTCAGGTTCGTACGAAGTTCGCTCTGAAATGGAGTGGTTGGTGTATTGCATAGTTTTATCCATTGGATTTCACTCAAAACACACCAAATGACTCCTCCCACCATATTATGATGTTCCCCAAGTTTTGGACTCAATCCGATATCGATTGGTCCGTGAAATTGGACGATTCAGGTTCGTACGAAGTTCGTTCTGAAATGGAGTGGTTGGTGTATTGCATAGTTTTATCCATTGGATTTCACTCAAAACACACCAAATGACTCCTCCCACCATATTATGATGTTCCCCAAGTTTTGGACTCAATCCGATATCGATTGGTCCGTGAAATTGGACGATTCAGGTTCGTACGAAGTTCGTTCTGAAATGGAGTGGTTGGTGTATTGCATAGTTTTATCCATTGGATTTCACTCAAAACACACCAAATGACTCCTCCCACCATATTATGATGTTCCCCAAGTTTTGGACTCAATCCGATATCGATTGGTCCGTGAAATTGGACAATTCAGGTTCGTACGAAGTTCGCTCTGAAATGGAGTGGTTGGTGTATTGCATAGTTTTATCCATTGGATTTCACTCAAAACACACCAAATGACTCCTCCCACCATATTATGATGTTCCCCAAGTTTTGGACTCAATCCGATATCGATTGGTCCGTGAAATTGGACGATTCAGGTTCGTACGAAGTTCGCTCTGAAATGGAGTGGTTGGTGTATTGCATAGTTTTATCCATTGGATTTCACTCAAAACACACCAAATGACTCCTCCCACCATATTATGATGTTCCCCAAGTTTTGGACTCAATCCGATATCGATTGGTCCGTGAAATTGGACAATTCAGGTTCGTACGAAGTTCGTTCTGAAATGGAGTGGTTGGTGTATTGCATAGTTTTATCCATTGGATTTCACTCAAAACACACCAAATGACTCCTCCCACCATATTATGATGTTCCCCAAGTTTTGGACTCAATCCGATATCGATTGGTCCGTGAAATTGGACGATTCAGGTTCGTACGAAGTTCGCTCTGAAATGGAGTGGTTGGTGTATTGCATAGTTTTATCCATTGGATTTCACTCAAAACACACCAAATGACTCCTCCCACCATATTATGATGTTCCCCAAGTTTTGGACTCAATCCGATATCGATTGGTCCGTGAAATTGGACAATTCAGGTTCGTACGAAGTTCGCTCTGAAATGGAGTGGTTGGTGTATTGCATAGTTTTATCCATTGGATTTCACTCAAAACACACACCAAATGACTCCTCCCACCATATTATGATGTTCCCCAAGTTTTGGACTCAATCCGATATCGATTGGTCCGTGAAATTGGACGATTCAGGTTCGTACGAAGTTCGCTCTGAAATGGAGTGGTTGGTGTATTGCATAGTTTTATCCATTGGATTTCACTCAAAACACACCAAATGACTCCTCCCACCATATTATGATGTTCCCCAAGTTTTGGACTCAATCCGATATCGATTGGTCCGTGAAATTGGACGATTCAGGTTCGTACGAAGTTCGCTCTGAAATGGAGTGGTTGGTGTATTGCATAGTTTTATCCATTGGATTTCACTCAAAACACACCAAATGACTCCTCCCACCATATTATGATGTTCCCCAAGTTTTGGACTCAATCCGATATCGATTGGTCCGTGAAATTGGACTATTCAGGTTCGTACGAAGTTCGCTCTGAAATGGAGTGGTTGGTGTATTGCATAGTTTTATCCATTGGATTTCACTCAAAACACACCAAATGACTCCTCCCACCATATTATGATGTTCCCCAAGTTTTGGACTCAATCCGATATCGATTGGTCCCTGAAATTGGACGATTCAGGTTCGTACGAAGTTCGCTCTGAAATGGAGTGGTTGGTGTATTGCATAGTTTTATCCATTGGATTTCACTCAAAACACACCAAATGACTCCTCCCACCATATTATGTTGTTCCCCAAGTTTTGGACTCAATCCGATATCGATTGGTCCGTGAAATTGGACGATTCAGGTTCGTACGAAGTTCGTTCTGAAATGGAGTGGTTGGTGTATTGCATAGTTTTATCCATTGGATTTCACTCAAAACACACCAAATGACTCCTCCCACCATATTATGATGTTCCCCAAGTTTTGGACTCAATCCGATATCGATTGGTCCATGAAATTGGACTATTCAGGTTCGTACGAAGTTCGTTCTGAAATGGAGTGGTTGGTGTATTGCATAGTTTTAGCCATTGGATTTCACTCAAAACCAACCAAATGACTCCTCCCACCATATTATGTTGTTCCCCAAGTTTTGGACTCAATCCGATATCGATTGGTCCATGAAATCGGACTATTCAGGTTCGTAGGAAGTTCGTTCTGAAATGGAGTGGTTGGTGTATTGCATAGTTTTAGCCATTGGATTTCACTCAAAACCACCAAATGACTCCTCCCACCATATTATGTTGTTCCCCAAGTTTTGGACTCAATCCGATATCGATTGGTCCATGAAATCGGACTATTCAGGTTCGTAGGAAGTTCGTTCTGAAATGGAGTGGTTGGTGTATTGCATAGTTTTAGCCATTGGATTTCACTCAAAACAACCAAATGACTCCTCCCACCATATTATGTTGTTCCCCAAGTTTTGGACTCAATCCGATATCGATTGGTCCATGAAATCGGACTATTCAGGTTCGTAGGAAGTTCGTTCTGAAATGGAGTGGTTGGTGTATTGCATAGTTTTAGCCATTGGATTTCACTCAAAACCAACCAAATGACTCCTCCCACCATATTATGTTGTTCCCCAAGTTTTGGACTCAATCCGATATCGATTGGTCCTGAAATCGGACTATTCAGGTTCGTAGGAAGTTCGTTCTGAAATGGAGTGGTTGGTGTATTGCATAGTTTTAGCCATTGGATTTCACTCAAAACCAACCAAATGACTCCTCCCACCATATTATGTTGTTCCCCAAGTTTTGGACTCAATCCGATATCGATTGGTCCATGAAATCGGACTATTCAGGTTCGTAGGAAGTTCGTTCTGAAATGGAGTGGTTGGTGTATTGCATAGTTTTAGCCATTGGATTTCACTCAAAACCAACCAAATGACTCCTCCCACCATATTATGTTGTTCCCCAAGTTTTGGACTCAATCCGATATCGATTGGTCCGTGAAATCGGACTATTCAGGTTCGTACGAAGTTCGTTCTGAAATGGAGTGGTTGGTGTATTGCATAGTTTTATCCATTGGATTTCACTCAAAACACACCAAATGACTCCTCCCACCATATTATGATGTTCCCCAAGTTTTGGACTCAATCCGATATCGATTGGTCCGTGAAATTGGACGATTCAGGTTCGTACGAAGTTCGCTCTGAAATGGAGTGGTTGGTGTATTGCATAGTTTTATCCATTGGATTTCACTCAAAACACACCAAATGACTCCTCCCACCATATTATGATGTTCCCCAAGTTTTGGACTCAATCCGATATCGATTGGTCCGTAAAATGGACGATTCAGGTTCGTACGAAGTTCGTTCTGAAATGGAGTGGTTGGTGTATTGCATAGTTTTATCCATTGGATTTCACTCAAAACACACCAAATGACTCCTCCCACCATATTATGATGTTCCCCAAGTTTTGGACTCAATCCGATATCGATTGGTCCGTGAAATTGGACAATTCAGGTTCGTACGAAGTTCGTTCTGAAATGGAGTGGTTGGTGTATTGCATAGTTTTATCCATTGGATTTCACTCAAAACACACCAAATGACTCCTCCCACCATATTATGATGTTCCCCAAGTTTTGGACTCAATCCGATATCGATTGGTCCGTGAAATTGGACGATTCAGGTTCGTACGAAGTTTGTTCTGAAATGGAGTGGTTGGTGTATTGCATAGTTTTATCCATTGGATTTCACTCAAAACACACCAAATGACTCCTCCCACCATATTATGATTTTCCCCAAGTTTTGGACTCAATCCGATATCGATTGGTCCGTGAAATTGGACAATTCAGGTTCGTACGAAGTTCGTTCTGAAATGGAGTGGTTGTTGTTTTGCATTGTTTTATCCATCGGATTTCACGCAAAACACACCAAATGACTCCTCTGATAACTCATATATTTATACATTTATCCATTTCTAGTCTATTTGTTATGTTTTTGAGTTAAACATGTTGCGTTTTACCATATTTTGTGTTAGTATGCTCTTCTAGAGTTATCCTGCGATGTGTTTTCTTCGGTTCTTTAACGTTTTCTTGCATGATAATGACTCTTAACTTGGAACCAAAGTTGAACATCCCAATTAGGGTGCATATTAGGAGAATTTGATCAAAACCACACATCATATGGCTGATCATATATATGTAAAATGAACTCTGGAAACAGGTTGGTAGTTGAATACGGTTTAATTTTATAAACATGGAATTGGTTTTGCAATGGTGAATTCGAAATCCCTGGTCTCATCCCTATTCTTCTTACATCAATATCTCATTCGCTGCTACATTCGTCTTGCATTTTAAGTTATCTTTCATTTACAACACAAACTACTCTCAATTTGTCACTTTCACTTTTAGTTAGGGTTCTTTCAAAACTAGTAATTTATAGAGGTCCAATCGGTCCCTGTGGTTCGACACCCTTACTTGTACCATTATACTAACCATATATTGGCACTTGGAAGGAACACAACAAAATTTTGGCGCCGTTGCCGGGGACTGATTTCAGTCCTCTGTGATTGCTTGTTCTCAAACCCTAATTTCGTTTTATTTTTGTTTTTCAGGTAGTATATGTCAGATACACTTGCTGAAATAGGCCAAAGACTTGAACGGTTAAAGAGCAACACTTTTGAGAATTCTGTATCAACTAGTGCCCAGACTAGACGTATAGAAGAGGACAATAGTTCTTCTAGCCCAACGAGTGTAGATTCCTTCGATAACTCTAACTCTGACGGAGAAGAAGAGATGGCTGGCCATAACGATGACAACCGAGCTTTGGAAGATTATGCTCAACCGGTTATACCAAATTCACCTTCGTGCATCTTGCTGCCTACTGAAGCTAGAAATTATGAACTCAAATCTTCTCATTTTCACATGCTTCCTTCTTTTTATGGTTTACCTAACGAAGACCCATTATCCCATATTAAGGAATTCTACAATGTTGTGAGTGGTTTACCTTTGCATGGAGTGAGTGAAGCAAATCTGAGGATGAGGGTTTTCCCTTATACATTGAAAGATAGAGCAAAGAATTGGCTAATGACTTTAGCACCTGGTTCGCTCACCACTTGGGATGCCGTAGCTAAGAAGTTTCTGGAGAAGTTTTTCTCAACTCAAAAGACAGCTACTTTGAGAGGGCAAATCTTTAACTTTAAACAAGATGATGGAGAACCTTTCAATGAATGTTGGGAGCGTTTCAAAGGCCTGTTGCTCCAATGTCCACATCATGGGTTACCTCTTTACTTACAAATGCAAATTTTTTATGATGGACTAACCCAAACATGTCAATCAACTGTGGATAATGCAGCAGGTGGAGCTTTGAAGAAGAAAAATGCGCAAGAGTCATATAACATTTATGAGATGTTGGGATCTAATGCTCAACACAAAGATACAAGAGGTAAACGAGTTGGAATGTATGAAATGAGTTCTAATAATGATCTTGCTTTGCAGGTGGCTAGTTTGGAAAAGAAGCTCGATTCTGTGCTCAATATGGCGCCTAAGATAGCTGAGGTGTGTGCCATTTGCAACATACCAGGTCATCCTACTTATCAATGCTCAGCTAGTGAGGCTTATCCCGAATTCGTTCAAGAGCAAGTGAATCTCATGAATTCTTACAATCAGAGGCCGAGGAATGACCCATTCTCTAATACATATAACCCTGGTTGGAGAGATCATCCCAATCTCTCATGGAAGAATAACAATCAATTTCAAAATTTCCAACCAAAGCCTGCCACTACGCTTGAAGATACTGTCAAAATGCTAGCTCAGAACACCGTTCAATTCCAGCAAACTACCAATAGTACTCTCCAACAACATTCAGCTGCTCTAACCAAAATGGAGACACAATTAGGTCAGATTGCTGATGCTTTGAGTCAAAGAGAACCCGGGAAATTTCCAAGCCAACCGGTGATACTTCAAAGGAACCAAGAGCAGGCCAAAGCGGTCATAACACTTAGAAGTGGTAAGGTTATTGATAATAGAGTTGGCAATGAAGTTACTAATGAATCTGATCATGTGAATGCAGGCCCCACTCAAGAAGAGCATGAGAAACCGAATGAAGATCCAAGCAATGCCACTTCTTCGTATGAAGCTCCAAATTTTCACAAAGCTGAAAAACCTTACACTCCTCCAATCCCATTTCCTGGAAGACTTGCCAAAAGCAAGCAGGAGAAGTCATTTAAAGAAATTTTTGATATTTTAAGTAAAGTGAATGTTAATTTACCTTTGCTTGATGTCATTAGGAATATGCCAGCATATGGGAAATTTTTCAAGGAGCTAAACACTTATAAGAGGAAGTATGGAAAGGTGATGGTGTCTGAAAATGTGAGTGCTGTGCTTCAAAGAAAGCTCCCACCAAAACTCAAGGATCCGGGCAGTTTTTCTATCAATATCACCATTGGAGACAAGCTAGTTGAAAAGGCTATGCTTGACTTGGGGGCGAGCATCAATTTAATGCCCTATTCAGTGTACCTTCAATTAGGTTTGGGGGGTTTGAAGGCAACAACTATTTCATTGCAACTTGCCGATCGATCAGTGAAATATCCAAGAGGTATAGTGGAAGATATCTTAGTTCAAGTTGACAAACTAATTTTGCCTGCTGATTTTGTAGTGTTGGACATGGAAGAGGCTCCTATACATGATCGTGAGTTACCTATTTTGCTTGGGAGACCCTTTATGGCCACGGCAAAGACTATCATAGATGTGCAAAATGGTCTCCTCACCATGACTGTGCTAGGAGAAACTGTACAATTCAAAGTGTTTGAATCTCTTTCTCACCCTTCTAGTTCACTTGATTGTTGTTCGATTGATGTGCTTGATTCACTTGTTTTCTCTAAGTTTTTGCTGGCACAATCCAATGATCCATTACAATATGTTTTGAGTCAATCTCAAGATGACTTTGATGAAGAAGTGCTCATGGAGATGGTGGCAGCCTTGGAAGCATTAAAACCATATCCCTCCACTTTTTCACCTCTTATAGAGCCATTAGGACCATCTGCCACACATCTGACCCTTCTGTTGTTAAACCTCCAAAACTTGAGCTTAAACCACTTCCATCACATCTAAAATATGCTTACCTAGCTGAGTTTGAAACTCTCCCAGTTATCATAGCATCTGACCTCACCCCTTTGGAAGAAGAGAAGCTAATTAGGGTGCTAAAAGAGTTCAAATCAGCCATTGGTTGGTCTATTGCAGATATCAAGGGAATAAGCCCTACCATGTGCATGCATCGTATTTTATTGGAGGAGGGAGCGAAACCAACTCGTGAACCACAAAGAAGGCTCAATCCACACATGAAGGAAGTAGTGAGAGCTGAAGTGTTGAAGTTGCTAGATGTGGGTATCATATACCCGATTTCAGATAGCAAATGGGTCAGCGCTGTTCACGTAGTGCCTAAGAGGATTGGAATCACAGTGGTAAAAAATGAGCATAAAGTGCTTGTTCAAATGAGACCTGCAGCTAGTTGGCGTGTTTGCACCGATTACAGGAAGTTGAATTCGTACACTAGAAAAGATTATTTTCCTATGCCTTTTATTGATCAAATGCTTGAGCGATTAGCTGGTCACGCATATTATTGTTTTCTTGATGGATATTCAGGTTATAATCAAATTGCGATTGCTCCGGAAGATCAAGAGAAGACTACATTCACCTGTCCTTTTGGCACTTTTGCATATAGGAGGATGCCGTTTGGCCTTTGCAATGCCCCAGCAACATTCCAACGATGTATGCTGGCAATCTTTTCAGATATGATTGAGAGATTTATTGAGGTATTCATGGACGATTTTTTCAGTTTTTGGTTCTTCTTTTGATACTTGTCTTAACCATCTCTCTCTAGTGCTTCAAAGATGTCAGGAAACAAATTTGATTCTCAATTGGGAAAAGTGTCAATTTATGGTGAAACAAGGTGTTGTGTTGGGGCATGTAATATCCAGCAAGGGTATTGAAGTTGACAAAGCAAAAATTGACATCATCTCAAATATGGCAGCCCCTACTTCAGTGAAGGGAGTGAGAAGCTTTCTAGGACATGCTGGTTTTTATCGTCGTTTCATTAAGGATTTTTCCAAGATCACTCATCCATTGTGCAATCTTTTGGCCAAAGATGTTGTATTTCACTTTGATAAAGATTGTATGAATGCATTTAATACCTTGAAACGTGAACTAACCTCTGCTCCTATCATTATGGCCCCAGATTGGTCTTTGCCTTTTGAGCTAATGTGTGACGCCTCTGACTATGCTATTGGTGCTGTTTTAGGTCAAAGAGTAAATAAGCTGCCACACGTAATCTACTATGCAAGTCGGACATTAAACGATGCTCAACTCAATTACTCTACAACTGAGAAGGAGTTGCTTGCTGTTGTTTTCGCTTTAGAGAAATTTCGTTCATATCTTGTTGGCTCTAAAGTTATTGTTTACTCTGATCATGCAGCTCTTAGGTTTTTGTTGACCAAGAAAGATGCTAAACCACGTTTGATAAGATGGATACTCTTGTTACAAGAGTTTGACCTAGAAATTCGAGACAAGAAAGGGAGTGAAAATGTTGTTGCTGATCACTTGTCGCGCCTTGTTGATGAAAACCATGGAGATGGACAAATTTTGCCTCTCAACGAATCATTCCCGGATGAAAAACTCTTTGTCATCCAAGATAAAGAGCCATGGTATGCTGATTTTGTCAATTATCTTGCTTCTAGTGTAATTAGAGATGATTTGACTTTTCAGGAGAGAAAGAAGTTCTTTTCAATGGTGAAACACTACATGTGGGATGAGCCCTATTTGTTCAAGTATTGCCCTGACCAAATCATTCGAAGATGTGTTCCAGAGAGTGAGCAGCAAAGCATACTAACATTCAGTCATGCATTGGCATGCGGAGGTCATTTCAGTGCCAAAAAGACAGCTTTAAAGGTTTTACAATCTGGTTTCTTTTGGCCTACATTGTTTAAAGATGCTTTTGATTTTTGCTCTAAGTGTGATAGGTGTCAGAAAATGGGGAGCATCAGTCGCAGGAATGAAATGCCATTAAACAACATTTTAGTGGTAGAGCTGTTCGATGTATGGGGAATAGACTTCATGGGACCATTCCCATCTTCTTTTGGATACATATACATACTAGTGGCAGTAGATTATGTATCAAAATGGGTTGAGGCAACAACTACAAGAACTAATGATCACAAAGTTGTTTTGAATTTTCTCAAAGATATGATTTTCACTAGGTTTGGAACTCCGAGAGCTATCATTAGCGATGGTGGCAGTCACTTCTGCAACAAACCTTTCGAGGCATTGATGAAGAAGTACAACATCACACATAAAGTGGCAACTCCATACCATCCTCAAACCTCTGGACAAGTGGAAATCAACAATAGAGAAATAAAGAACATCTTGATGAAAACCGTCAGCCCTACAAGGAAGGATTGGTCACTAAGGTTGAATGATGCACTTTGGGCGTATCGCACAGCGTACAAGACCCCAATTGGAATGAGCCCTTATCGACTGGTGTTTGGAAAGGCATGTCATTTGCCAATGGAGCTTGAGCACCGTGCATATTGGGCCATAAAGAAGTTCAATTTTGATCTCAAAGAAGCTGGTACAGTGAGGAAGCTCCAACTCAATGAGTTGGAAGAGCTCAGAAATGAATCATATGAGAATGCAAGGATCTACAAAGAACGAACCAAGCTCTACCATGACAAAGCAATTCTTAGGAAGGAGTTTCAACCAGGTATGAAAGTACTTTTGTATGACTCACGTTTGCGACTTTTTCCAGGTAAATTGAAGTCTAGATGGGTTGGACCATTCAAAGTGCTTCAAGTATTTCCCCATGGAGCTATGGAGATAGAAAACATCAAGAATGGGACCCGTTTTAAGGTCAATGGACAGCGTTTGAAGCCTTATTTGGAGAATGTTTCACAGGAGCAGGTTTATGTAGTTATGGATTCTCTCGAGTTTATGACAACTTAGACACACTACCATGTCTTGCCTAGACATTAAATAAAGCGCTTGCTAGGAGGCAACCTAGCTGGGTTTGTGTTCTTTCCTTTTATTTGTGTTAGTTTTTAGTTTTTATTTTATTTCATTCCATGCACACTGCCAATTTGCATTGCATCCATTCCATTCATTTTTTTTTAAGCATCGAGGACAATGCTTAGTTTAGGTTTGGGGGTGTGGGATTTTCGTTTGTTTCTAGTTCTGGTTAAAGTTTGCTTTTGCTTACTAATGTGAATGTATATGAGGGCTATGGTTTACAATGAGGACTACTGTGTTGTCATGAAAAAGTTCGTATCATTATTTTTTTTTTCAAAGCTGTTACTCTTGGAATCATGGTGGTTAAAGTATCATGCTCAAATTCTGGAAGAAGAATTGTGGAGACTACCCTAGAGAGTGATTTTGAGCCTATTTACTTCTTTGAGAGGGTTTAAAGTGTTTGTACTCCTATCTTTTTGCTTCAACTTCATTTCAAATGATCTCATTATTTTTGTTTGATTGAACGCTAAGAATTGTTCTCTTTCGCAGATACCATGTGTTTGGTAACACTCATGAATGAACTCATTGAGATGATGTTAGGCTATGCATGTCTTAACCACCAAAAGGCCTAATTTCTTACCTTTATGTGTGTGCCATTACCCCATTTTGAAGCCAATCATGTTTAGCCATTTTCTTTTCTCACATTTTTTTCCCCCATATCCTTTTATCTCAATATGAGATATTTAGCCCATTACAGCTATACCCTATAGTTTGGGGGAATACCAAAGTGAGGAAGACAAAGATAATTCGAGCTCTACATAAAGAAAAGTGGTGTGTACCGAGGTATGTGTGCTGGAATTGTAGAAAAAAGAAAGAAAAAAGAAACAAAGAAAAAAAAGAAAAAAAAAAAAGAAAGAAAGATGTAATTTCTAAATCCTTCCATTATCGCACGAATCCTGGATGCCACGAACAAACAACAAAGATCAATTCAAGAGGAGAGCTTGCTGCTTTCACAAGGAAGACACTTTGGTATGTCCCAAGCTTTAGTATTTCCTATCCTTTCTTTCATAGCCCCTGACCTAAGCCTTAACATTACAAACCTTGTGAAAGACCTAGCTGATATTTGAGGATGTATTCATGAGGGATGCTAAGTATGTGTGCTATCCATATTCTTAGTGTTTGATTCCCTTCATGAGATCTGTTCAGAAATTGTGCTTTTATTTCATATTTCATATGTGAGGATTTTGATTTCCTTTTACATAACTTCACTCACATATGTTTGAGGAGAGACCGTGCCTTAGGATCTGAGTGAAAATTTGAGTGATATCTGTGAGAACTAGAGTTGAGGCGATTTCTATCTTTGGCATTTGAGTATGGTATCTTTGAAGTCATGGGACATGGAGTAATTATTTTTTACACTTTATGATATGATTCTTTCAAGTGGCAGACTAGTGGTTTGAATGTATGACTAAGCTTTCATTGGTTCTTATTAGTTTGCTATAAGTATGCTTTAACCAATTTGCTTGCAAGTATGCAGATGTTTGTGGGTGTCATCACTGTAAACCCTCAGGAGACACAACTCCTCCTACTAGGGACACCTAGGGGTTTAAAGGCTTGTTGCACATGCTCAATGCAATCGTTTAGCCAGCGAAAGTGGTCTAGTTATATTTTAGTGTCTTGTGTGTTTTCAGTTTCAGTTTTGCTCGAGGACTAGCAAAAATCAGGTTTGGGGGTATTTGATAACTCATATATTTATACATTTATACCATCCATTTCTAGTCTATTTGTGATGTTTTTGAGTTAAACATGTTGCGTTTTACCCTATTTTGTGTTAGTATGCAGTTGCACCTACTTTAGGATCAAGTTGAAGGCAAAAGAAATCAAAACATGTCATTTTTGGAGCTGGCCATTATTCAAACGTGGAAAGAAATTTCGTGACCTGTTTTGAAGTCCAAATAAAGATCCAAAGTGAACCTGGCTTGTTTAAAGACTAAGAGCGGAATGGGAAAGTAATGGGGATTTCTAGCCTGATTTGGAGGTGCCAAATAAGGCAAAAACGTGCAAAATAAAGGCTGATTTATTAGGATCTCTTTGGAATATCTAACAGCCTCTTTTACCCCATAAAAACTTGCCTTTTAGCCACTTTCACATACCCTATTTATTTTGGACGAATTTCACAACCCTAGACATCCTTCTTTTTGTTATTCTCCCCTTTCACACACACTTAAACCCTAGCCGCCCATATATTTCCACCATCAAGACTCATCGCAGGAGGCTGTTCTTGGAGAAGTTCAACATCAGAATTGGTTCAAGGGTTTCCTCTCATGAATTTATTTTCACTCATGTTGTTTATTTTCGTTTTAATCTTTGTGAACATGATGTGTAACTAAATTCATAGCTAGGGATTTCGATGTAGCCTTGCAACATTGATCCATGTTTCTAAGTTAAAGTATTCAGTTCATCAATCTGTTTCTTGTTTCATTCACTGAATCTATTGTTAAATTTGTTTGTCAATTTTAATGTTTGATCACCATTAGGGTTGCCTACAGATTATCTAGTCAAGGTTATTGTAAACATCATGCTTAATCTTGGTAGACATGTGAATGAATGAAGAGAATGCTATGCAAACATCCTGCCATGTGTTTTCTTCGGTTCTTTAACGTTTTCTTGCATGATAATGACTCTTAACTTGGAACCAAAGTTGAACATCCCAATTAGGTTGCATATTAGGAGAATTTGATCAAAACCACACATCATATGGCTGATCATATATATGTAAAACGAACTCTGGAAACAGGTTGGTAGTTGAATACGGTTTAATTTTATAAACATGGAATTGGTTTTGCAATGGTGAATTCGAAATCCCTGGTCTCATACCTATTCTTCTTACATCAATATCTCATTCGCTGCTACATTCGTCTTGCATTTTAAGTTATCTTTCATTTACAACACAAACTACTCTCAATTTGTCACTTTCACTTTTAGTTAGGGTTCTTTCAAAACTAGTAATTTATAGAGGTCCAATCGGTCCCTGTGGTTCGACACCCTTACTTGTACTATTATACTAACCATATATTGGCACTTGGAAGGAACACAACGAGCTGTTCCAAATCTCCTGCCTTCCTTACACAGAGCACACAACCCAAGAAAATCAAGCACTACCACCGACTCCATCTCAAGATGGTCGTGATCTCACTTGCAGGCCAACATCTGGCCAGAAGCGCAAGGCATCAATATCTTCATCCAACATCACTTTTGGTGAAATTGATGATGAGCAAAACCCAAAGGGCAATAAGAAGATCATGCTTAGAGACATTGAACGGCAAAGAAGACAAGAAATGGCCACCCTTTATGCATCTCTTTGATCACAACTTCCCCTTGAATATCTCAAGGTACAGTCCTATATAGCTAGCTAGTTAATTTTCTCAAATAATATGTGTCAAATTTCGAGATTCATACACAACTGTTAATCAGCAGTGTGTACTGGATAATTCGAGTAATCAACGATCTTAATATGAAATCTAGTAACATAACATGTCATCGCAACGGTTAGAGGCATTGGCAACATTTTTTGGTTGGAGACTTCACAAATTTCGTTTATATTTTCGCAAAGTTTGTATTTATGATGACAATTGTTGGTAGGAAACTAAGAACTATGTGGGATTTTTTTAAGGTTTGAATTATTGTTAATTTTAAGTATAATGCTATCTCAAATTAGGGATTTTTTAGACTATAAGAATTCTTTTGCTATAGCATAAGTTTATGTAAAACCTTTTTGTATATATAGTATATACATATATGTTTTGGTTTATATATCAATCCTTCTGTTTAGTGTTTTTGGTTTATATATTTTGTAATCTATGGCTTCAGGGAAAGAGGTCTATATCTGATCATGTTCATCAGACAGTGAATTACATAAAACATCTACAAAGCAATATCCAAGAGTTGCATAATAAGAGGGATAGGCTGAAAAGGTCGTGCGATATTTCATGCTCTTCCAGTACAAGTACTGCAGTAACAATGGAAAATTCCCTGAGTCCAATGAAGGAGTCTGTAGTATTGGTTAGACCTTGTAAAGCAGGAGTGGAGGTTGTGGTGAATACTCCCATGAAACAAAGGCTTGCTCTTGCAAGACTGCTCGAGATTCTGAAGAGAGAAGGACTTAGCACAATCAGCTGCATCTCAGCACAAGTAAATGAAAAGTTGATTTATACGATTGAATCTCAGGTATTTATAATCAATCCCTTCACTTCAACTTCAATTAAGGATTTTATTTGCCAATTTTCTTTTCTTAGCTACTTAAATATCTTAACTGCAAAGGGATTTGTAGCTCAAGTGGTTAACACAGTTCTTCTGTTTTTGAGTCCCCCCGTCCTCTATAATATCGCTTGTATAAAAAGTGTCTTACCTATCAACCATGACTAATGTTCCCTTAGTGCTACCAAACAAATGCTTATATTGTCATATTGTAAATTTCAACTACCATTGCAAAACAAAGCAACAAGAGAATCCATCAATACCATCTAATTCCTGCTCATATTTGAAATGTGTAACTACACAGGTCAGTGATGGGAAATGCATTGATATGTTTGAGCTCCAACAGAGATTGACAAAAAACTTATGATGATTAGCCAACTGACTTCAAATAAGGTGCTGGGAAAAATGATATCCTTTGTAAAAGTTTGGTGTGATGTGTTTATATCCCTTGTAGATATTCGACCTTCCAGGCATACTTAATGTGGCTTGGTATGGCTGAGATTTTTGCAAAATCTGTATATATGCGAAATTTGTGTGTGTTTGAGAACTGCAACTTTCTTGATGGTATCACTTTCTTTCCTTCATCTCCATGATCATAGAATCATGTTCTCTCCTATCACAAATATATATATATAATTAGGTAACTTGTGCCCATCCATATATATAATTTCTTAAATATTTGTATTCCATTTAGGCAGGAATATCAATTGTGATATTGGTATTCCATAAATATGCATCAAATTACTGACAATGAGCTCTGATCAGCTGTTATTTTGGTGAGCCAGTAAGTTCATCTTAATAACTTTTCATATATCATATGTATACTCTTTTTCGCCACATATTCCTTACATATAAACAATGAAATAATTACGAAGCTAATCAAATGGCAAAACGTTGTTCGATTTGGCTGATTTTTTGTGAGGGAGATATTTGAATAATGACCTAACAAATTCCCAGTTTAGATCATGAGATGACATAGTAAAGTGGGCCCAAATAGGTGGTGTGTGCCGCATGAACTTACTAACCAGTTAGCGATTGTAAAGGATATAACTATTAGTGCTACTTGTGACACGTTGTCATTTCCACACTACTACATTTCACCATTTGCGCGACGAAAGATTGCGCGACGAAGAATAATTCGTCGCGCAAAACATACTGGCGCGACGAACGAAAATATTCGTCGCGCAATCCACTGAAAATTTGCGCGACCAAATTTTTCGTCGCACGAAATGTCTTTGCGCGACCAAAAACATCGTCGTCATGCAAACAGAGTTAAAAAAAGCGGGGGGAATTTTTTTGGCGCGAAACATTTGCACGACGATTAAGACAACCTTGCGCGACGGTACATTGATTCGTCGCGTAAAAACGGACAGAACCCAATGGGTCCCTTTATTTGGCGGTAAAAACTTGTGCGACGAAATTCTTCGTCGCAAAAGACAGCTTAGCGCGACAGGAAGATTTTTCGTCGCGTAAGAGAACGAGGGATATTTTATTTTTGGCGCCAAAATTACCTGGTTGGGATTTTTTTTTGCGCGACGTACATACTATTCGTCGCGTAAAGTTCCAAGTTTGCACGACGAATAGCTTGTTTTGTGCAACGGAATTTTGTTTTTGCGCGACGATATTGCACGACGAAAGTTTGCGCGACGGAAAATACCAGCGTCGCGCAAAAGTTAGATGTCGGCAGGTGATTGCGCGACGAAAAAAAGGGTTTGCGCGACGGACGATTTGGTTTTTTGCGACGAAAGTTTGCGCGACGAACTTATGTATTCGTCGCACAAAGTCCTTCTTCTTCATATTAGAATTCTGCCATTGCAAAGGCAGAATGCAAAAACAAAGCATTCTGCCTCTGCCTCTCTCTCAATCTCTCTGCCGTTGCTGGGACTTCAATACATTGATTGGGTAAATATTTTTCGTCATTAGTTTAAAAGTATTAATTTAAGTTTGTACTAAGGTTTTTTATTTTGTTTTCGTTAGGGATATTTGTAATTAGCGATTGGTGGAGAACGATTGAGAAGGTATTTTATTCGTTTTATATATTAATAATGTTAATTTGTTATGTTTAAAATTTTCTTGTGAAGTTATATTTATATTATGTTGTTAAATTGTGTGTAACGTAGCACAATCTGTTGTGATGTACGAAGTTAATTGAAATTAACTTCGTGCTTTTATTTTTATGTTTAGTAACACTTAGTTTCCCGTTCGAGATTAGTTGGATTTCGTGCATGGATGCGTAATGCATGACTGCGGTCCAATTAATTCTTGAATTGTCCCATTATTTGGACAGTTTGGTAATGCATAGTGTTGTCACGTAATCTATGGCTACAGGATTAGGTTTCAATTGTGGATATTTCGATGTCATCTCGGTACTTTCTTCTGGTGGTACGTAGGTATTTACACCTATGGCCACCTCAAGAACTGTAGCGAGATGCTGGCGAAATTCATCCACGTCGAAATCTAATCTCATGTAGTCGTAGGTTACGTGGCAGGAGTATGCATTCCCGAATGGGATAGGACCCTTACCGGAGGCATAAGGTGACATTATAACTTCGTATGAAGTTGTTGTGATTGTTGTGTTGTGATTCTGGTTTCAGGAATTATGGACAGAAGGTGGATACAGAACCCGAACAGATGCGCAGACGAATACTTGGATGGAATCGAGGATTTTATTGAGTTTGCACGTAGACACAACCCGGGTGCAACTAGAATCCGTTGTCCTTGTAGGAGGTGCAACAACACGTTATGGGAGACAATTGAAAATGTTGGATTTCATTTAGTAAGGAATGGAATGATTGAGACATATAGCATTTGGAACCTTCACGGGGAACAATTAGAGCATGCTTCGTCTTCAAATGCCACAAGAGTGGACAATGTTCAACCTATTGTGGATGCTAATGATCAAGTCATGGATATTATACAGGATGTTTTTCCATTTGCATCGACCAACATGAATCAAGAAGAGCAAGATGATGTGCCTACACCAATAGACAGTGCGGAGTTTGAACAATATGAAAAATTGTTAAAAAATGCCAACCAAGAGTTATACCCGGGGTGCGAGAGCTTTTCCGTTCTCACGGCCATTGTGGAGCTAATGCACGGAAAAATAAAGTATCGTATGTCGAACCTGTGTTTCGATTACTTTTTGGGGGTTTTCAAGAGAATGCTTCCGACGGACAATTGTTTGCCGAAAGACCATAAACAGGCGCAGAAGGTGTTGAATGGTCTTGGATTGGGTTATGAAAAAATCCATGCTTGCAAAAACAATTGCATGTTATTCTACAAAGAGCATGAATCGTTGGATACATGTCCTATATGCAATGAGTCGAGGTTCAAGATGACATCTCAGAATAGGACGACTAAGATCCCACAAAAAGTCATGCGTTATTTGCCCCTAAAACCTAGGTTGCAGCGATTGTATATGTCGACGCATACTGCCACAGACATGAGATGGCATAAGGAAAAACGGGTAGACGATGATGTGATGCGGCATCCTGCAGATGGGGAGGCATGTAAAGAGTTCAATTGAACGTTCCCCGAGTTTGCTGCTGATCCCCGAAATGTTAGATTGGGACTTGCCACTGACGGATTCAATCCGTATGGGGTTCTAAACCAACACCACAGCACTTGGCCGATTTTCGTATTCCCATATAATTTGCCGCCTTGGAAATGCATGAAAAAAGAATACATGATGATGACTGTTTTGATAACTGAGGATCCTGGGAGGTCAATCGATGTTTACTTAAGGCCGCTGGTTGATGAGCTGAAGGATTTATGGACAAACGGTGTTCGCACGTACGATAAATCAACTGGGAAGATGTTCACTTTGCGGGCAGCAGTTATGTGGACTGTGAATGATTTCCCAGCATATGCAATGGTTTCTGGGTGGAGCACAAAAGGTTATATGGCATGTCCTGTATGCAAGGAAGATGTAACTTCTGGTTGGCACGCTGGAAAAGTTTGTTACCTTGGTCATCGGAGATGGTTGCCATGGGACCATGAGTGGAGGGAAAAAGATAAAGAGTTCGACGGGAACACAGAGCATCGCCTTAGACCCAGAGAATGGTCCGGTGATAAGATATTGGACCAGCTTAACCGGTTGGATTTTGCTCCCTTCGGGAAAACAATTAGTCATATCAGACCTTCTACACATATGAACTGGACGCACAAGCCTATGTTTTTTGAGCTCCCATATTGGTCGAAACTAAAATTGAGGCACAATCTAGATGTGATGCATGTTGAGAAAAATGTATTCGACACATTGGTGGGCACGATTCTAGATATCGAGGGGAAGACAAATGACACGATCAAAGCTCGTCTTGATTTGGAAAGAATGGGCATACGAAGGGATTTATGGATGAATAGGGACAATGATAAAGCTAGAAGGGATCTTGCATTCTTTTCTATGAAACCGAATGACAAAAAAGAGTTTCTAAAGTTTGTATCGTCAGTAAAGTTTCCCGATGGGTATGCTTCTAATATCGCACGTTGTGTGAATGTTGACGGGGGTAAATTTACTGGACTTAAGAGCCATGACTGCCATGTGTTTATGCAACGCCTACTTCCTGTTGGTATTCGACACCTATTGCCGGAAGATGTAGTGAAGCCAATCATTTTGTTGTCCAGATTTTTTTCCCAACTGACGGCAAAAACTTTGCGAAAAACGGACATGTTTCAGTTGCGCCATGACATTGTCCAAGTCCTATGCAAGTTTGAGATGATATTTCCTCCAGCTTTCTTCACAAGTATGATGCACGTGATGGTTCACTTGCCAGAAGAGGCATTGCTTGCTGGTCCTGTCAACTATCGCTGGATGTATCCAATAGAAAGGTATATAATCTTTATCGTTTGTGTATGCATCATTATCACATGCTTGCTAATTTGTATCATATCGTTTATTTTGGCAGGCTTCTCGGAGAGCTGAAAAAAAGTGTACGCAACAGGGCGAAGCCCGAAGGATCAATCGTAGAGGCTTGGGTTCAATATGAGTCGCTTACTTTCTGCGGAATGTATTTAAAAGATGTGGAGACGGTTTTCAATCGTCCTCAGCGCAATCATGACGGAGGTATGAGAAATGAAAAACTTTCTGTTTTTGCCCAAAGCGCACGACCCTTTGGAGATCCTGGACGCGAAGAGTCGTTTTCTAGAAATGACATGGAGGTAGCGCATTGGTTCGTACTGAACAATTGTGATGAGATCATGGGATACTTATATGAGCATGAAGAGATGATGAAGCGAGAACATCCATCACATTTGGTTGCCCAGAAACACCGTGAATTGTTTCCACAATGGTTTTTGGATTCTGTAAGTTATCAGTGTTTGTTATTTGAGAAATATAAATTGTAGTTTTTAATTTTGTCAGACTAACATATGAATGGTTTTGTATAATATTAGGTGAATAAGTTGAAATCATCGAATTCCCCAACTTACAGTGATGAGTTATATAACTTGGCGTTCGGCCCGATTCGCGCTGAATTGTTCTTGGGTTGTAATATCAACGGCGTCAAATTTTTGGGCGAAGCACGAGATGACAAGTTGTGTACGCAAAACAGCGGTGTCCATGTCCCAGGTGGAGGCGAAAGTACGGACATTGATTTCTATAGCAAACTCACAACTGTCGTGCAATTGCTTTACAAAGATCGATACCAAGTGATCATGTTTAAGTGTCGATGGTTTGACACCAACCCAAATAGGCCGGGAAGTATTAAAATCGATCATGGCTTACTATCTGTGAACATGAACAGAACTTGGTATGATGACGACCCTTATATTATCAACAATCCTTCAATTCTCAAATCATATAACCGAAAAAATGAATACAAAGAAAATAAGATTATCAACAATCCTTCAATTCTCAAATCAAAAGAAAATAGAATAAATCATACTTTCATACAATTAATTATATGTAATGATGAATAATTCAGCTTAATAATATGTGAATGAAAATAACCTTGCGCGACGAAGGCATAATTGTCTAGCACATTTTGCGCGACGGAAAACGTACACGTCGCGCATACTCTATTATTTGCGCGACAAATAATTCCGTCGCACAAGTAACTTTTGCGTGACGAACAAAAAGACCTCGTCGCGCAAACATATACATATATATATTTCTGATATATACACACGTATATATTTGAAATTGACGATCGAAGTAGTTCACTGTATTCACATAGGGTAAAACAGTGTAGCTGTAAAAAATCATCAAAATCAGAGTCAAAATAACCGTTAAATCATGACTTTTCGTTTATAACCGTCGAAACGTTTTGTCCCGTTACTTGATCTCTGAATGTTTTTTTTTCTCATTTTCGACGTATACGATCTCGAAGTATATTTGACGGCTGGATTACTGAAACTAGTTTCCTAGAATGCGTATTCCATCAAAACACAATATTCATCAAAAATGAAGAATTTATTTATACATTCATTCAATATAACATAAGATTATGTGATGTCCTGTACTGTAAATATCTGAAATTGAAGATCGAATTACATCTCTGTATTCATATAGGGTCAAGAACTGCAGCTGTAAACAATTTTCAAGATCAGAGTTAAAATCACCGTTGAATTGGGACAATTTGTTTAGAACCGTCGAAAAGTTTTGTCCCGTTACTCAATCTCTGAATGTTCATTCATTATGATTTTTGACGTATACGATCTTGAACTATAAAAAAAGAAGATTGCCGGTTGGATCATTGAAATTAGTTCAGGAGTTCGGGTTTAGGGCTTAGGGTATAGGTTTTAGGGTTTAGGGTACAAGGGTATGGGTTTAGCGACAAATGGACATTGAATTCGTCGCGCAAAACGATGAAAAAAAATTGCAGCCCTTCTCCGCTCCAACACTTAGCGAAATTTTTTTTGGCAAAAGCTAGATTGCGCGACGAACTCAAGTGCATTCGTCGCGCAAACGATGAAAAAAAATTGCAGCCCTTCTCCGCTCCAACACTTAGCGAATTTTTTTTGGCAAAAGCTACATTGCGCGACGAACTCAAGTACCTTCGTCGCGCAAAACGATGAAAAAAAATTGCAGCCCTTCTCCGCAGCTAGATTACGCGACGAACTCAAGTGCCTTCGTCGCGCAAACGATGAAAAAAAATTGCAGCCCTTCTCCGCTCCAACACTTAGCGAAATTTTTTTTGGCAAAAGCTAGATTGCGCGACGAACTCAAGTACCTTCGTCGCGCAAAACGATGAAAAAAAATTGCAGCCCTTCTCCGCTCCAACACTTAGCGAAATTTTTTTGGGCAAAAATCTAGATTGCGCGACGAACTTAGGTCTCTTCGTCGCGCAATATCATTTCATTTATCTTCCCCGCGCAAAATCAAATCCCAAAATTTGGGCGGCTGGACAAACTTGCGCGACGACACTAGTTGTTTCGTCGCGCAAAGGTGATATTTTCATAACTTTGCGCGACGAAAGTATGTTTTTAGGTCGTGCAAAGGTCATATTTTCAGAACCTTGCGCGACAGAAAGTCAATTTTGTGTCGCGCAAAAGTTATTTTAATGAATTTTGCGCGACGGATTTGGTTATTCGTCGCGCAAAGTCGAATAAGTTTTCTGAAAATCGCGATCTTCTCCTTCTTCCCCAGTTTCTCAAACGGAACCCTAACACCTCCCTCTCTCTCCGCCGTGACCTCAGCCCCTACTCTGCCCCAATTCCGACCCTGCCGCCACAAGCGTCGAACCCTGGAGCTTCTCCGCCATCGCCGTCCATCCTGCCGCCGTGATTTCCTCCGTTTAGGCCGAATCTTCGCCGCCGTTGTTCTCTCTCCTCCGGGCACCAAATCCGGCAATTGAGGTATGCTTTCTGGACTATTTTTGATGCTTTAGTTGATGGTTGGGTAGGATTTGATTGATTGTGTGCATAGGGTAGTGAATTTGAAACCCTAGGTTTCGGCCGGTTTTGAAATTGAAATTCCGGCCACTTCCGGCCGTTTTTCGGGGTAGGTCTGAGAACAAAAGTGCCTCCAATTGATGTTTTGAACCTAGGGTAGGAACCTTGGCCCTTAATTTTTAGGATTTCCCGGTGATTGTTTATCGCTTTGGGCACCCACGCACTGCCAGCGCTTGTGGTGGCGCGTGGGGTACTGTGGTATAGGGCATTGGGTCCCAGTGCAAACATTTCGTTGTAACGAGCGCGTAGGTGTGCTCGGATTGGAATTTGGTTATCGTTTGAGTCTCGAACGGTTCAAACCAATTGTGCGATTTTCGGGTTTGATATGTTCGGACCGTTGGATCGAGCTGAACTCACATATGTGGTACCATGTATTTATAGGATCGTTTAGGATTCGACGGATCGTGGATCGGAGTCACGAACTTGAAGGTCAGATGTCGGTGATTCTGCAGTCCCTCGCGCGGTCCGGCATTCCAATCCCGAATTTTGGTGCGTCGACCTCCTAGCCCGTCCACCCCGAGCATCCCCAGCACACCACGGCCCCTGCAGACGCCCATACCTCCGAGCCGCATGTGGCAGATGAGCAAGTAGATTTTGGAACATTATTTGATTAGTTTTTTATTTTTATAATTACTTTTACAATATTTCTCTTGTATACATTTCTTTTATTTTATATAATAAATGTTTTCTTTGCGATTAATCTTTTTATTGTAATTTCATTTTAATTATATAAAAAAATCAAATTTATTTTTTTACAAAATTAAAAATCAAATAATAATAATTTTTTTTTAATAATATATATTGCTTTTGCACGACGAAACGTAAGTCGTCGCGCAAAATCATTTAAATAAACCCGTTGACAAATATATTTTAATCATGCGCGACGAAGAATTTCGGTGCACAAAATGTGTATGCGCGACGAATTGTTTCGTCGCGCGAAATTTGTATGCGCGATGAATTATCTCGTCGCGCGAAATTTGTATGCGCAACGACTATTTTGTCATGCAAGGACTACGAGCGCGACGAATATTATTTCGTCGCGCAAAGTTCATGTATCTCGCGCGACGGAAGAGTCCGTCGCGCATTGTTTTTGCGACGACCAGTTTTTCGTCGCGCAAATATTTGTGCGATCGACATTAGGGTCGTCCCGAAATGTTTTTTTTAACGAAGTTGTAATACGTCGCGCAAAATAGCGCGACGAATGATATTTGTTCGTCGCGCAAATCCTTTCTTCACGAACTTTGCGCGACGGACTGTGCCCGACGAAACTTCTGTCGTGCATAATTATGTGCGACTAAAATCATTTTTGCGCGACGAAGACCCCTTCGTCGCGCAAAGCCTAAAATGTAGTAGTGCCAGGTGTAGGGGTCTTTTTATTCCAGCAGCCTGACGAATGGGCTTGGGCTGCCGAAAAGAGAAACATGTGTGAAATTGCCCATTGAGTCTAAGTTCAAGGATCAGGCCCCAAGAGTGCTTTGAAAGGGTAGCTGAGCCTTAGGAAACACCCTGGTCTTCTTCACCAACAAAACCAACAGTTGTTTATAGATAAATTCATGGGCTTGGCATGAGAGCTTGTGGCATGGGAGCTGAGTATTCGTGAGTTTAGCATGAGAGAGAGAAGGCTTGGGTTTCCTATGAGGAACAGAGGCTTTGAGAGATGAAGCTTGCTCTATAGATCTGTGTTGTGGAAAGAGAGGTAGAAGATGAAAGCATGGGTGGCTTTAACATATTTCCAGCAGCTTGATGAAAGCTTCGTCAAGCTTCTGGGCGATTTGACAGAAGAGAAAATGGGAAGCAATGGAAGAACAAGTCTTGAAATTGAAGGGTTCCAGAGATGAGAGATGATGCTTGCTCTCTTTGGATGTGGGTTTTGAAAGAGAAAAAAGAGGAAGATGGAAGAACAAAGCATGAAATTGAAGGGGCCAAAGGGGATGCTTGCCTTCAATGAATTCTCCTGGTTGTTGGGAGGCTTGCAACAACCAAGATGAGTTGTTTTTGCTGGGTAGGAACTGACTCCTTTTATAGGCGCCGAGAATCTTAATTTTGTCAAGCTTTCCTCCCTCTTTTCTTCACTTTCCTCCATTTAGTCTTCTTTGGTGAAACTTCTCTAGCCTGAGCGTGTAGGCATGAAGCTTTTTGGAGTTCCAAGGCCCTCAGGCAGCTGGACTTCTTCATGTGGGTGAGGAGCCACCCACTTTTGTTTATTGTTTTCTCACCAAAGCTTGAAGAGGAAAGAATGGGTAAGGGTGCTTGGTCAAAAAGGTGATCAGCACATGGGTTTGCTTGGTTTTACTGGTTTGGCTTTGACATGGTTTTAACAGAGATGCTTGATGTTTTCCACAATGCTAGGATGGACTATTGGTATTTTGTTTCCAGCGGCCTGTGAGTTACCTTTGATTTCGTTAGACTGCTGGAAGATTTGGCTGATGTGCGATTTTTTATGGGCTATGGCTATTGGACATTTTTTAAAGATGTTTGGGCCTTTTCTTAAGGTGATGAGCTATTGGGTTTTCTCTCATGCTTACTCATATGTTTGGACTCAAGGAATGGGCTTGAGTTTTGGTGCTCCCAAGTAGCCCAAAACTTCCACTCATTGGACCATCAATGGGCCTCGTGAATACTCGTAACCATCCATACCACAACCCGCTCAGCAAACCCCAGGCATTAGCGTGGCTTGGGCCCACTTAAGCTTGTAGCGTGGCGTGCTGCTTATTTGTTTGGCGTGGCATGTGTGCAAGCGCATGAACTTTTTCGTGCCCAAATCGGGTTTCTTCTCGGTAAGGTATCGCATTGGGCCGAGAATTTATTTGGGCCGAAGCGTGGATTTTTCGGGCCTCAACACCAGGTAATACATGGTATATATATTCAATGCGAATATTAATTCAATGTCATATGTTCTCGTGAATCCATTAGTACCAGGAATCAAATTAAATACCAAGCAATTAAATTTGTTGTTGGCAAGTCCTTATTTAGTTATGATTTTGGTTACTTACAACTTTTGCTTCTGATGTGCGATTTAATATGTACATTATACTGTGTTCGTAAGTAACACAAAGCTAAACATAAACAGAAACTCACAATACGTATTCTTGAAAATACATCTGTCCTTTCTCTAAGCATTTCTTTAGACAAAGACCCCGTTCCCTTTTTCCTCTTTCCGGATGCTAATTATTTCTCATGTAGTGCAAATCAAACTCATGTGTTTGAATTGAAATTGAAATATTACTGATGCAAGTTCTTCCCTTCGTCTGAACCAGACAGGTTCATAAGCCATGCATATGTACTGAAGTTTCGTTATTCAATACCTAAAGTTACTCTCCATATAATAGGAAAGCTGCAACTAATTAATAATCAACATTCGTAATCTTCCAACTATTAATATATATCCAACTCCATATTATATTATATATTCAAGGTCGTTCGTGCATGGAGTCAGATAAGCGAAAATACTTCCTAGTGATTATTTCATGGTTGTCATATGAGAAACACCAAGTTCTATGTTATACACATATATAATATTCCAACAAAGCAATATCCAATATATGTAATTGAATTTTGAAGTAATCCCTCATCACTAATTTTGCATTATTTGCAGCAAAATAAGAGTTCTGCTAGCTAGCTAGCTCACCTAGCCCTACTTCACCAAGATAGCACTTGTCCCCAATCTTGATCCTATATATATAATTTGGGTGTTCTATAGCTAGCTATAGCACCCAAAAAAAAATAAAAAAAACATGAAACGACACTAGTGAACAACTTCAATCGTATGATGCCCCAATTTTTAATGGGGTAGTTTTAAGGGTAGTTACACCCCATAATGTTTTACACCCCACTAAATTTTAATAAAATTTCAAATTACTCATTAAACCCCTTTTTTTCCCTAAATTGCCCTCATAAACCCCATTCCCTAACCACCCACCGAAAACCCCCTTCCCTTTCAGCCACACCCCATCTGAAATCAAACCCCACCCCATCTGATATCCAGCCACACCCCACCGAAAATTCTCTTCTCTTGCAGACACACCCCATCGCACACCCCATCCCATTTACACCAACCTCCATCGCAGAACCATCAAAGAAGCCCTTTGCCATCGCCTCCATCGTAGAACATCGAAGAACTCATCCCTTTGCCATCGCAGATCTTTGCTCACCATCGAAGAAGCCCTTTGCCATCGCCTCCAACAAACTCGAACCATCTCTGAAACAGAACCATCACACCCATCTCCATCTCTGCAAACCCGAAAGCCATTGAAGGTCAAGTTCTCACAAATCCTTATTCAAGGTTTGATTTCAAATTTGATTTATATATTTACGTTTCTAAGTGTTGATTAAGCATACATTTGATTTCACTTTTGAAAAGCCAAAGTCTAATATTGATTTTGATTTCGATTTCAAGGTTCTGGGTAGTTCGAACCCGGTTTTAGGAAAATGGATTCTAGTTTCGGTGGATTGCCACCAAAATGATTACATTGCTTCAGTGGTAGTCCACCGAATTGAACTTGTACTTTCGGTGGGTTACCACCGAAATTGTTACCTTGTTTCGGTGGTAGTCCACCGAATCTGTATCTATTTTTCAGGGGACTCCCACAGAATTTCTTTTGGTTTTTCAGTGGTACTCTACCGAATATGTATTCTTTTTTCAGTGATTTTCCACCGAATTTATTTCTGTTTTTGAGTGATTATGTATCGAATACGTTACTGAGTGTATACTTAATATTGTTTATTTTTAGATATGAAGAGGATTCGTAGGGGTACTATTGAAGCTTCATCATCCCGACCTAATAGACAGCGTCCCACGGCCTCAGCAAGGAGACAAAGAGCGGCTCCCCAAGATCACATTGAGGATACTACAGAGGTTGAAGATATAGTTCCCACTTATTATAGTAATGTTGACGCAGAGGTTGAAGATGTAGCTACTACTCAGGATAGTAATGTTGAGGTACATGCCGAGCCTACTGAGCCATCTCGAGTAGGTCCCATTGATCCATCTTTCCTTACGAGTTTTAAAACTCACATAGCAGCTGCAATTTGGAATAACCAGGTAAGTCGTATTACTATGACAATAGAAGGTAGAATATAAGTCTGGTTCATGGTAACCTTAATTTTTTTTTTTTTTTTTTTTTTTTTATTTACTAGGAACGTGAGCCCCTTAGGTGCACGTCGAAAACATCTACCCTTCGTGAATGGAATTGGTGGGGTAATCCAAATAATGGTATATTCAAAGGGTACATTCAGAGGTCTGGATTAGAGCACCTTATTAGGTGTTCTTATCGGAATGCTGATAAGATTGTGGTATCTACATTTGTTGAGAGGTGGCATCCTGAAACGCACACCTTTCACATGCCTTTTGGTGAGATGACCATCACATTGGATGATGTGTCATCTATTTTAGACAAACATTCCTGTGTCTGTTGATAACAATAATAAATTTTCCTGAAGCAAAATAAATTTTCAAATTAACATATCAAAAGTTGACTAAAATACTTACCTATTTGAGGTTGTCGATCCAAGATGCATATAAGTGTCTGTCCATGCGGCCACAAACCTATCCTTAAATGGATTTAACCAATTTTCATGTATGTATTCAAGAGCTTTTTGAAATTCACTGAACTTAGACTCAATCTGTCACAAACAACGCCAATATTCCTCCTCCGTTTCTGAACCAACCAAAGTATTCCAATCCTCATTAAATTGCTTCCATTGTTTGAGGGTCCCAAATAACTTCTTGCAGTTTGCCAACACTCCTTTGTTAATATGCCATCTACATAATAAATGTCTTTCGGAAATATAGACGTAATAGAATTCATGAGTGCTAACTCTTGATCAGTGACAATAACACCAGGATGACAATTATCATCCAACAAACTCCTCAACGCATTCAATGCCCATGTGTAATTGTCTTCCTTCTCGACATTCATTGTTGGTCCGTCGCAAATCTCGCGGCCTGGTGCTCAGGGCCAAGGGGATGTGCGTCAACACGTGACGTCCTCCTTTTGGATGTGGTGCGGTTGTGCACGGGCATGCCAGCACGGTCTACCGTGCGTCGAGGTGATGATGAGGTTCGGGTAGAAGATGGTTTAAATGTTGCGCCTGTTTTGCGTTCGACTCCTAATCAAACGATTCTGACCGAGTGAGGAACGAATCTCGGCCGTCAGGTTCACGGCCTGAGCTACAAGGCCGTTTAGTGGTGGTGTTGGTGGTGGGTTTTTAGGCGGTGCTCCGGCGCGTTGCTCAGAGAGCGACGGTCGTATGATATATGGGGTGAGTGAGGCGATAACAGAGGTGGTGCTCTGGCGCCTTGAAAATCAAGGGTCGTATGATATATTGATGAATGGATTTTCCTTACAGTCTACCACTACTCCTAAGAAAGCAAATAAAGGTATTGAAAGTGCATTACAGAAAATATAAGTTGCTCCGTGGGAGGCTTTTGGTTTGGTGTTTGAACCCTTTGAATGTAGTCCTGAGCTTAGTATTTATAGGAGTCCCGGAAGGACATTCGAGGCCGACAAGACCTGCGTGGTGGAGCCTGGCCGGGCAAGTGGATAGTTAAATCGGCATTTGGGATCGTGAAGCATGGTGGTTTGGGGTTGAGAAGCATGGTGGAGTCTGATCGGGGTAAGTGGATAGTCAAATCGGCATTTGGGATCGTGAAGCATGGTGGTGTGACCCCCATAAATCTCGGCAAATCTCAGCCACCGCCTTGATCATGGGCTCTGCACTCTTGGCTGTGGGAACGCATTTAATGCTCTGGTCCAGTGGTTGGTGATCTGACCTCAAGCTGTGAGAACGCTTTGTGAGAATGTTTGCGCCTAACCACTCTGATTCCTGTTACCAAATCCTGACTTCAATCACTTCCCTTCTGCCCTCGTGCATTAAATGCTTCTTGCACCCAGTGGTTTTGCTGTGGCGGTCAGAGACACTACTTCATTAAATGGGGTGTGGGACCCTAAGGCCACGTGGCGATTTGACCATAGTATCTTTGGCCGTCTCTCTCATGGACCTCGGCCTCGGCCCATAATGTCGTGGTTGTGAGGCCGAGAAAATCCTGCCTTCGTATTTTTCTTCTGTTTTCGAAAAGGCTAAATGTTTGACGAAACGTGGCCGTTTCAGTCCATGAACAGGTGCCATGGCTGAGAAGAGGTTCCTTCTGACGACCGTGATTTAGTTAGGCACAAACATTGCCCCCACATCCCTGGATTCTTTCGGTCGCGGCTTGGGCAAAGGCCGAATGGATTCCAAGGGATGGACTCTCTGCGTTCCCTTCGAAGTGATCAACAGTTGGCGTCTTAAATGCGAAGGTCAATCAACGCATTAAATGCACAGGCACGTCCCTTAAGCCATCATTGCCTTGATTCGCTCGAGCCGTCGCTTCGCCTCGTCAATTGAAACAACGGCCTCCGGGCTTCTGACACATCATTGCGTATTCGAGCACACTGTCAGACCGTTACGTCACTCGAGAGAATCATGCCCTTTCCTTCTTCATTCTCTCCTCATGCTTTCAGAATTTTCAGACGCCCAAACTTTGCCAAAACGTTTCTCTCAATTTCTCAACCCTTTCGAACTCATTCAAGCACTCCACCTCTCTGCCCAGTTATCCTTTTGTTTGAACGCTTGGCTTCCCAGTGTTCTTCGTGTTTATCATCCTTTCCTCGACTTTTCTTTAAAACACCCTTTTTGATCCGTTTTAATGGCCTCCAGCACTTCTGCCTCCGTTGAAGCCTTGTCCCAAGTCTTCCAGACTCAGTTCGAGGACATCTGCCGAGAAATCCAGACCTCGATCCTTTCTGATATCATCGCGCCCTGGACTGATGACGATGGCGCTGTTACAGATTCTTGCATCCTTGGCCCCTCCGTGGAAGGGGGAATGCCAGAGAGATTGGCCGTCCATTTGAGGGACAACTTGGTGAATTTCCTGGCCTTTGATGGGGGGATTTCCAAGACTGGAACGTTGCCAGGCCACAGCCCCAATGGCCAACCTCGACCCCAGACTAGGAAAAGTGGCTGCCGAGGACGGAACACTTCTTTGTCCAGCAATGGAAGGATCAAGGCATCTACCACTTGATCAAGCTGTTCGATCAGCCGCTTGTTATGGACCAGTCGCTCTTGGCCGCAGCCTTATGCTTCTGGTCGTCGGCCACAAATACCATGAACTTTAGGTTTGGCAAGATGACGCCGACCGTTCTAGACATGGTCGCCCTATTCGGCCTATCCCCTCTTGGCGTGGAGGTGAACGCCGCTCTAACCGCCCCCGAGGCCGAAGGGAGCTTTAAGGCCGCATGGCCTACGGTAGCCAAGCTTGCTGGGAGCAAGGCGAAGAACATGCTCAACTACTCCAGCTTCTACAGCAACTTCGGCTTGGAGGACAGCGCTGATGATGATTCTATTGCTCCCTTAGGCGAGGTCGAGCACGCCGCGTTCTTGCTATACTGGCTATGCAAGTTCGTGTTCTGCACCTAGGCGAATAAAGTTACCCTGGAGTTCGCCCACCTGGCCAACTATCTTGCGCAGGGCGGAAGGCTAGCGCTTGGCCCATTCCTCCTCAGTCATGTCTATGACACGTTTCACGACGTGGTCACCGACGGGATGAAGTCGAAGCACGGTGGTCCACTATGGGCTTTCCAATTCTAGCTGCAGGCTTACTTTCCAAAACTGAGGGGGACGGTCAATATCGCCGACACCGAGCCGCTGGCTAACGCACTCGCTCGGGCCCCCAGGAAGCATAATACCTCGGTCTTTTGCTACAAGTTCTTCTATGAACTGACCAAGAGGGCCGGGTCGCAGTTTCGGGTGTGCCTTGCTAGGCCGTATCCTTTGTACCTGACGCACGACCTCTCTGTGGTTCCCGACGGCGAAACGGAGAATGAACTAAGGGAGATTTGGGGCTCCTTTCTGGTCGCGCGCGACCTCCACTGCGGCGTATCCAAGGCCGAGGCCGAAGTCTATTTGTCGCACCTTGTGGCGCGGCAATTCGGCTTGATCCAGACGACACCGCTCCCGCCGCTGTCACTCAATCGGCTCTCGTCATGGAGGGCCGACGTCAGCCAGCAGCACGGCGTGGCTGGGATCTCTTTCCAGCTGCAGAAAGGGATGACCTTTCTTACCCTGAGGTCGTGGATGCGTCGTAATACGGTCGACGAAGATGGAAGGGTCTGGTACGAGGAGTGCATCTCGGCCAGATTTATTCGGCCTGTTGAAGAGGCCGTGAGGAGGGCCCTAAAGAATGCAGATTGGGACCCCCTCCTTCCCAAGGCTGGCAAGGTGAAGAAGGCCTCGGCCGTGCTTTCACGACCGAGTACGCCGGCCGCAGCCGTGCCCAGGGTGGCGGTCGCTCCTTCGGCCAGAGCAGCAGTCGTGACTTCAACCGCGGCTCCAACCTCTAGAACGCCGGCTGTGGTGGGGGCGCGAAAGACATTGGCGCATAGGACCGTGCCATCTTCCCCGCCGGCTTGACCAATTGCTGACGTTGGTAAGCCCTCTTCTATGTTTTTTCCGTCGGTCTTTCTGAGCCGCCTTTGTCCTTGTTTGTTTATTTACTTTACTTTTTTGCTTCTTTCTCTGTACATGTAGCCCCGGGTCGCAAGAGGGGTCGAGAAGCCTCAAGCACCGAGGCCGCAGTGATTGCGGTCGTAACGGCCGAAACTGTTGTGGTTGAGACGGTGGCGTTAGAGCGGGCGAGGAAAAGGGTCCTCTTGGATCTCTCAGAGGACGAGGATGAGGAGGAAGCTCCTTCGGTGGCTGTGAGTGAAGCCCCTCCTGCGACCGTAAGTACCTCTTCTTGAACTTTTTCTCATTTTCCTTTCCCAGGCCACGGCCTTCCCCTCCTTGTTTATCTTGTTAATCTGGTCTTTTCCTCAAGGCGAGGAAGAGGTCGAGGAGGAGGCTGCTGCCGAGGCGCGGGGTGTCGAGGAGGCGGTTGCTGCCGAGGCAATAATCCAGGAGGCTGCCAACCCCGAGGAGTTAGTCGCCGAGGAAGTGGTTAAGGAGGTGGCCGAGGAGGTGGCCACTGCCGAGGATACCGAAACGCTGGGTGTCGAAGAAGTGCCAGCTACTGAGGAGCCTGCCGCAGATATGCCAGACGGTGAACTACCTGTTGTGGAACCGACACGGGCCACCCCGACTGAAGTTCCTTCGGCCACCCCTGTTGTGTCTTCCGCGCCCCGTCGTCCAAGCGGCATCATGTTTCGCTCAGTAAGTGCTTTGCTTTTACTATGTTTTATTTTATTTTTTTTGGAATTATGGCGCACGCTTTTGACCGAAATTTTACTTTCAGCCCCCCCGGTCGTCACTGCTGTTATCCACGGTCGTTATGAGTATGCCCCCAGCGCCGTCGCCTCAGGAGTCGGTTGTGGTGACCACGCATGCAATGGTTGAGGCCGCAGTTACTGACGCGCCGAGTCCACCGCCTGTTTCTTCGGCGGTCTTGACCGAGCTTTCGGCTACAGCAGCTCTTGGTGCGTCGTCGGCCGCTCAAGTGAGTACTAGCTTTTTCGTCCTTGTCATTCCTCATGTCCCAGCTGGTTGCTTTCTTTCTGACCCCTTTTTTCCTATCTTCAGAAGACCACCTCCTCCGATGATCTCGAGGAGTTATACGCCAGCCTCCATGACGAGGATTCCAGGGCTGTTGTTGAAAAGCTCCGTGAGTTCCTCTTGTTTGGGGTTCACCAAATGACCACGGCCGAGGCATTCATGGAGTTTAGGTCTTGCCTGGATACGGCCATGGCGATGGGCTTGTTGGATTCGGCTCAGCTGGATGAGCTCCAGGTACGCCTGGCCGAGGGTGAGAAGATGATTGGTCGATATGCTGAGGCCAACCTAAGGATGACCGAGGGGTGCTCGTTCGAGAAAGAGCTGTCAGCAATCAAAGAACAAGTCCAACCTGCCATGGCTCGTTTGAAGGAGAATGACCTCGTTGTCCAACGAGAGAATGAAAAACTTGAGCAGGTCGTGGCTCAGATTGCCGAGCTCCAGGCCCGTTGAGCCCTCGTCCTTTAGCGCCGAGATGGTGTGGTTGCGATCGGCACCGAGCTGAAGTCTTTGGCCAGGCAAATCCTCAAGGCGACGACCGAGAAGAAGAGGGCATTGGCCGAGAGGAAGTTGATCTGGGCGAGGTGGTAGGCGGATATAGACAGTAGAGACATCGCCTGGAGAAGGATAACCTGCCTGATCTTGGGGATGTTCAGCGAAGGCGTTTAGGGGGGTGGCTGTATGATTGTTGTAATAGTTAAATGTATTCTTTTCCTATATATACATTTTGTTTGATCGGTCGTGACTGGCCGCTCTCTTTTCTTCTTTGTAGAAACAATATTTCTAACCTAATTATAAGGCGCAGGCCCTTTTTCTATGAATGCCTTGTACGTTGCTTTTTATACCACGCCGTTTTGTCTAACTCGCTGGCCTACTTCCACCTTTTTTTCTTTTTGAGTTTTTTGCCGTAGGCCCTCGGTGCCATTTTTCCTTGCACTTGCACCGATTTGTAAGCGTTGAGCCCTGACCGTTCTGAGTCCCCTGGCTTCTGAGCCGTGGTTTAAGCATGGTTTTTTATTTTTCGCCTACGTCGCTTGGCAACTCGAGGAATTCGACCCCTAGCTTCGTTAGCTTGTCAATGTCATGGTCGTGGGTCAAGACACAAGGGGAAGTGTCCACGGCCAAGTGTTTTGATGCACGGTGTTCCCAAGAAGCTTCAGGGAGCAAGTCGCACCAAGTTCTGGGCTTTCCGAGCGGATACGGCTTGGTATAACTTGGTGCTCCCGGCTGTCTCTGGGCTAAGCCGTCCTTGGTCGCACGCCGGATTTCTTTGGTCCAATGATCCTGAGGGAGCGGCTCTAGCTGGGTTGGAAGTGGCCACTGGACCTGCTGCATGTCGTTCCGTGGCTCTGTCTGTTGGGCCATCTGAACAAGGGGTTCAGCCGTTGCGACCGAGCCGAGCGGCTTTAGGTAAGCGTCGTAGGTTTGGCCGGGATGCATATGTGTCGCTGTTGGAACGGCCGAACTGTACTGAGGGTGGGATCCTGATGGAAACAACGACGCTTTTGATGGTGAAATGGTCGGATCGTTCCGACCGTGTCGTTGTGACGAAGTTTCGGTCGCGTCGCCTGGGCCAGGATGGGCGTGGACGGCTGAGGCGCGTACTGGGCCGAATTTCTGGGCCGTGGGATACTTGGGGCTGTTCCGCCCCAATGATACGGCCAAAGCATGGAGTGGGCCGCGCTTCATTTTTTCTGGGCAGGTGGGTCCAGGATTTACCCGCGTCGGTTGGGATTGCCCCAGCTTTTTGGCTGAGAGTGCGGACCGTAACCTCATGCCTGGGTGTGGGTAGGCATTACCGGCATCCCTTCCTGGAAAAGCGTCTGCAGTTCTGTAGAGAATTTGTCAATCACGGCCATAAAGGATGTCTCTATCCTGAAGGCCTGCCTGTCCATTAGATCCACCATGAGGTCTTTTGACAAGTATCCCACCGGGCGTGCCAAAAGTGTTGGTCCGTCGCAAATCTCGCGGCCTGGTGCTCCGGGCCAAGGGGATGTGCGTCAACACGTGACGTCCTCCTTTTGGATGCGGTGCGGTTGTGCGCGGGCGTGCCAGCACGATCTACCGTGCGTCGAGGTGATGATGAGGTTCGGGTAGAAGATGGATTAAATGTTGTGCCTGTTTTGCGTTCGACTCCTAATCAAATGATTGTGACCAAGTGAGGAATGAATCTCGGCTGTCAAGTTCACGGCCTGAGCTACAAGGCCGTTTAGTGGTGGTGTTGGTGGTGGGTTTTTAGGCGGTGCTTCGGCGCGTTACCTAGAGAGCGACGGTCGTATGATATATGGGGTGAGTGAGGCGATAACAGAGGTGGTGCTCCGGTGCCTTGAAAATCAAGGGTCGTATGATATATTGATGAATGGATTTTCCTTACAGTCTACCACTACTCCTAAGAAAGCAAATAAAGGTATTGAAAGTGCATTACAGAAAATATAAGTTGCTCCGTGGGAGGCTTTTGGTTTGGTGTTTGAACCCTTTGAATGTAGTCTTGAGCTTAGTATTTATAGGAGTCCCGGAAGGACATTCAAGGCTGACAAGACCTGCGTGGTGGAGCCTGGCTGGGCAAGTGGATAGTCAAATCGGCATTTGGGATCGTGAAGCATGGTGGTTTGGGGTTGAGAAGCATGGTGGAGTCTGATCGGGGCAAGTGGATAGTCAAATCGGCATTTGGGATCGTGAAGCATGGTGGTGTGACCCCCATAAATCTCGGCCACCGCCTTGATCTTGGGCTCTGCACTCTTGGCTGTGGGAACGCATTTAATGCTCTGGTCCAGTGGTTGGTGATCTGACCTGAAGCTGTGAGAACGCTTTGTGAGAATGTTTGGGTTTATAATGCTTTGGCCGTCTCTCTCATGGACCTCGGCCTCGGCCCATAATGCTGTGGTTGTGAGGCCAAGAAGATCCTGCCTTCGTATTTTTCTTCTGTTTTCGAAAAGGCTAAATGTTTGACGAAACGTGGCCGTTTCAGTCCATGAACAGGTGCCATGGCCGAGAAGAGGTCCCTTCTGACGACCGTGATTTATTTAGGCACAAACATTCATATACACATACACAACAGAGAATGTCATATTAGTAGATGTCACCCCCACAATTTGCAATAGTGGGAAACGATATCTATTAGTCTTATAGGTGCAATCCATGATAAGTACATGTGGAAATGAGCGCAAAATATCAATATTAATGGGGTGTGTCCAAAACAGGTCAGTTACAATATCACCAGATGTCATGTGCCACTCAATATACTTGTGTTCGGATAACTTAGTAAGCAATTGTTGCATTTGGGTTCTCCCAGCAAATTCTTTGGTTCTATTTCGGATCCTAGCATTGTATATTGTTTTCATAGTTGAAACATTCATTGCATCGCTATCTTTAATGGTGACCAAAATATCTCTGGGTTTCACCAAACTCTTAGACATGTCCACCAACAAGGCATTCTCCTCTTCAGTAAGTCGCCCCACAAATGAATGACCTTGAAGATACTCTGAAATAGGATGGTTGTGTACTCCACAACCCACCTCCAACTTCCAATCATCCCCATCACCAATATTGACACCTTTTAACAAGAATGGGCATCCACATTTCTTGGTACCAGTGTCCCTAGCACATTTTTTTCATATCACCATTTGCATTCGACCTTATATCAGTTGTCTCACTAGACTTGCAAGACTTATAGTTACCGTTCCTCTCACAAGCAAGTATTACACGAGGTCTCCTCTTGCCCTCACCTCCATAATCAGACCTTTTAATTACAATGACAATATTATTCAATTTTTCTTGTTCACGAGCCCATCGAAGTAATTCATCTCTACCATTAAATATCTACACATAAAACTCATATTATTTAAATATAAAATTTGAAACATTAATGCCACGTTAATGATACTAAAAAGGATTTCAGACAAATAATTACCGAATAAGTTGTGAATTGATCACTATAGTCCATTACACATTCTGTTCCCACATTGTTGCCTTCAGTAGGGGCGTCACCTTGATTTTGTTTCTTCACTGGGAGTAAGATCAAAATAACTTGGATTAAATTTGTGGTCGGCAATAAGTTACTGAAAAAATAAATAAATTTCGGTTGGATGCCACTGAAACGCGGGTAAAAGTTCGGTAGTACATCACTGAACTACGTTCCATCTTACGGTGGATCCTCACCGAATATTAAGTTTCTCACCGGTGAAATCCAACCGAAAACGATGCAACGTTTCGGTGGCATCCCACTGAAATTATCTGTCGCGTTCGGTACTGATGTGCTGAACACAACCAGCAACTGTTATGAAATACTAAACTTGGAAAACGCCAAAAAATAAACTCGTACCTCATTCAAAGCGTCTCTAACTTCAATCTCACCCTTCATGAATAAATACAATATATTTTTTCACCAGTATAAACTTATAAATCTTGGGTTTATGGTTTAGGAACATGATAGTTTGAGAAAAAAGTCAAACTAGGGTTGTAGGAACATATGTGGGGTGTAGTGAGCAATTTTTTTTGTCCTTAACGGTAATTGTGTACAAGGGTAAAATAGGTTATTTATATTTAAAATTAGTATGAGGTGTAAAGAGCAATTAATGAGGTGCCAATAAAATCACCCTTTTTAATCATATAAAATAGTTCAGATCTCTTTCTTTGAGTATTCCACAATGGAGAACGGAAAGTTTGCATTATTTCTTAAAAGATTATGACATTATTTTCACCGATCACTAATTAATTTTGTCTTGAATGTTTATATTCTAACATGATATATGAAAGTATTATATCCACGAGTCATGCTCATTTTCGATTTTTACTTTGTTGTTCTCATTCGACTTTATTCTTAGTGGTTTCCCATAGTGAGTTTATTGTTACACACTTTTTTTTTGCCAACAAAAACAAAAATATACAAAAGAAGATAGTCTTTTTTTTTTTCTTTTTTTTCTTTTTGATCAAAGATAGGAAGAGAGGGGGATTTACTCATACACACTAGTATCTAGAATTAGGAGTTTCGAACCTGAAAATATTGATTTTAAGCAAAAAACACTTTTGCATTATGATAGATATGACCCCATCGACCAAAAGAAGATAGTCCTAACTAAGAAGATATGGATCACCCTAAGGCAACAGTTATAGCTGGTACCTATTTTCTTATCTTAATTATGTTGATATTTCTGAGACATAGCCACGTGAGGCGAACCAATTATGTTTTCAAACAATGTATCTGGCCCGTTCTCAAAAAAAAAAAAAAAAAAAAAAAAAAAAAAAAAAATCTGGCACACACCCCTTTATCAACTACAATCTTTATTTACGAAATATTTTATTTGACTAATAGGTAGTAGCTAACTAATTGAAAGGACCAATCCCTAACAAATCTTCAAATCGTGAATAGTACGTTGTGTTTAGTTCTGTTTCTTCATATTTGGGCTAACCCCACTTATCATCCTCTTTTAGGCCCCGTTTGGTTCATGGGAAAGGAATCATGGGGATGGGAAAGCAATTGTTTTCCCATGTTTGGTAAGTCAGGCATGGAAAATCGTTTCCTGGGACATGGGAAAGTAGGAGGGAAAGTGATTCCATCCTTCCTCCTTGGGTTTTACTTTCCCTTCCCATGGGAAAGTAAGGCAAGCATTAAATGCATTTTTTTTTTACTAATTTGTCCTTACTAATAATTTTAATTACAGCTTATCCAACAGCAGCAACGTTCTATTTCCCCTTGGGTATTCTTTTTTGTTTTTTTAAATTCACATTTCTCAAAACCCTCCCAACGGCAACGTTCTATTTTTAATAGGACATTTTGCATATTCGGACTATCAATAGGACATTGGTGTAATGTTTAATAATTAAATTGGAAAGTTTAATAAAATTAATAGATTTTTCATATTTTTAATAGGGGTACAATTAGGAAACTAAACAAAATTTGTTTTCCATTCCTACTCAAAACAAACATGGGAAATGAAATAAAGTGATATTTTCGGGTTACTTTCCCGGCATTACCAAACATGGGAAAGGAATCACCATTTCCCATTCCTTGGGAAATCACACGGGAAATGATTTCCCATCAAATCCATTCCGTGAACCAAACAGGACCTTATGTTTAACAAATAAGATTGCATCCGTGCGGAATAGATGATTATATTGCCAAATTGGATCACCAATCAGGCATAAACCAACATGATCAATAATTAAAGTTCAAACTTTCGCAATATAAACATTTTATATTATCAAATAATTTTCGAAGAGTGCTGTTATTTCCACCCACCTATCTTATTTTTCCACCTACTTTATTTTCAAAATTTTAAAAACAAATTTATCCCTTTACAAAATGACTTTTAAGGACAAATTTAGAACTCTCTCTATTTATTTTTAGGAAGCTTTAGTTTTAAAGCATAATATAGTTTACTAATTTAGTAGAAAGAAATACAATTTAGTCTAATTAGCAAAAGGCAAAAACCAAAATGTAACAAAAATACCATTACAAAATATGAAAATTACAACATATGCCATTTTCAGTATTTAGTTTTAAACAAAAACTGAAAAACGACATCAAACCAAAACTGAACCAAAACGACATCAACCGAAACCAAAATTGAATCACAACCTATTCGCGCGACGTTTCAACTTCACCTCCAGAAACCTCCAGACCACCAACGATCATCGAAGACCGCCAACCCATTCGTGCGACCATCATCGAAGACCACCAACGATCGAAGCCGATTCTTCATTCTCTCTTTCAGCAGTTCCAACCTATTCCCCCAAAATCTGAAACGGCAACCAGCGACGAGCGACGACCAGAAGCGACGACCAGCAACAACGACGATTGAAGGGTTTAGAACTCTCTTGGGGAAAAAATCGTAAGAAAATGACCCCTAACACAAATTTGCCTTCGATTTTAGGGTTCTGAAATTTTACTTACTGTCATTCTGCAATGTAGTTTAGGTTTTGGGTTTAGTTTTGGTTTGAAAACCTCTAAAAACCGAAAAATCACAAAAGAAAGAAAAAGAGCATCAAAACTATTTTCTGTACTGAAGAAAAAAGAAACTGCATTGTAGTTTCTGCTAAATTATTTATACTTCTTTCCATTTCACGTCATGTTCTTCTGTAGTTTCTGTTATGTTTTGTAGTTCTTGTTTTGACTATGCTGATCTTTCAATTTCATGTCAAGTTGATGTATATTTTCTGGTATATTCTGTTTTTTGCATTGCAGTGAACCACAAACTGCATTGCAGTTTCTGTGCATTTCACGCCATGTTGTTCTGTAGTTTCTGTTATGTTTAGTAGTTCTTGTTTTGGCTATGCTGATCTTTCAATTTCATGTCAAGTTGATGCATATTTTCTGGTATATTCTGTTTTTTGCATTTTAGTGAAAGACAAACTGCATTGCAGTTTCTGTGCTTCTTGAATGTTGCTCATTTCACGCCATGTTGTTCTGTAGTTTCTGTTATGTTTTGTAGTTCTTGTTTTGTAGTTCTTGTTTTGTAGTTCTTGTTTTCTGCTTTTTCTGTTTGTGGTTCACTCAAATACCTTGTCAACAGTGTCTTCCTCTTCCCTGGTAGTTTTTCGCTTTTTAGGAGTTTTGAAAATACCCTGTACAATGAGAATGATTTAGCATGAATTCACATTCATGATTTGGCTATGCTGATCTTTCAATTTCATGTCAAGTTGATGCATATTTTCTGGTATATTCTGTTTTTTGCATTTTAGTGAAAGACAAACTGCATTGCAGTGAACCACAAACTGCATTGCAGTTTATGTGCTTCTTGAATGTTGCTCATTTCACGCCATGTTGTTCTGTAGTTTCTATTATGTTTTGTAGTTCTTGTTTTGGCTATGCTGATCTTTCAATTTCATGTCAAGTTGATGCATATTTTCTGGTATATTCTGTTTTTTGCATTTTAGTGAAAGACAAACTGCATTGCAGTGAACCACAAACTGCATTGCAGTTTCTGTGCTTCTTGAATGTTGCTCATTTCACGCCATGTTGTTCTGTAGTTTCTGTTATGTTTTGTAGTTCTTGTTTTGGCTATGCTGATCTTTTAATTTCATGTCAAGTTGATGCATATTTTCTGGTATATTCTGTTTTTTTGCATTTTAGTGAAAGACAAACTGCATTGCAGTTTCTGTGCTTCTTGAATGTTGCTCATTTCACGCCATGTTGTTCTGTAGTTTCTGTTATGTTTTGTAGTTCTTGTTTTGGCTATGCTGATCTTTCAATTTCATGTCAAGTTGATGCATATTTTCTGGTATATTCTGTTTTTTGCATTTTAGTGAAAGACAAACTGCATTGCAGTGAACCACAAACTTCATTGCAGTTTCTGTGCTTCTTGAATGTTGCTCATTTCACGCCATGTTGTTCTGTAGTTTCTGTTATGTTTTGTAGTTCTTGTTTTGGCTATGCTGATCTTTTAATTTCATGTCAAGTTGATGCATATTTTCTGGTATATTCTGTTTTTTGCATTTTAGTGAAAGACAAACTGCATTGCAGTTTCTGTGCTTCTTGAATGTTGCTCATTTCACGCCATGTTGTTCTGTAGTTTCTGTTATGTTTTGTAGTTCTTGTTTTGGCTATGCTGATCTTTCAATTTCATGTCAAGTTGATGCATATTTTCTGGTATATTCTGTTTTTTGCATTTTAGTGAAAGACAAACTGCATTGCAGTTTCTGTGCTTCTTGAATGTTGCTCATTTCACGCCATGTTGTTCTGTAGTTTCTGTTATGTTTTGTAGTTCTTGTTTTGGCTATGCTGATCTTTCAATTTCATGTCAAGTTGATGCATATTTTCTGGTATATTCTGTTTTTTGCATTTTAGTGAAAGACAAACTGCATTGCAGTTTCTGTGCTTCTTGAATGTTGCTCATTTCACGCCATGTTGTTCTGTAGTTTCTGTTATGTTTTGTAGTTCTTGTTTTGGCTATGCTGATCTTTCAATTTCATGTCAAGTTGATGCATATTTTCTGGTATATTCTGTTTTTTGCATTTTAGTGAAAGACAAACTGCATTGCAGTGAACCACAAACTGCATTGCAGTTTTTGTGCTTCTTGAATGTTGCTCATTTCACGCCATGTTGTTCTGTAGTTTCTGTTATGTTTTGTAGTTCTTGTTTTGGCTATGCTGATCTTTCAATTTCATGTCAAGTTGATGCATATTTTCTGGTATATTCTGTTTTTTGCATTTTAGTGAAAGACAAACTGCATTCAAGCTTATCTCTTCCGAGGAGCAATCAACACAAGAGGATCCTCAAAATCAGAAGGTGGTATGCAATTACTACAGTTCAAGCTGCTGCTTTTTCTGTTTTCTGCATTGCAGAAAATAGAAACTGCAATGCAGTGTGTTATCTGCTTTACAGAAACGGAAACTGCATTGCAGTTTCTGTTTTATCAAATGGAGTTTCTAATTAGTTTCCTTTCAATCTGCAGTTAACACAAGAGGCATCTCAACCCGATGCCACAAATCCAATTCCTGATCCCCCAAAAGGAACGAGCCTTCATGATTCAATACCTGTAGGTATGCAAGAATCAAATGATGAAGATGAAGGACAGAAAAAACCAACAAATAAAAAACTAGGATGGGGTCAAAAGAAGGTTTGGCAGAAAATTCCAAAGGAGGACAGAGACAGAATTCAAGAATACTACTTAAGTATTCAACCTAGGTAATATCTCTATTCCAAAAGAACAACTCTTTCATCTTTTAATTACAATAAACTAAAACTAATCTTGTGAATTTCATGTATTCGAATCCGTAGTGATAACTTTTGGGCAGGACTCGATAATGAGAAAGTGACAAACCATGATATCGAAGATATTGTATGGGACCTGGAACTGTCACAAAACGTAAGTATAAAATACTAATTCTATAACACACACTGCACTGCATTTTTTATTTGTGCTACCTATATTACCCGTTAATAATTCCATTTTTCTCCAATCAATGTGAAACAGGTTATTGAGGCCTATATCCAAATAGAGGAGGAGAAAATAGGGCCGATGTAGACAGATAGTCCACAGTACATGTCTACATGGACTTGGGTAAGAATTATTTTGAAAATTCAAAGTTGTTTAAACAGACACGGCACTGCAGTTTTCGAAAAATATATACTAACAAATTGCCATTCAATGATAGCAGGCTTACATGCAAACCTTTCTAGAACCAAATTGGCATAGGGCCCTGTATGAACACTTACTTGAAAAACTCGGGAAATGCAATGTTCTCTTCTTCCCGATCATTTCAAGTTCTGAGTTCCACTTTACACTTCTCACATTTCACAAAATTGAACGAAAGTGGAGACACTACAATCCACTTAGATCGTTGGGATCTAGAAAAGAAGAAAAGTGTATTGACATTGCTCAAAATTTTGTAAGTGGAATGAAACTGTCTTAATTTCTCAGCACAAACACAAACAGAAACTGCAATGCAGTTTCTGTATTATACATACTGCTTAATTTCGGACCAAAACTATAATATGCACTGATTACCATTTCTTTTTCTCTTTTTTTCTTCCTCTTTAAACAGGTTAATATTGTGGAAGGGTGGCTAGAATATATCAAACCACAAGCACAAGAGTTCTTAGAAACTAAAAAAATACCAAAACTTGTGAAGCAAAAAGAAGGGCCCCCTACACCTGCACAGGTTGATTTGTCCCCAAATGAAGAACTCACTCTAAATTGGATTCTGCAAAATCCATATCAGTTTCCATTTGAGGATGACACAGAATGTGCTCAACAAAATTCATCTTCGTAAGAATTGTGTCTACTCAACCATTCATTACAATTTGAAATCATTCAAAACCAAAAGCTAATCTCGTATTCATTTGCAGGTTGGATTGCGGCATGTTCGTCATGTTCTACATGGATAAAATAGCACAAGGACAGCCCATTCCAAAAAGTGTGGACAAGAATTTCATGAATGAATATCGAGCACAATATGTCACAAAACTCCTACACCACAAACACTGTGTAATTAATCGTCTCTAGTGATTTGCCTTTCGTTAACTCAAGACAATATGTATCTAAATTCTTGTGGATGTTTGTAAATATTTCTAGTTATGGTATATGAGAACATATTTCCTATACATATAAACTGTAATATAATCTTGGAACAGGATGCAACAAAACGAAAGGGAAACAACAAACTGCACTGAATTTTCTGGTCAAATACTACAACAAATTAAAACTGCAGTGCAGTTTATATAAATAAATAAATAATCTGCTCAAAAAATGTGAAAAGAACCCAAGAGCCAAAGCCATAATCAAAGTACTTTGTTCAAAACACATTTAAGTAGGTCAGCAGTTGTAACATTCCAATATACTTGCAAAAATTATTCTGAAATTGAATTATCGAACAAGAAACTACGCTGCAGTTTCTGGTCTCGAACAAGAAACAGCGCTGCAGTTTCTGGTCAAACTCTGCACTGCTGCTCAAAAGGTAAAGGCATAATCAAAGTACTAAAACTAATATCAAAACACATTTCAGTAGGTCAGCAGTTGTAACATTCCAATATACTTGCAAAAATTATTCTGAAATTGAATTATCGAACAAGAAACTGCGCTGCAGTTTCTGGTCTCGAACAAGAAACTGCGCTGCAGTTTCTGGTCAAAATCTGCACTGCTGCTCAAAAGGTAAAGGCATAATCAAAGTACTAAAACTAATATCAAAACACATTTAACTCCATGAGCAGTTATAACATTCCCATAGACTAGCAAAAAGTATTCTGAAATTGAATTATGGGACAAGTTCTGTTCAAAATCTGCAACAAATAAACAGAAACTGCAGTGCAGTTTCTGCAACAAAATCTGCTCAAATCTGAAAACATGCATTCAATGGCAGTCAAAAACGAATATCCACTCATGAAACAATTGTATAATTTTCATTAACTTCAAAAAAGAATCATAATATCCAATTAGAAGCTGTGTAGCCAATTAAAAGCAACTAAAACTGCAATGCAGGTTTTGCAAAAAGTGCAATGCAAAAACTGACTATACATTCACTAAACCATATCTAACGTAAGCAATCGTTAACTGAGAAGGAATGTTCATATCACAGCCTTGCAAGTCTTCCTATTATGCCCAGTAACACTACACCGACTGCATTTCAATGGCCTTTTAAATTCACCAAAAGCTTTGGTGGTCTTCTGGCTGGCCTCTTTGTAATTGGCGGAAGCACAACTCCAGTTGTAAAACTGTTGCTGCCCAAGCCTTTCCCAATATCTGGAGTAGGAAAAATAGGACTCTCATAGGCTTTTCGAAAGAAGTCAGTCCTATAGTAACACTCCACGTAATCATAAATTGAATCTTTCTTTGCTAGAATTGCAGCTACCACATGCGTGCAAGGAAAACCATCAATTTGCCAAAGACAGCAAGAACAAGTCCTTTGCTCAAGATCAACCATCACAAAATAATCAGCAAATACTTCAAAAACAGTGAAACTAGAACGACGAACTACCCAAGTCCTACCGGCCTCCGCATTTTCCCACAGTCTAGTTTCCATCTCCAGACACAAAATTGTTGTCCACTTCTCCGCTTCAATTCGTCGTTGAGAATTCAATACCATCAATTTCTGTCGAATCCTTTCTATCAAAGGTAGCACCGGCAAATCTCGAAACACACCAACCCAATTATTAAATGACTCCGCTAAACTATTTGCCATCTCCCCATACCGCATTCCTTTGAAATATGCGTTCGCATAGTGATCTCTAGACAAATCAGATATAAATGTCTTCACTTTCGAACTCCCAACAATCACCAACTCCTCCATTGCTACCGTAAAATCTTCCTCTGTAACAGCATATGTGCACCTACTAAATAAATTGATAACACGGTCTTGGAGCAATTTCCCATAACCTGACTTCGGGTACTTCGATATCAAATTCTGTTTGAGGTGATAGTAACAGTAAGAATGAGGCCATCCAGGAAACACAAACCCCATTGCATTTAACAAACCTTGATTGCGATCCTAGAAAAAGGTCACCACTCTCCCCATCGGTAGCAAAATAGAAGCCAAATGTTGAAGAAACCAAGTCCAATTCTCCTCCGTCTCAGAATCAACAACTCCAAAAGCTAGAGGATAAAACCCTGCAAAACAAAACCAAAAGCACAAGTATAAGCAAAAAAGGGAAATTGCAATGCAGTTTTTGAAAACAAATCTGCTCAAATTTGAAAGGAAACCAAAAGGCAAATCCATGATCCAAGTACTAAAACTAAGTTTAAAACACATTTAAGTTCATGAACAGTTGCAACATTCCCACAGACATACAAAAATTATTAAGAAAATCGAATTATGAAACAAGAAACTGTAATGCAGTTTTTGCTAAAAAATTGCAACAAATGGAATCTGCAATACATTACAGTAACCATACCTTGATTTCCATTCTTTCCGGAAGCACAGAGAAGCTGCCCCTTGTACTTGCTCTTCAAAAACGTAGCATCAACGAACAACAAGGGTATGCAATATTGAAATCCAGCAATGCAACCGCCAAACGACACAAAAAACCGTCTAAAGCGATTAATTCCAGTTTCACATTCAAGAGTGCAGAGAGAACCAGGGTTAGTTTCCTTTACGGCGTCCGCATACCACACTAACTCGTTGAAGGACTTCGACTCATCACCGTGAACGTTCAATTTAGCTAACTCTTTGCCAAACCATGCATGGTAGTATGAAATGTCTATACCATAATAATCTTTGAACTCGTGTATAATCTCAACTGGCTTCAGCTCTGGTTTTGCACGAATTCTGTCCACAATGAGGGAGGACACCACACGAGACTTCATCATCTTACTCTTTGATTCCCGTATCCGACCCACACATGTATGCACATTATTTAATGTCCGAATTACAAAACAGCCAGTAGCTTCACAACGAGAAGCATAAACACGCCAGCTACAACCCTCCAATTTCTTATTCGAACAAATAGCAACCACCCGCTTCTTGTCATTGCCGGCATATAAAAAATTAAATCCTACTTCAAGAGCGTACTTGCACAATTTCAAACGGAACTCCTCTGCACCACCGTCAAACTTCTGCCCTACATGATGTATGTACGTCTCCCACTCATTCGAAAACAAAGGCTTAGCACTTGCTCTCTTCGACCTGCCCAAAAATTCATTTCTGTCTTCGACAGTACTAGAACACGACGACTCACCCTTTTCACATGCTATCAACTCCTTATTTACACAAAAATCACCACTATATTCACTGCTCCCGCATAAATCTTTCACTAAAATATCAACACTCTTCTCATTTGATACAAACAAAAATGTCCTCATCATGTCCAAATCGCTATCCGTTTCTAAAAAACAACTCGGATAACTGGGCAGCGAATACCGTAACGTAAAACAACCCAACTGCAAACCCTTAAACCTTAGACACAAAGTCTTCAAAATATCAACCATGGATGACTCTGATGAAACTGAAAACATAATGGTTTCCGACTTATATGTGCACTTGGCAATGACACACACCTCCATTAGCCTTGAAAATGCAAACAAAACAACAAACAAAAACAGAAAACAATTTAAATTAGTAAATAATGTACATGAGCAGTTGTAAAATTCCAATAGACTTCCAAATATTAGTCTGAAATCGAATTATGAAACAAGAAACTGCAATGCAGTTTCTACCAAAACTACAACAAACAGATGTAGTTTATGACAGAAAATCAAAACAATTCGAATAGAAACCAAAAGGAAACCACGATAAAAGTACTAAAACTAAATTCCATAAACATACAAGTCGATATAAACGAAAACAGGTTCTAAAGTACTCATACCTCAAAACTTAGGACTGCCAAAAATCTCCACAACCAAACAGCAGCTTAAAATCAAATCTGATCACGAAACGAAGAATATAGGGTTTAGCATTGAACGCCACAAGATCGCGCCACAAAACTGAGCTTGAAATACCCGAACTAAGGAGAACAGAAATCACCCAAAACTGACAGTCATTCAGCATGCAAATCGAACGAAAACGTAGCAGAAAAAAGAAGACAGAAAAACGAAGAAAATAAAAGCAAAACCTACCAGAAAATTGAGCTCCAATGGCAGAACCCAGCTCTGAAACGAAGAAGAAAACGAACGAAAAAGAAAAGAAACTCGTGAGTCGTTTAAATGTTCAGAGGCAAAAGCGTCATTTAATTTGTAGGTTTACAGTGGGCCAGGCTTTTTAAGAGAAAATGGTAGAATTGTCTTTTCATTTGTTATTTTTAAGTTGGCCCAACGAATCTGGGCCAGCCTTTGGCCTAATCTAAAATAGCTATTTTTTCTTAAGTATTAAAACCCAAACTAAAATACCTAATATCTCACTTACTAATTAGTAAACTTAATTATGTCTAATACCTAATTTTCCTTTATTAATATAAGCTTGACACATCATTAAAATTCAATCTAAGGGATTGCCACTTTTACTTGGGGAAAATAAAACAAAGGGAACCTAATGTCCCGCTTCTTTCTTCAGAAAGGATGAACAGAACCCACCCAAACTCTGAAACTCAAATATCCATTTTTATTGTCTAGTTTCATGCCATATTGAAATCTAATCTCTTATCTTTTCCTTCCGGACTAGAATTTAGAATCTTTAGTTTTTTCTACTTGGCTAATTTGTTTTCAAATCAGACCTAATATACTTCCTTTTTCCAAAAATAATAGAACCTTCAACCATATCTAGGCGTCAGAACTCAAAAGACAAAAAGGAATTCCTTAGTGAGAGAAATAATTGAAAATAAGATAAAATTAATAGTTTATTTGAATATCAGAGAGAGAGAAGCAAAGGAACCATTCATGATCATGGGAATCAAAATACAGTGGGTACAATGAGTTCTATTTGTTTGAGGGTTTTTATTTTTTCAAGGAAGCGAGGTTTGGGTCGCGAGGAGGAGGGAGAGACTTAAGCAGGGGTGGGCTAATTGAAGAATTTTTTAATTGTAATGGAAAATATGAAAATACAATTAATGGTTTAAAAAAATACAAATTTATAAATAAACCCAATCCTAAACATGTATTTATAAAAAAACCCAAGCACTATTTAAACATAGAAACACACCCAAAATCAAATCTAAAGTTAACTTTTTGGGTGTGTTTATAAATGGGTTTTGAGTGTGTGTAATGATGGATTTTGGGTGTGTTTATATGTTTAAATAGTGCTTGGGTTTTTTATAATTTCAACTCCCATTTTGGGTGTTTTAGTGAAACTCCCTTAAAAAAAATACTAATAATTAGAGAAGAGAATTTACTAGAATTAATAATTAAATGGTATTTTAGGAATAATGGTGGGTGGAAAGATAAGTTCGTGTTCTTTCAAATTTACATGGTGGGTGGAAAGATAAGGCGGGTGGAAATAGCAGCACTCTTTTCGAAGGCAACATTCAACATATTACAATTCCCATAAGGGTACACTCTATGCACTAAATTCAGTATGTTAAAGTCAAACTATAACCCTCTGTTTGGATGAGGGAAAATAACTCGGAATTTAGCTAAAAGTCATAAATTTAATAGGAGAAATTGACAATTCCCTTGTTTGGCAACTTAACCGCGGAATCTATTAAATGACGCTCGGAAAAAATCATGGAAATTGAGACATCAAATTCACGATTTCTACCAAAATATGCGTAATTTCACAATTTCCATAGTGCGGGTTATACCAAATTTTTATACGTATTTTATTTGGGTTTAGGCATGCAGTTATACCAAATTAATATCTATAAAATATAAACTAATGCAACTAGGAGGGTCCTTTTTTCATATTTTTTTATATTAAATAGTGTAGCCGTGCGCTCCTCATTCTTAACGAGACGAGCTCATTCATTCCTTGCGCTTAGTTACCTTCATTCATTCCTCCACGGAGAAAGGCTCTATGAAAGAAGAGAATACAGAGCAACCTTCGCCTGAGACGGGGCTTCCTTAGAGTGGACAAAGATTGTGATCCTAGCTTTCTGACTGGGCAAGCAACTCCTATCGAATTTGCTCCTAGACTGCTTTCAAGGTTCATGTTCACTAAGGACAGCAGGGACGGAAACTCCTATTAGCGTTCCTCGTTACTTGACTGACCCACAATCCATTAAATAAGTTCAGTTCAACCTGAGATTCCATTTCTATAGAATGGAGAAAGGGGAGAGCGGGGAAGTTGTTGAGTAAGTCAGTTCAATGTTCAAGCGGATTGGCAGTCAAGTAAGGATAAGATCTATCTCAAGTAGGAAAGGAGTGAAAGTCAAGGCCCTGGAATTCAGTTCCGTAGGGAAATCAAGATAGGTGGTTTGCTCACCCGTAAAAACGAGGCGCTAAGAAAGAAGAAGTTAAGTCTACGCTAGGAACGAGTTTTGGCCTAAGGGCAATCAAATTCTTGGTGGTAATCATCAACTTTATAATGTTTTAATAACGGCTCACGCTTTTTTAATGATCTTTTTTATGGTTATGCCAGCGATGATAGGTGGATCTGGTAATTGGTCTGTTCCGATTCTAATAGGGCTTTTCAGGGTATGGAGCCATCGTCGCGTCGGTATAGCTTATCGAGTGGAAAAGGCTGATAGGGTCACCACTCCCGTCCTATTTCCAGTGCGATGTTCCTAGTGGAGATAAGAAAACATATAGGTCAACCTACCCCAAAATTTGAAGGTCAGTCTTCAAGCCTTTCTCTCCTTCAATTTATGTTTTTCTATTTTAGGGTTACTATGGTTTCTGAATGGCTATCAAAATTGGGTATTTCTGAGTAAATTTATGAATGGTTTTTGTGATCTTTGAGGCACTATGACTAGATTTTGGGAAGTTTTAACAAAATACTCTATGCCCATGAAAATTGGCGTGTGATTTGTGATTATGGTACAGCTCTGTAGTTGTTTGCTAGCTTTATCGCTTTGTGTTATCGCCTTGTTCAAGTTTTACCCTTCGTTTCCTTACTCTGAAGAAAAAGCCTATGTTGCTGAAAAGTTTTTTATATACTCTGTAAGGAAACAAAAAGCTTTATTGATTGTTATATGCTGCTGAAAATCAATTTTGGTCTTCTCTCTTTCTTATTTGACTTTGATTATTTGTTTGGTAGTCTCATGATGATGCTAGAGGTTTTCAATTAAAAGTTATAGAAAATTGGGATGATATAGTAGATTATTGTGGCAAAGATAAAGCCACTGGAGAGGGTGCTGAAACAGTTGCAGATGCAACTGAGGTTATGACTCCTACTAATGAAGTTGATCGTGTTGATTTGGATGGTGATACACAAGATTTAGAAGATATTCATGTTATTGATGATATTTCACCAACCTCAACAAATGGTCAAAAGAGAAGAAATCGTGCATCAAATTCTTCTGATATTCTTCCTACAAAGAAAAGAGGTGTTGTCAAAGATGTTATTGCTGATTCGATTACTAGAATGACTTTATCATTTGAAGAGTTTATCCATTCTAATACTAAGAACCTTGATCCAGCAGAGGTATATGCTTAAGTACAAGCAGTACCAGGTCCTAGTGAAAATGAACAACTCAAAGCATGTGCTTGGCTGATAGAAAATGACAAACAATTTTAGATGCTGAAGGCACTCCCAATTGAGAAAAAAGAGAGTATGTCGTTGATGTTTATTGCATGTGGGGAGTGATTTGGTTTGCTAATATGCTCTGTTTGTTTAAGTTGAGTTATTTAGTTCATAAAATGATATGTTATTTTATATTTCGAGGAATACCTTCTATGTCGGTTATCATTTTTTTGTTCTTTCGAAATATTTAATTTATGTCATTTACAATTTACATGAGCTATCCAAACATTGAAATTTTTAATTTCTGTCATTTACAAAATTTGACATACATAAATCCAAACACTAAAATCTTCAATTGCTAGAAATTGAAATGACGGAAATCTAAATTTCGTCATTTTAGAATTCTATGTAATTTGCAATTCCTTCATCCAAACGGAATAGAACTAAACATTTTTTTTTCTCCCATAAAACATTTTATAATTTGAAATTAGCAAATGCTTATAACAATGACAATTGTTTGATAATTTGGAGTTCGAACTTAGAACATCTTTCACCGTATGTAAGGGAAATATAATTAATTCAAAAGTTAGTTATTATTAAGAGAAATCATTTTGTCCACCGTTGCCTTTAAATTTGAAATATACCCTTATCAATTTTAACAATTTAATACTAAGCTCAAAAATAGAAGATAACATCAATTACAATAATCTAATATTATTTATTTGATTATGGGCCAAATAAATATATATATATTTTGCTCTGTTTACGAATATGGGCCGAACCATATCGATCCAGAAGCTCAAACTCTCAAGGTTTTTTTTTTTTTTTTTTTTTTTTTTTTTTTTTATGAAGAACTCTCAAGAAAGCTTTAGAATCCCCAGATACTCCCAAATTAGACCTGGCGTCAGTGTTCGGCAAATTTGACTCCCCAAAAACCCAGAAGGCTGGGAGACTTTTCGAGCTCCAAACAATGGCGATAGCAGACGCTTTAGGCCAAGGTACATAATTTGTAATTGTCTTAATGATGCATATGTACAAATTTGAGTGTCTGCATTTATTTTTTGCTTGCGTATGTACGCGTTGTGGGTTTTGTGGGGGTTTAGCTGTATCTGGCTCTTTGGTTCATGAGAAAGCAAAACAAGGGGTTTAGGATGAACATTTCCCTTATGGGGGTTTTTATATAAATAAGAAAATTAAGTTACAGGAGGAAAATTTCTGCTTGAGGTGGTGTTATGTGTGAATGAAAGAATATGCTTAATGTTTGTTTATGTGTTCATATTCTAGGAAGTTAGAACTTAAATGAATAAATAAAAAGTTACATGGAAATATATTATTAGAAATGCAAAAGTAAAAGTTTCCCAATCAAATATTCAACTTGCCAGTAGAGTGCAATTGCAGGTGATAAATGACCAAAATTAGTGATGAATCAAAAAGCAGGGTTTGAAAAATCAATGAACAGAAAGAATGCTGCAGACCCAAAGAACTTTTTTGGGTCCAAAGTCCAGTCATAACTTTAATCTTATAATTAAATGTTACGAAAATGTGGAATGGCAAGTTAGGGTTGTAGTCTAAAGTCATAGAGTACTATTCTAATCACACCTTATTATTGATGTAGTTACTTTGAACTCGAATCGTATGTCCCACCAGAATTCTTTGAGCCATTGATGGGTTTCTGTTTTGGCTTCCGTTTTCTGTGATGGGCTTAGTGTTTCCATTATGATTGAATTATCTGTTTTGGTATCTGTGATTGAATGATCGGTTTTTGCTTCCATTATGCAGTTTATGATTATTTCATACTGAATTTGGTGGTGATTGCTTGATAAGCTTGAAGGACTTGCTTCTCATATACAGTTTATTATCTGTTTTATATACATGGAAGAAGGATAACTTTTCAATGTCAAATTGCTTGTTACTATTTCATAGGACTTTTTATTGTAGATATTTGAGTTTACAAACAAACTGTGCATTCAATTTCTTGAAGGATTGTTGTATATTATTTGCAAATTGCATTCATCTCATTTTTGTCCTCTCTACAGCTTTTCCTTGTACTGAGTAGTGAATATTAGAGTAGGAGGACAGTGTTGGTTTTGAAAGATAACTGAATGAATGCATGGATTGGAGGGATGCAACCTTTTTGTATATCTAATTTCCGTATGTATAATTTTGTTGTGCAGGGATTTGAAGATTTGCGGAGAAGAACAAGTTTCAAGGAAAGGCATTGTCCGTGTCATACACAAAGACCGCCATTACTGCAATTAAGGAGAAGTTCAGTTCAGAGCAGTTGGAAAGGTTTAAGGGGAGTTGCTTTGGTCCTCTACTACTCATTCGAAAAAATGACACCACAAAACCTCCTGGTCCTTCCTCTTTCAACCCCTAAATTAAGCATCGGATGCCCAATACTAGATGGCTGCTTGGGTGGCGGCATACCCTGCAACTCCATAACAGAATTGGTGGGGGAGAGCAGTTCTGGAAAGACCCAAGTTTGTCTCCAACTAGCAGTAAGAGCTCAGCTCCCACCCTCACATGGCGGACTAGGAGGGTCCTCCCTCTACATACACACAGAATTCAGCTTCCCACTTCGTCGACTGCAGCAACTAGCCAACCATTATCAGGCATCACACGCCAACTTGATAGGGTTGAACCCATTGGAAGACATATATGTTCATGCCGTTCATGATGCACAACAAATGGTCCATGTGCTTCGAGACATAGAAACATTTGTGGGCATTGGTCACACCCGGTTACCTGTAAAGCTCATTGTCATTGATTCCATTGCTGCACTGTTCGGGTCACAATATGACAGAACACCTGCTGATTTGAAACGCCGGTCTGAAATGTTTTTCAAGATTTCTGGGAAATTGAAGGCTTTGGCAAATAAGTTTGGGGTGGCAGTGGTTCTGACCAACCAGGTGGTGGATGTCATTGGGCCAGCTGATGGAATAGATGGGGTGAGATTGGGAAACTTGGAGTGCTTGCATACATCAGCCAGACGGGTTAGTCCAGCATTGGGATTGGCTTGGGCACATTGCGTCAATTCAAGGGTGTTCTTGTCAAGGCATGAGGAATCTGTTGGGGTTAACAGTCCTTATGCACATTCAACAAGTATATCCAGTCAAACACAAAGGAGACTTAATGTTGTTTTTTCCCCACATTTGGCCCCTGCATCATCTCAATTTGTAATCACAAAAGAAGGTGTAGTTGGAGTATCGACGGTAATTGGCTAATAATTGCATTGCGAGGACTTGTGTTGGGGATAAAATATATGGAAATTAATGAGCTGTTCCAAATCTCCTGCCTTCCCTACACCGAGCACACAACTCAAGAAAATGAATCCCTTCCACCGACTCCATCTAAAGATGGTTGTGATCCCACTTGCAGGCCAAAATCTGGGCAGAAGTGCAAGGCATCAATATCTTCATCCAATATCACTTTTGGTGAATTTGATGATGAAAGGGCAATAAGAAGATCATGCATAGAGACGTTGAATGACAAAGAAGACAAGAAATGGCCACCCTTTATGCATCTCTTCGATCACAACTCCCCCTCGAATGTCTCAAGGTACTGTAGCTAGCTAGTTAATTTTCTCAAATAATATGTGTTAAATTTCGAGATATATATACAACTGTTAATCAGCACTTTTTACTGAATTCGGACATAATCCGACTAATCAACGGTCTTGATACATAATCTAGTAACATAACATGTCACCATGACGGTTAGAATCCTTGGCAACTGTCTTCGACTTTAGTTAGGGATTTAATTTGCCACTTTTCTTTTCTTGGCTACTTAAATATCCTTACTGCAAGGGGGTTTGTAGCTCAAGTGGTTCACGCACTTTAGATCTTCTGTTTTTGAGTCCCCCTCCTTTATAATATCGCTTGTGTAAAAAGTATCTTGTCCATCAACCATGGCTAAAGTTTTTCTTAGAAGAGTACTTATGCTACTAGACAAATACTTATATTGTCAGATTGCAAATTTCGACTACCATTTCAAAGCAAAGCAGTCTGACAAGAGAACATTTCTCCATCAATACCTCATATTTGGTGTGTAAATACACAGGTGAGTGATGGGAGAAGCATTGATACGTCTGAGCTCCAACAGAGATTGACAAAAACTTATGATCAGCCAGCTGACTTCAAATAAGGTGCTGGGAGAACTGATATCCTTTGTAAAATTTTGGTGTGATGTGTTTATATCCCTGTAGATATTCGACCTTCCAGGCACTTAATGTGGCTGAGAGTTTCGGTGTGATGTGTTTATATCCCTGTATATATGCGAAATTTGTGTTTTATTAAGATATTTGGGATGCTCTGCTGTTGCCAATTAGTTTTGAGATTGGAAACCGTAACTTTCTTGATGGTATCACGTTCTTTCTTTCAGCTCCATGATCAATCATACCATCATGTTCTCTCGTTATATCACAAGTATATTTAAGGTAACTTGCCCCATCCATATATATAATTTCTTAATTGTTTGCTCATCATTTGTGCGCTTTAAATCGGTTGCTTAACGTTGTGAGATGAGGAAAGCTTTGTGTTTCTTGGTTGTCCAGTTATAATTTGTGAAATTATATTCATCATTCAGCTCTTTCTTCCTTATTGTTACATATGCTAGCATATATGGTATTACAATACAAATAACACTTATAAAACGAAAAAAGAGCTCAAAGGAATATACTAATCGATCGTTGAGGAAAGAATGAAAACAGTTTTCTGAGTTATGAAACAGATCTCTAAAAGGAAACTATCAGTTGGGTTAATTTTGTTTAGCAATATTAATTACTGCATATGATGTTCTGATGGAATATATTATTACTGATCACATACTTTTGAGTAATTGTCCATGCATTATGAAAAGACGTGGAAAACTCCATGGTTGCTTATGCTTGCATATTCAACTTGGTTGCTGGTGGTAAATGACAAAAATTAGCAAGGTTAAACGTCAGTCAAAAAGCAGGGTTTGGCAAATGAATAAAGAGAGAGAACACTCCATTGACGCAAAGAACTTTTTTGGAAAGTCCAGTCAAACCTTTAAATGTAATAATATTTTGGAATGGTAAGAGCATCTCCAAGGAAATGTCAAATAAAAAACATCACATTTGAATTTGACGGCTAGGTGGTAATTTAACATCATGAACAACTTCTTATTCAACCCGAACTGTTAAATAAAATTATTTAACTTAACATCATGAACAACTTCTTATTCCACCCGAACTCTTAAATAAAATTATTTAACTTAACATCATGAACAACTTCTTATTCCATCTGAACTCTTAAATAAAATTATTATTTTATTAAAGAATAAATAAAAAACAAAGAAAATATGGTAAGAGAAAAGCATATGTAAGCTTGAAAAAGTCACTTTTATACACAGCATGCGGGGTCCATTCATTAAAAAACTCTCGATAATTGAAGTAACGTCTTTGTTACTTGCTGTCAAAATTGTCACTGGATTAGAAGACGTTATTTACATGTCGGATATAACACTTCGGGTGGATATGAGTTAGCCACCTTTTCTAGCCTTTTAGCACTCCACCTGGCTTTTGACAGCTTGGGTGGAGATGCTCAGGTTGTAATCTAAAGTTTAATCATAACTTTATGATTATATAATACTTTGACCTCAAATCGTCTGTCCCGCCAGAATTTGGTTGAGACCATGCCATTTACTGGTGGTTTAATTCAAAAACCGCCCTCGTATATAACTAGGAGATTAGGACTTTATAGTTGATATTGGCCTTGAGTTTGACTGCGTAAGTTGTGAATGGATTTCTGTCCCGTCGCGGATCAACGTCCATATAGTCACCAATATGCGCGTAAGCAACTGTCCTCAACTTTGCTCTTTAATTTTTACCGTACCTCAGTTCTCATATTATTATTCTTTTGGCCACATCAAGAACTAGTTAGAAACATAGTATGTTGTGTCATTATAATATGCCAGGGGACGTCCATAAATTTCTGAACTCTGAACAAATTTGTGTCCATTTATTTATTGATTTATTAGGGAAATTGTGTCAATTTTATTAACTCACTTAATATCCAGTAAATTCGTTTAGGGTCCATTATGATAGATTTTATAATAAAGCTAAATTAGATTAAAAACTATAAATACACTTGGGTAAAATGTATTCGAAATAGAATTGAAACAATGTATCTAATATAAATCATTGGATCATGTGTGCCTCTAACGGAGTACGGGTAAGTGGTACATCTTCTTTATAAAAATGAAGGAAGAAATTGTTCTCATTAGTTACGAAAGAAAGAAAAAATACATTTTTATCTTTCCAAAATATTAAAATGGATTGCATTATGGTTGCCTTGGTGCAATCTCATTTGTAAATTTTCCAGCTTAATAAACAATATGAAGCACTTATATATATAGACCAAACTTGAAGATGCCAAGTTACATAAAATAAGAAAAATGAGACCACCCATATAATGAGATCTGGACTAGAAATAGCCATTAATCACAGGTACTAGGGAAATAAAATAAATATTATTCAACAAAGCAGGTAGACAGTAGCTAGAAGAGCAGATACATGGCAACCAAGATATATCATCCAAACTAAGCCATAAATGGCTTCATAAGTACGATAATTTCACAATAATATGATAACTAATATAAGCAGCAGCTTCACTTGTTGATCAGAGCCTCTTGACTCTTCCTGAACAACTTGTGCTGAATGTGCTCAGCAAAAGTTCTTGGTGGGAAGATTGGCGGCTCAGTCTCCGACACAGTTTCCGGGAGCGGCTTAAGGATGATCTTCTCCTTTGGTGGCTCACAGAAAACTGCCCATGAAATCCTCACCTTCTCCTTGTTCACCATTCCTCTGTGAAGAATACTTTTGTACTTACCGTTGCTTAAAATCTCAATGGTGTCCCCAATATGCATGACAATGGAATTTGGAACACACTTGGCAGTGACCCATTTGCCTTCATAGAAAAGCTGCAGGCCAGGAACCATGTTGTGGAGTATGAAGGTGAGTGCACTGACATCAGTGTGAGCTTCAACACCAAGTGCAAGCTCTGGCTGAGGGCAAACTGGGTAGTAGTTGATTTTCATTTGCAAGAGAAGCTCTTCAAGCCCCCCAACTTCCTTCTCCAGCCTCCCTTCTTCCAATCCCAACCCAAGTGACAGCACGCGCAGTACCTTGGTTGCTAGCGCCCTCAGTTCCTTAGCATACTCGGCGGTAGCCTCACTGCAAAGGTATTAACTATCTATGTTAACAGAAATATTGAGGGTCTGAAAAAAACAAAATTGTTGATAAGACGGAATATTGATATCTATGAAAAGAAAGTTACGTGAACAATTGAAAATTCGTTAAAGAATGTTGTGTTATTTTCTAGGATATGTTCAAAATTTTCATTCAATTAAGCATGATAAGAATTTTTTTTCTTCCCTTGAGTACTTACATGTAATCAGCAGGTGTCTGAGGCCAAATGTTCAAGTCACGCTTGTCCTCAGGGTATACAAGGTGGAAGAAGTAGTCCTCCCACTCAAGCTGCCCAGAAGCATTGTTTGCAAGCTTGCTTCCATAGCCTTGAATTTTGCCAGAGGCCTGGTCATTGGCATACTTCTCCTTTTGCTCAATGGGAAGATCGAAAAAGGCCTTCCCGGCCTTCCTGACACAGTCCATGAGCTCATCGGAGATGCCATGGTTCACAAGATGCATGACACCCCAGTCCACTGCTGCCTTCTTCAACTCCTCCCTGCATCTCTCTCTCACATTTTCGTTCTCAGAGTCTATCTCCTTCAAATCAATGGTGGGAACTTGAGGCCCATCAGTGCTCTTCTCCTGTTCGAAGATGTCACCGATGTTTACAAGCTCTTCCTTGGGTCTGATGTACTCCTTTGGGATTGTTGCAATTCCACTGCTGGCCAAGGTCTCAACTCTTGAGTTCACTGAATCAGAGCTCACCATTTTGGCAGCCGGCTCTTCGTAAGCTCTGAACTCTTGGCTAGCTTTCTTTAATAGCTTTTTTACAGAAAAAGTGCAGGCCTATACTCTTTTCTTATGGTGGATTGATGAAGTAATGGTTTAATGGTGCATTAGTAATGTTGCTTTTATAGTAGTGTAGCCAAATTAGTAGTTGGAGGTGCTTACAGAGATATTTCAAGGGGAACTTCTTACTAACTAGAGAGAGTGTCTGTGTGTGTTAGAGAGAGTGGAGAATGTGTTTGTGTTGATTTTGTGTGATTTTGGGTCTGTTGTCCATGTGACCTTCTCACCCACCAGACTTCTCATACAAGGAAGGTTTGACTGGAGGGTAAGCTACAACCCTCCGTCCTTTCAGAGTTTCAAACAGTGCCAGCTACAAGACTTCTGTTCTTCACTTTTCAATTTCATATGTGCCTAACTATAGCATTTAAATGCATTGTTCTTGAAACTAATTTGTTTTGTGTTTTTGGTCTAAAAACTAATAATTAATCACACATTTGGCTACCCTAAACAAAGAGGCCCCTAAGCATGGTAGATAGATTAAGGGTACATGTTTATTAGTTGCCTTCCAATTACCAACTCAGTTTCTAGAAGTTGTGTTGGAACCACTTCCAATTATACCTTATTTCACTGGACTAATAATCCAAACTTTGTGTTTTATTTTATGTAGAGATGATATTGGGAGGGGAGAATCGAGTACACGACCAATCTCAGGTGTAAATTGCTTTTATCCATTTGAGAGACTAGCCTTTTGCTAATATTTTAAACTTTTGAGCCTAACTTACCCTAATAATTTATTTGGTTTCGTAAATCCACATTCATTGTATTCAATAGAAAAGGACCAAAGTTAAACTCTTGTCGTTAGTGTTTTTTTTTCGCCACTAGAGCTATAAGTCCGTACTTGTGATCTCGAATTTTATTGCGTCTTTGACTTTCCCACATTTAATATATTTGATTTTAAACAGTCATAAGTAGGTTCTGGTTTTTTAGAAAAACAATAGTATATCAATAGCTAGAAAGATCCTTTCTCATCCACTATGGGCCTGAAATGGTGCCACAAATCAGCGGGAGTTGAGGTTCCATTCCCATCAAAATCACCACGTATCGCTTGTGTCGTTGAGCACGTTTTACCTACCAGTAAGCAAACAGGACCAAACAGAGAAAACATCGCACCTCTCTTTCGTACTAAATGTATGGCTATTTTATCGAACCTTTCGTTGCTGACATTTGGATGCATGACCTCCTTTGACAACTGTAATAAAGCGGATACACTGTCACTATACCGAACGATAATTAACGTATTTGATGTAATGTAAGCTTGTTAGGTTGGTCTAATTCACCAAAAGGATTCCCTTTTAGATGGGTTTGGGTTAGATGGAAAGTTCATGATTTCTACTTTCTTTGATTCTTTCTTGGATTTGGGGCCTGGAGGGAATACTCAGAACAAGTCTCTTGAAGACAAGTTGGTTGATTTGGTGCCTCGTGTGTGTCAACTACGCAACTTTCGGTCAGTCTACCTGCCTATATCTTTGTTACTTTCTTCCAAATTTTTTCCACTTCACTTTTTTGGCCTTTTGTCTTTCTTGCAAGTTATAATTGTCTCATTGTCTTCAAAATATTATTGTTTATAAGAACTTGTTAATTTGAATTTTATATGTTATGCTATTAAACTATACTCTTCGAAGTACACTCAAACAGAAATTTATCTAATTAATAATTTGGATCGATAACGTAGCAACATATCATATTAGATTTTTTGATAAGAAAACATATAGTAAGGGATAAGTAGTTCAAAAAGTTAAAAACAATCATCTTTGCGCCGTTTATGATGGATGATGGGAGTAGAGTGAATTATTTACTCATATAATAGAAGTCAACACAGAAGGGGTAGTTGCAAGCTAATTTGCAGGGTGTGCATCAAACAAAACTAGGAAGTGTTGATAGGTTACTTGGGCGAAATCTATGGGGAACTCCATTGTTTATATTATTATAATGCGTTTTGATTCGATCGCTTGCTGCAAAGACGGTTGATGTATTAAATATGACTATATCTGATGCTTTTTTGAAAATTTTAAATTATTTAAATAGGCTCACGTCCTAATATGATACATAAAACATGCTTCTCAGTTGTGCCCTTGATTATTATTTTTTTAGTGGCACCGTTACGGAAAGTACGAACAACACTAATTTCCTCGTCTGTCATATTTGACTTGTTTTTTATTTTTTTTAATCCATAATGAGCGGGTCAAGGAACTCATTATCCAATGAAGGCAGAGATTAATTGAAATATTATAGGTACGAAGGTCGGGATTGGGGTAAAATGTTTAATGGGGATGGAGACGGGAATGACATACTCAATGGTGGATCCACGTAGGGGCAATAGGGGTTAATTGACCATTGCAAACCCGAAATTCAACATTGGAGGCGAAGATGTTGACCCCTGCAAATTGTTCACAAACTGCTAGATGAAATGCTCCAGAAGGCGTAGCACAGTAGCACAGCATATCACACCCTTATATTGCCTTATTTTCATTCTAAACATATAAGTAAATGTCGTTGTCATTTTACTTTCATTTATTTTTATATTACTCAATGTCTTTGTCATTTTACTTTCATTTATTTTTATATTACTCAATTTACTTAAGTTTACAATATAAATAAGAAAGTACCTCTCATTTGGATTCAAAGAAAAATATTAGAAAATCAAATTCCCACCAAATCAAAATATGAAAAATCGATTTTAGTGCAAAATACGATTTAGGCTAAAAATGATGGCTCATTAAGTCAATATATATTTCATACTAAAATCCCATAAAATCAAGTTTTCTTATTTGATGTGTGAGGAATAAAAGCCGCCAAAAATTATTTTGAGAAAACGATTATTCTGAAAAACCATTTTTCATACTTAGCCAATATTTTTACATAAAAACAATTTTCCATGTATGATATTAATGCATGAAGGAACTTAAGGTCAATTTAGGTAAAAAGCCTTAGATGTTCAATTCACAAAGAGTTTTACAAGAATAACCTAACTCTTATGTATTGAATAAATATTTACTTGAATAAGCTTCCCTTAAGGCAGTACTCATAAGGGTCCAAAGTTTGAGAGTTAGAGCCCAAAAGGAATGCAGATAAAGCCCAAAATCAAAACGACGACGGACCTCAAAAATGACGTAAATGCCCTAAAATGAGCAAGATTGCGCTAATATATGCCATCTTTTGAGTTGAATAGGACGAGACGCTTTGGGAGATAAAGAGGATTGCGCTAATTTTTTGGTTTATTATCACATTTTTTTTTTTTTTTTTTTTTGTAGTTCTCTTTAATAATGAACATAAGTATTTTGTACGGTTTTATCTATTAACTATGAATTAGAATATTATCGTTTCATTTCAATGGGTCTATTTTGTATAGAATTTTTTTTTACCTTTTACATGTTGACTCTCATAATGTAAATTCCTGGATCCACCACTACTCACCCCCGATTCGACCCATTGTCATCCCCTACAAATATGTGATATTATTGAACGATTAAAAAACACTAGCACAAGATTTGTATCAATTTAATTGTATTGAATTAAAAATCTAGATTATTTTGAAAATTATATTAATACATGTCAAAACTATATGTCCAAGATATGATCATCATTATATAGAGGTACTAGCACCACCATCACACATCTTAATAATATATTTATATGAATTTATATATATATATATAATCTAAACGAGGAGGGTTCAGGTTGGTGATTAGAATACTATCCCCGCCCCAAAAAATTCCCCAAACTCGTCCCTATACCTATTTTTTATTGGGCCACATCGTGCTGGCTCATTTAATAAAACCATTTATTCCAGCACAGCCTAAAACCTAAATCCACATTGAAATGGATCATGCTCGTGCTCGGGCAGTGCCCATACTCAGGCCCAAGTACCAATCCATTTAATTTGAATTGTTTTTACTTTATTTTTTTTCCCAACTTATGCTGTGACACAAAAACTGTATTTTGTTCTTTGATATATACTTCTAACAACATTTGTCAAACTCTATTATTGATTCTTACACTACTTACTGGCAAAAAAATAAAATAAAAAATTTACATGGGGTTTAGTAAAAGAAAAATGCAAAAGTCAAAAGCTTTTATTATTTTTAATTTTTAAAATATTTCATCATTAGCTTATCTTCCAATATATATATATATATATATATATATAATCCCCTTCTATTGAGGGATCCCTCAATAATTTTATTTGAGGGACGCCCTTTAGGGTACCCTACAATTTTTTTTTCCAATGATCAAAACCATCTATTTTTTAGGTCTTCATTCATAGATCATCCTTACAAAAATTAGACAAATTGGAAACCGTTTCGACATCCAATTGTGTCCTACAAAATCAATGAACACGGTGCTTCAAGAAAGTACTAAAATTTCAATAACTCAATTGAATGGTCAAATGATATCGGATTCAAGTGATTTTTTGTAGAGATGATCTTTGAATGTGTATCTACAAAATTGACGGTTTGGATTAGTGAAATACAATCCGGAGTGGGCCCTACCGTGTTCATTGATTTTGTATGACACAATTGGATGTCGAAACAATTTCCGATTTGTCTAATTTTTTGTAAGGATGATCTATGAATGAATACCTAAAAAATAGATGGTTTTGATTATTGGAAAAAAAATTGTAGGGTATCCTAAAGAACGTCCCTCAATAGAAGGGGACTATATATATATATATATAGAGAGAGAGAGAGAGAGAGAGAGAGAGAGAGAGCGCCACGTATATCAATCATTTAACAGTTTTCACATGTTAGTCATTTCCAAGTCAAATCTGATACTTACGTTTTTTTTTGGAATTAAGCAATTACCACCATAATAACCAAATAAAACAATTTAATATTAATAGTCATTTTCAGCATAACTTGGAAAATTATCCAGTCCAATTAATCATCCTCCCAACCCCCACACATGCAGTTAATGAAGCAAGAAGAATTCTTGTTACCAAAAAAAAAAAAGAAGCAAAAAGAACTCTGAATTCTCAGTCTCACAATCGTGCAAGGAAGGAAAACCAAATCATTAAATCGGTTCGTATATATGTTCTTTTCTCTCGAAGACTAGTGTTTGTCAATTTGGTAGTAATATATAATTTAATTCAACGCAGACATGAAAAATAAAAAATAATAAAAAACCCTATTCATGATTAAGAATATGGAAGACTCTGTTCAATGGAGTTTCCGTCTTGAATTTGGTGTTTTGCTAGTTTTAACTTTTTTGGGTTTTGTGGTACCAAACATATTGAAATTCATAAAAGATTAGTTGGTTCATAACAAATTTGACAGTAGAAGACAAATTGAACACTTTCAAAGATTAGTGGGCTCATAACTAAATTAAAATTCATGGCACAAGTAGTTAGAATCACACAAATTCAGAAGGCATTGGCATTGCATACATGCAAATAGCATGGCAACAAACGCGTCACACACTGAAACCCCACTTACCCATGTGGGCACCTTGTGTAGTGCGTGCATGAGGCCAATCTGGAGAAAGCATCAGAATCTTTTTTTTTTTTTTTTGTTTTTAAAAGATGCCTTAATAATAGGCGGAGAAACCGCAAACAGAACGACATCAACAAAGGGCCCAAATCCACGAAGGAAATAAGAGGGTGCCCCAACAAACACTAGCAGACGAAGAGATTCCAGTACAGCCATATGAATAAGCTAAAAGAGAAAAGAAACAACAGACAAGGACGAGATCCATTGTCAACTCTAACTAGCTTGGGAGGAACAGATTTCATGGAGCCAATGCCAGAGTGAGGTGATTTCCATGTGGTTGATTATATGGTTTAAGTTGCCCCTGAACCAAACCCCCTGCATCCACCGGCAAAGTAACAAAATGTGCTCAATGGATTCTGGGTGTGGAGAGCAAATTTGGCAGAGGAGACCGACCAAGGGCTTGAATTTTCCAGAGGAGCTTCCACAACTTAGGGGTCGTCGTGGATGAGATAGATGGGGAATGAAGGCTAGAGCTAGAAATTCTCGACTGCAACCAGTGGTACCTAGATCTTACCGAATACCGACCGTTCCTTTCACTTAGCCAAATAAGAAGGTCACTGGCCCCCTTACTCCCAAAAGGAGTGTTGAGGATTGCATTTTCCTCCTCCGCAGAGATAAGGTGACGAATAGGAGCAAGGTTCCAAATGCCATTCTCGTGATCAATAATATCTTCAACATTCATATCCATATTTAACTTCGCTCTCAGTACCGGTTGGACTCGATTACCATAGAGATGAAGAATCCATTTATCCATCCAAATCCGAGTTGATGAGCCATGAGCACCCTGCATGATGATATTACGCACATCTAGAATACTAGCCCATGCCAAAGAGGCCCTACCACCCTTCACAGCATCTCTAAAATACCTATTAGGAAAATATCTGCCTTTTAGCACACGAACCCACAGTGAATTAGGTTCATCCAGGATCCTCCAACTTTGTTTTGCCAAAAGAGCTAGGTTGCACCCTTGCAAACTCCTGAATCCCATACCTCCCTCAACTTTTTATATGCCCAGAGATTTCCAACTAACCCAATGAACTTTTGTTTCATCTTCCTTCTGGCCCCACCAAAACTTGGCAAGCAAGGCATCAATTTCTCTACATAAAGAGGTGGGTAACTTGAAGACATTTATGGGATATGTTGGGATGGCAAGTGCCACAGCTTTAATCATAATCTCAAGCCTCGCCTGCGATAAAACACTCTGCTTCCAACCTTGCAGTTTTTGGTGAATGTGATCTTTGATGTACGACACTGTCTCCCCTTTTACACTGCCCCAAGATGTTGGCAGCCCCAAATATTTCCCTAGATCCTCAACTGCTCTTATGCCAAATATAGAGCATATGCTCCTTCTCAGCACCAAAGGAGTATTTTGGCAGAAAAAAATGCTGGATTTTGCCATGCTTATGGTCTGACCAAAGGCTGTGCAATAGGAATTTAAGAGGTGCATCATATTGTGGCTGTTAATATATGTGGCTTTGAGGAAGAATAAGAAGTCATCAGCGAATAATATGTGAGAGAGAGTAGTTGATCCCTGTTTACTGATTTTGAGCCCTTGCAAGTAGTTAGTATCAACAGCCTTTTGAATCATATGAGATAGAGCTTCACTTACAAAAAGGAAGAGGTACGATGACAAAAGGTCACCCTTACGAATCCCTCTGGAAGGGTTGAAAGTTTTACCCGGCTGGCCATTGACAACAACAGAGAAATACACGGATTGAACACAGTCCATAATCAGTTTAACCCAATTTTCATGAAAGCCCATCTTCTACATTACTTTCTCGACGAAATCCCATTCTACTCTATCATATGCCTTGTTCATGTCAAGTTTCACCCCCATCTCAAGAAATGGAAAACTTCATGGGCAATTAGGATGTTGTCATGTATTAACCTTTCAGAGACAAAGGCAATTTGGGCTTGAAAGATAATGGATGGTAGTAAAGGTTTGATACGATTGGCAAGGACTTTGGAGAGAATTTTATATGAAAAGTTGCAAAGACTAATGGGCCTGAAATGAGTCATAGTTTGAGGTTCATGAATTTTTGGAATGAGGATGAGATTGGTAGTGTTTAGGTCGCGAGGTTTATCATTTCCCTCATAAACTCAGCAGCAGTGCCCTAAACCTCTGAAAAATTGTTGCCACAAGTGTTGATAAAAAAATTCCTTGAAAACCATATAGACCTAGAGCCTTGAGAGCTCCCATCTCAAACACAACATCCTTGATTTCTTGTGGGGCAATAGGTCTAAGAAAATCTGTATTCATTGCATTAGATATCACCGGGTTTACACATTCCACAACATTCCTCATCTCTCGGGGACCATTGGTAGTGAAGAGATTACGAAAGTACCTGTCAAAAGTTGTGCGAACATTATGCTCTCCCGAACTCCAGACCCCGTTTTCATCTTGGATACACACCACCCTATTTCTCCTCCTTTGAATAGTAGACATATGCAAAAACTTTGTGTTGGCGTCACCAACAGTCAACCAATTTACCCAAGCTCTTTGCTTCCAGTATTTCTCCTCTTTGGCTCAAAGGGTATTGATTTTAGATGTGATTTGTGTGTGTTGGGCCTATTCTTAACAACTAAAATGAGTTATTAAAAACAGCAACTTTAATTCTCGCAAGTGCACAAACCGTTTATAGCATAGCTTATGTAAATACGAGGTCGATCCCACGGAGAATGGTAACTTGGTTCCAAGTTAAATTACTTAGAATGCTAGAAAAATAGAAAACAAAGAAACTGACTAACTAACTAAAGGCAAGGTCGAATTCAACAATGCCTCTTGCTAATTACTCAAGGTCTAGGACAGAATCCTAGCACCACACACGCACTCGAAATAAGGAGTTTTGTTGTTGAAATGAAAAGAAGAAAGTGAAATGAAAGTGCTCAAAAGTAAACATTGGTAGCAATTAACAGATTGTGAAACAATAATTGAGAGGTGTTAGAGCCTTGGAATCCACCACTAGTTTTCCTATCCAAGTTATGAATGCATAGAAATTGACTCAAACTTCATCAACAATAGATTATCGCATACAAGCCTATGATATCTAGGTGTATGATGCATGATTCTCCTAAGGCATGTAATTGTGCATGGTATCTACACAACACGTGATCTCTAATACGCAATCTAAGCATGATATCTACTTAGAATAAAGCATACAAGAGTCATTAAGCTCCATGAGAATATAATAATCACACAAGTCCTAGAACATGGTATCTGTTCTAGTCAACCTATAGTTATTAACCCCTTGAATGATTCTTAGGCCATTCATATGTTGTTTGTGAAAGGAGAGTAGAATTGGTGAATCTAAATCCCTTCCCAACATGTGCTAGATGCATAAAATCCTAGTTAGCTACTCCAAGAAAACATACGTCAAGCACATAATAAACTGGAGATTAACAACTTGATAATGAAAGCAAGGAAATCAATTAACGATAAAATCATCTATAACATTAAATATTCATGACTAGAGCTTCATCCTAAGACCTAACTAAATGGATTAGTTAAACATAACTATGAATACAGAAAATAAGAAATACATAGATAGGATAGAAGAGAAGAGAAGAACTAGCTGGCAGCAATGTATTTCCCAGGACAGCTCCAAGCTCTCTTCTCTCTTTGTGGTGAATCTGAATGTGTGTATGAGAGTAATGGATGAAGTGAATGTGTGTGTCTGACTTTCTCTATTGAATGAGTGTGCAGCTCTCTATTTATAGAGTGCAATTTCATCCTCCCCTTTGGCTGGTGAAGCACACCTCTCTTAGCTACTCCCAACTGCTCAAGCTGCCCATACTTGCCAACTGCTCAAACTGCCAAATACATGCTTTGGTATGGTTTCTTTATGGAAAGCTTGACTTTTGTTCATCCTTCTGAGTTCTTAAGCTGATTTGACTCCCATGTGTGGCTGCCCATGTGTAGCACATGGCTCTAGGGATGCAGCCACATTAAATGTGATGGCAGCTAACATGACTTTTCTGTGAATTTGCTTCAGTCTTTGACGTGCTGTGGGCTCCAGATTTATCTAATTAGGCTGAAATTTGGATATGTTATAATAGACACCCATTGGAACAACTTCTATCAAGAATGTCTCCTCATCCGACCTATGTAAGTTACTGAAATGAGGCCTGCAAGATGACATACGAAACTGGATTGACAAGGAGTGTGGCTCAAATTGGTTTTGTCTTTAAGCTCATATTCCTCTTGTGCCACTCAGCCCTTAACATGCATGAATTGTATCAAATGTCATCCCCTTGCTGTCTTAACCTACAAAACAAACAAACATAGGTAAGAGACTCAAAATAAAGAGAAGCTAAACAAAATTACTAAGCAAAGAAGGCATGCAAATGTGTGAAATTATGACCTTATCAAATACCCCCAAACTTAGATTTTGCTAGTCCTCGAGCAATACAAAATAAAACTACAACTTAGGAAACAGGAAATAAGCAACTAGCCTTCCAAACAATATCCTCAAAGAATCACCAACATAAATGGTTCCAAAGAAACACAAAAATCACAATCTAAGTTCCATACATGATTCATGAGAAAGCAAAGCTCACAATGACACCCTTAAGTGTAGTGTGTGAATGCCGAATCAATACAACACATGCAACTCAAATAAGTACATGCGCACACACTTAGAGCAAAATCACGAATTCCGAACACATATAGCCTAATATTTTAACAATAAATAAATAAATAAATATACAATTTCAACACCAATAGGCATAGTCAGGGGTCTTCCACATTTGTATTTGGTGTAAAAGTTTGTCCCAACATCAATTTTAAAATTTTTCTATTAATTTGTCTCCAAAAGAGAAGCATTTTTCTAAATGAAATTCACCCTTTAATGAATAATATGGCTCTAATTTCTTTTCTTTTTTTTTCTTGTGTTTACAATTAGCATGACTTATATGATTTAATGTATACTTTTATTTCTAGAAAAATTATAGAAAATATAAGTACAAAAAAAATATTATCATTAAATTTTAAGCTAATAACTTTAGCTAGCCCACTCATTGAAAATTTTTTGGTTCCGCCCTTGCTTTCTCTTATTTTTTTTGGGGTTACTCATCTAGTTAAGGTTATCTTCACATTTATGTATTTAAAAAAAAAAAGAAGAGAGATGAGAGGAGTACAGTCAACAGATCGAGGGGAAGAGGGGATTTAAATTCTTTTGGTTACTCTGCAATATTATCATATTATGTATCACGTATATTATGTTGGTATCAAAATATTGATAAACAAGTTGATGCCCATAACTTATTGATAATAATAAGCATAAGATTCTAAAAATAAGGACGTGGTGTTGAAAACATTTGTGAAACTGGAACTGTTTCGTTTGATAGTCTTCGAAAGCAGAGGACAAAAAAGCCGTTGGATTCCCTCCACACATTCCCCAGTCACCTTATCTCCTCATATGATTTTTCTCTCTGCTTTCCCTCCAAACAACCAAAAAAGAAAAAAGAAAAAAATATGAACCCAAATTCAGATAACCCAAAATCTTGGTCTCCATTTACTGCTCTGCTCATTCTGTAGACAGAGGATTAGTGGCCTTTTTCTCACTTCCAATGGCCACCAAATTAGCCTTCACCTTAACATCTCCAACCCCTTTTAATCCCTCTAGTCAGAGACCCTTTGTTTCGGTTTCATCTCCCTCCACAAGGGTTGAGTCTTTTCAGTTCAGAGGGAGGCAGCTATGTCTCCGGCGCCGGCTTCTGGTTCTTCCCTCTAAGGCTACTGCTGACCAACGACAAGGTTAGGATCATCTGTCCATTTTCTGTCCATTTGAGGCTTTTTTTATTATTATTTTTTTAATTTTATGCTAGCGATATTGGGGGATGGGAATCAAACTTAGGACTTCGAGTGCATAGGTAAATGATTTTAACCACTTGACCTACGAGCCCATTGCATCCAGTTGAGGCTTTGAAATTGGTGTTTGGTGCTTGCTGGTTTAAGTTTTGTGTAATTATTGAATGAAATTATTATTATTTTTTTATGCGAATGAAATTGATTGAGCATTGTGTATGATGATTGAAATTAACTAATTAAGTAATCAATTTCAAGTTCACTGCTGTATTCATTGTGATATGAATTGAACACTTTGCTTACTATATAGGGTGTGCATAGTTAATAGATAATATTGTAAATGGGTTCGTTCTTATATCTCCCAAGTCATGAAAGAATATGGTAACAAAACAAAATGATCAACTTAGATTTTTTCTAAATGTAGTGCAAAAGAAAATTAGGGACTTGTTCATAATTCAGTCTTAAATTTTTTTTACTTGCACGGACAAGTGTCGCCATGTGAAATTTACTCTATAATGTGGAATATGTTTTTTTTTCCTCTTTGCGATATATACCACATTTATTGATCACATTTCTTATCGATATGGGGATCATCTACATAATTTGTTTTCTACCTCCATGTCACCTTTGTAGAAAGCAATGTAGTCAATGTTCACAAATAAGTTTATTGCTTAAATTTAAACTTCTTGCTTGGTTTTCCTTAGAAATTTCTTGAGTCAATTCCAGTGTCTTTGTTTCAGACAAGGTTGAAGATGAGGAAGTTTTTGATGGCAAGATCCTGCAATATTGTAGCATAGACAAGAAAGGGAAGAAGTCTTTGGGTGAACTTGAACAAGACTTTCTTCAAGCTCTACAAGTAATTCTACACTGCATTTCAATGCTTTATATTGCTATAGTGTTTTTCTGTTAGACACATTATGATTCTATGGACAAAGACATACAAGAAAAATACAAAATCTGGATCTCGGTCGCCTTGCACAACTAATGTAGGGAAAAAGTGCAATGGCTCCTTCAGTTACCTTGTTCTAGAAGTTAGCTATCTGTGTTTAAGATACTGACTATTTTTCTTCTTCTTCTTCTTCTTTTCATTCTAAAGTCATTCTATTATGATGGTAAAGCTATTATGTCAAACGAGGAATTTGATAATCTCAAGGAAGAACTAATGTGGGAGGGCAGCAGCGTTGTTATGCTAAGTATGGACCCCTTCATTTGTTTTTTAATGGGACTTGGCAACTCAATATCTTGAATTTCATAATGGTCATATTTTTTTAAGATTTAATTTCAGTTTCTCTTGTTTAATTTTACCATGCAGGCTCTGATGAACAGAAGTTTTTGGAAGCTTCAATGGCCTATGTGTCTGGGAACCCAATTCTGACAGACGAAGAGTATGATAAACTGAAGATGAGGCTAAAGGTTTGTTTTTGTTGGTTGGTTTCATGTCTTCTTTCCTTCTTTCCTCTCCATATGTATGCTTTAGCTGCGATCTTAACTTTATTTTGCAGACAGAAGGGAGTGATATTGTAGTTGAGGGTCCCAGATGCAGTCTCCGTACCAGAAAGGTGTTGAAATGCTCAGTTTTCTTGCTCTTTCTCTATGTATCCATTTACCGCTGTATACCATTGGCCTCATGTGGTGGCTCGGCTTGGACTAAATCGGAGCTGAGTCAAAGCCAGTCCTTATAAGTCCCACCTCTCTAGATGGGACTTGTACTGATTAACTTGCTTGCACAAATGAAGGCATAAATGGCCAACAGGGTTGTGCTTGTACTAATGAACTTGCTTCCAACAGGTTTACAGTGACCTGACTGTTGACTATTTGAAGATGCTCCTGCTGAATGTCCCAGCAACTATTGTTGCCCTAGCGGCGTAAGTCATATGATCATATCATCAAATGTAGGCTTAAAACTCACAATCCCATAGCTGCAGCTTTAATGCATGTGAACCAAAAAGAGTTTGTTTTGAGAATGCTATGTTATTCTGCTTCACAGCTCTTCTTTGAGTGAAGGGATATCTTCTTATTCTATATAATACGGCATCATTTTTCTTGTTTTCATTTTAATCAACTTCCTCATGAAAATGATTAGAAAGTAGAAACTGATTTTTATTTTTTGACTCTGTTCAAACATAAAAATTATGCCTTTCCTGTATTTATTTATTTATTGAAACTCTGGTGTTAACTTTCCTTGTGTCCTGATCTGCTAGGTTCTTCTTCCTGGATGATGTAACTGGGTTCGAAATCACGTATCTTTTGGAGGTAAGCAGTCACCATATCCAGAGTTCCTTGTTCTAATTTCTCACATATTTTGGGATGGCTAAAAGTCATTGGTTTTTGGATGTGCTCTCTTTTAACACAACCTTTCATAAATTCTTGGGCTGCAGCTGCCAGAGCCATACAGCTTCATTTTCACATGGTTTGCTGCTGTTCCAGTCATAGTTTATTTAGCTCAGGCACTCACCAAACTGATTGTGAAGGATGTTCTGATCTTAAAGGTACAGAGAATTTGTCTTGTCAGATGTTAGTTCTTAACTTCTTATAAGTTATATGAAAATATTATGTATCCGATGTTGTTGATGCTATATTGCTATTAACATGTAACATTTATTTTATAGGGCCCTTGTCCAAACTGTGGTACAGAGAACGTGTCCTTCTTTGGGACCATACTATCCATTTCAAACGGCGGTGCTACCAACACCATTAAATGCTCAAAGTGAGTAAACAGCTAACCATTGATTCTATGAGCAATGCTCGGGTCAGTCGCCCACTATCGAATGGACGACTCTCAGCCGTTGATGCACGTGGAACCTATATTGCATCAGTGACTGAGAGCCGGCTACTTGCACGTGGACAACTGATCTTAGGAAAATCTTTGATTCTAGTATCCACGTTCGCATGTTTTGGTTCCCTTTAGTTTTAACTGTTATGAGTAATATTTGACTGCAGCTGTGGAACTCCGTTGGTTTATGATTCAAGTACGCGTTTGATTACATTGCCAGAAGGAAGCAATGCTTGATTAGAATTTGGAACTTGGGAGTACGTACATTATCTACCCAACTCAATTATGTAGCACAAAAAGTAATGCATAAATCAGCACTTGTATTGTGTAAGTGGTTTCTTGTGCTGAATAATATACTCGAACAGTAGTTTTTTTTTCTTTGGATCTTCGAAAATCTCAGCAGTTGATTGTGAATATGAATACAAGGAGAGAAGATATCATGATCAGATGGTTCAGCTTTCACGCTTATCGTGCGATCTTAAATTCCAAATTTTGACAATAACTCAGTTGTGAAGCATTTTCTTTTCTCCATATTTGGGTTGTCTACAAATAACCCTCTCTGGACTGAAATGCGTATACTAAGCCCCCACAAAGTTGATCGCAATTAATTACTCAGTAACTTTCGCACATAGAACTATTCATGGTCCACAGGACCACAACTCTATGTCCATTGTGGCCGTATGCAGTCTGCGTAACTAAAGCTTCATCGACAAGGGACTTGTAGCTCAACTGGTTAACTACAACTACTCATGCACCTTCGATTCCCCCTCCTTCCTAATATCACTTGCATTAAAATTAAAATAAAATCTTAATCATGCCTGCCTATTGCCAGTAATAAATACTTAAAAAATTATTCAGCTAATATATGATAAGGTGTTTTCTCATGTAGCAAGAACTGAAAAACCAACAGTACTAAGATTACCAGAATACTTCCTGACGCGTTTCAACATCCATACAACATACAGAACGGCCTCCACAAGATAGTTGAGTAAAGGCAGATAAGGCATATTAATACATCCACAAAAATGGGCATCAAATCAACTCTAAAGGTGGAAAAACATGATACAGGCTCGCTCCTTCCTACTCAATCCATCTGAGATGCTGCCATTATAAAAGCTTCACAGCTGATGCAGCAACCACCATCATCTCTATAGGACCGCCACATCTAAATAATCCCCAATCTACATCATAGAATGGAAAGAAGTGAGAACACCCATCGCTTCCTTTTTTGGTCAAACACAATAAATTCTGATATAAAATTTCACTTTACCTGGAAGTTAAAATCATTCAATGCCTTGTTCTCATCCGGATTTCTACCATTTCCATAAGAATGTGTCATCCCAACCTTCAGAAATCCAAGAAACACACAATTTAAAAATTAAAAAAACACAAATTAAATTAATCTGCATTAGTACATGAGTGGTGTATCTATGATGATGTAATCGTGTACTACGATGATGTACAGATCATAATATACATGGCTCAACCGCATCTGTACCTAAGCTATATTGTTTCCAACCTACCTCTACTCTCTATCAATATCATACTGTACACATTCCCATAGAATATGCCAAACGTTATGGAAAACAAATTTAAAAGAGGTGAAAAGATACATATGAAATTCACATTTTCTTTTGATAGGACATAAGCTTTCACATTAATGAGCAAAGTTTCAGTTGCAGCAGAAAAGAGGATTCATTTATCTGTAAAGTGGAGCATAAAGAAAGTCTTGATAGCTTGATTTGAAAACCTAAAATGTATCATAATACATGCATATATCACTAAGTTAGAAGGTAGTAAGTACCGTTTTCACCACAAAATGACCACGCCTGTCAGGGTATACAAAAGCAAAAGAAAGTTTTGCATTTCTTCTCCTAGCCTCTGGAGCAATCTCTTTGACCTGACAAAGAACTAGAATCATCTTCGAAGCAAGTAATATAAATTTATTCAACCAAATATGGCAAAGAGTATAGGATGGCATGACAATATAAAGAATGGACCACATACAAGATCAGTTAGCTCGCGAAGTGTCGCGTCTTTCCATGTATAAATTTGAACCTCATCTTTGGGTTCCTTGCCTCTGACTGCAAAATCCTCATTATTATGATGGCTTCCAATCTGCAGAAAGATAAGTTAAATGAAATTGTAAAATGCTAAATCAGAATATCATCAGCCAAACCATATGTCTCTTTCATTTCCTTTATATTAACATTGACTTCCCTCACTAACACTGCTGCTAAATTCTCCTACAACGTGAGTTTCCTCAGACTTCAAAACCAAATTATTACTGCTTATGATGGTACAGGAAAACAAATGTAATTCTCCTTCCCCCTTCCGAATCTTATCTCAGAATCACCACCATAACTTTCTACCGAACTGATTTCAGAGCCTAGTTAGAGCAACCATGTTAAAGGCCAAGAGAGAGTAAGCCACTAATATATGTAGTTAAGAGTAGGGACTTCATAAGCACATTTGTAAGAACAAGTTTTCAATCGTTTCCCTTTCACTCTCTAATGGTGCAAAAAGCATTCCCAAACAACCCAAATGCATTTCTAACACTACTCTGCAACAAAATCAACAATATCTACTTCCACAAAAAGACCTTTAAGTCAAGTAAAGATTGAAGTTTTAAAAGGGTCATCTGATTTTGAATATAGAAAAATAATTAGCACAAGAAGAAGCTGAAAACTACTACACAGTCATGAACAATTTCCGAAACCCAATTTGACAACAATAAAATACTTAAAAACTAAAATAAATCAATAAAACACTAACTGGACTTGCACATACCTTAGTGAAAACCCGAAGCAACAAAGGGCAAGTCTGCAAATACCAGCAAGAAAGTAAGTTGAAAACAAAATTTGAAAAACACAGAAACCCTAAAGAAGCAAACGGCAAAGCTTGAAGGGGAGTACCTTTTCACGGTCGACGGGCTCGGGGCGGGGAGGGGGCGGGGGCGGTGGACCCCTAGAGTGAGGAGGAGGAGGAGGGAGGGGTCTGCCGGGTGGACCTCGGGTCTGGGCTTGGTTCTGGGGACCCGGTCCGCCCATCTTGTCGTCTCTGTTTCTCCTCTCCATTGTTGAAGTCCTTCCCTGAGCTTTTTGGTTCGAGAATGATTTCGGGTTTTCGGGTTTGAGTTTTGGGACTTTGGGTTAATGTAGTAGAATTTGTACTGTACTGATACGGGTCATGGGTCTTTAGCCCACTGAAACTAAAGGCCGGAAAAAGCCCATGGAGTTGCCAATCACTCTATAAATATTAAATAAACCCAAAACTGTTATTTGAGTTTTATGGTGAAATAACCCAAAAATTTAAAGGAAATGACCTCCAATGCCACCCATTTACTAATTTTAACTAAAAATACCATCCCTTCCTAATTTTTGTACAACTACAACCTATAAATATAAAATTATTGTCCCCTTATTGTACCCATATCAGTTTTTCAGAAATTGCTCTCTCTCTCTAACTCGCTCTGTCTCTTCGACCGTCTCTCTCCCTCGTGTACCTCTCTCTCTTCGACGACAATCATCTTTCTCCCTCAACAGTGGCTGTCTGCGTTCTCTCTTCCTCTCTCAGCGTTTTATCTCTCCACCGTCACTCCATGACCACCACCACTCTGTTTCTCCCACTCTCGCGAAATCCATCCCTGTGTCAATTTCTCAACAAAAAAACTCAATCTTTATCCCCTATCTAGGGTTATCTGGTCTTACAAGTCCAACCCAGAAAAATAAAAGCTTAACCACTCCCTCAGCCATCCAAGCTTAACTCCATAGTTCACATCCACGAGGTACTGTTCACGTTCCTTTTCTTAGAAATTTGGGGTTTTTGTGAATTTAGTTTATAGTGTATAGATTTGTATGAAATTGGTTTAGGGGTTTCTTCCAAATTGGTTTAGGGTTTTAGGGTTTAGAGGTTGCTTTGAAATTGGTTAGGATTTGTTTTGTGCCCAAAAGATTGTGACTTTGTTGAAAGTTTGTGCCCAGAAGATTTGTGCATTTGTGCTTTCTCTGTTTGAAAGCATGGTTTTATCTATTTTTTTTATTTTCGGGATTGTTATCTAATTTCTTTATACACCATCTGCTGCTCGAAACATAATAATGCAGATGAAGCATCTCAGGGAAAATCTTTACTCAGTTCTTCTTTTCCAAGTTTGTGTTTCATTTAGTAATTGCAACAATTGGGTGTGCCAATTGTCAACAAATTTATTTAAAGCAATGTTGACTTGCTTGATCTCCGATTTTATTCAATTCTGTACTCTATTTTGGTGTAATCTTTGATGTAGGATATATCCTTTTTCGACAGAGAAGCAGTTGGTGATTTGACAAGCAGACTTGGGGCAGATTGTCAACGATTATCTCTTGTTATTGCGAATGATATTAGTTTGATCTTACGCAATGTTCTTCAGGTTGTGGTTCTTACCCTTCCCCTCCCCCAAATGTGCATTTGATTTTTTAATAGTCTAGTCTAAGTTACAGTTTTCCTATATTCAGGGGATAGGTGCACTGATCAATTTGCTGATATTATCTCGGCCTCTCGCATTATCAACATTGTTTATCTGCTGTGTGTTATCTATGATTTTTCTTCTTTATGGATAGTAAGCTTCTTTACCTTCTTTCTACTTTATATCTGATTTGGATTTTTTGAAGCTTGAGGTTATTTATACCGCAAAGTTCTGCTATAACAATAAATGAAGAAGTGATATATTTGATTATTTTATATTTTATAACAATATATAGGTACCAAAAGAAAGCTGCAAAGTTAGTCCAAGACTTCACTGCTGGTGCCAATGAAGTATAGACAGACTATAGATCCAAAATGCACAATGACATCAAAATTGATTGGTTTTCTAGCTTGATATCTATCTATGCATAATGACATCAAAATTTTCTGTGGTGTATTTCATGATAGGTATTTGCAACTCCGGAAGCTAGTATTGGCTTTCATACTGATTGTGGTTTCTCATATGTATCCCATCTTCCTGGGCATCTTGGTAAGCATGCAAATATAGAGGAAATAGTTTTTCCTGGATTTTACTGAAATTGATTGGTATTGTGTGGGGAACGCAGGGGAGTTCTTTGCCTTAACAGGAGCAAGACTGAATGGTAAGGAATTGGTTGCAGCTGGATTGGCAACCCATTTTGTCCCTCTTGAAGTGATTTTCTCATTCCTTCCCTATAATTTTCTTCCTCTGAAACCAAGTGTCGGAAGTATTAGCTCACAAGATTTGCCCCTCTAAGTGATCTGCAAAGCTAAGAGACTGCATTATACACATCCATTATTATTAGATACTTTGATATAATTCTTCTTCATAGTGACTATGTCAAACTAAAATTTGCTATTGAACTGTTTTTGTTCATCATAAATTATCTAATCTAGAGAAGCATTTGATAAGCTTAAACTCTGGAGATGAGAATGCAGTCAAAGCTGCGATTGAAGAATTTGCAGTGGAAGTCCAGCCTGATGAAGAAAGTGTTTTAAACAAGTAATAAATCTTAGTTGCTGGTGTTTAATTGTTAATTCCACTTCAATCCTTAACATTAACATGCAAAGCTCCCTATCTCGATCTCAATAACCTTTCCTTACCTTTCAGGCAGTCAATAATTGATGAGTGCTTCTCCAAAGATGCATCACAAGGATAAGGAAAGGTCTGATACCAGCTGGTTATGTCACTGTCAGGGTATGTGTCTTTCACTTCTATGAAATAATTGGGTTAAATTATGAAGTTCAATTTTGGTCTCAGAACATCACAAGGAATTATCATAACTATACTCAAATCTTGAAGGATTCTATGCTCAAATGACCCAAAATATAAATCACTATCCAAAAATAGATATGATTGTTATTTTTTGAATAGAGGAAGATCAATAAACCTTCATCTCAATCATCTCAATCCGCACTGTTTACTCATGCAGAAAAAGATAAAATTCTCTTTAGCAAAATTGTTAGTTTTCTAATTTTGGAAGAGAAAGTATCAATTTTGGAGAATGGTTTTTATTTTGGTTAATTTCACGAAGTGGTTGGATCTCAAACCACCTGCCACCAACATGTTAAGGTGCTGAAATAGAGTTAGGCCTAATCTATGAAGGACAATTATATTGGTGATTTATCTTAGTTCTCTGGTGTTACTGGTTATGCTTATGTATCTCTAACTCTGTTTTTTTCCTCAGGTCGGATTAGCTCTTGGAGAGTTGCGAAAGGAAAATAATTTCCTAAGAAGCCTTTGGCCAGTAACTAATCCACCTTCAAGTCAAGAACATCTTTTACATCCTCAACTTTTACTCTCCGCCGCCCATTCCTTGCTTGAGGGTATTTTGACGTTGCAGGAGTGTAAAACGTGATTCCATTAAGGACATCGTGTCCTTTTTGTAATATGTTGTGTAGATTATGAATATGTAGTGGGAATGTGGAGTTTTTGTATTGCCATTGTATTGCTTCCGTATTGCATTTGTATTGTCATCATATTGTCATTGTAGTGTTGTGGTATTGCCTGGTTATTACACTTATATTTGTTTCTTGTCACCAGTTTTTTCAAGTCTGTCTTGTGAAGGAACTTATAAGGATATTTTGTAAAAGGAAACGCTTGATTGTGTAAGTTTATTTTGTAAAGGAAAATGCTGGATCATTATTCATTATCATATAAATAAGGTACAAGAAGCACCGTATATGCATCTCTTCAATATGATTGATTCGTGTTCAGCTATTGGTGTAAGAATGTGATTCCATTATTGCTTATTTATTTATTATTTATTATTTATTATTGTAAGAATGTGATTCCATTAATGACGTCACATCCTTTTAATAAATCAAACTCATAGTTGCTTCCCCTGCAAGAAATTATATTAATTAAGAAAACCAACCAAAAAGCAATACAAAAGCAATGGCACATAAATTATGAAGTGGTAGCAGACATGCAATACAAAAACAATAAGGTAGCAATAAACGAGCAATACAGTGACAATACACGAGCAATAAAAAGGCAATAACAATACAATAAACAAGTTGGGGCCTTTTCTTTTTCTTGTGCAATTTGAAAAGAGAAGGGGAAAGAAACAGAAATTGTCAAGATAAAACTACAGAAAGAAACAGAAGTGAAGTATCCAAGATTGTGCTTGATTCGTGAAATTGTTATTAATATTGATTTATGACATTGGTGATTAAGTTGGAGATTTCCAAATTGGACAATTCTTATTGCTTTGCTGATATGGATCCAATATGCTTTGTTTTGGCAAAAAGGGTCCTACTTATTGTACATTATTTGTTCTTTTAGACTTGATACGTATAAGTTTAGTTTTATCATATTCTCTTGGCTTGCTTGTTCTAACTGTGGGCACACATAAGGCGGAAAACTTGACAATGCTTTGACTATCTTGCAGATTATAATGGCAAAACCAGCAGGTGGCCCTAGTAAGAGAGATCAGCCTGCAGGGATGGATGAGGACTAATTTTGTGTGTATGACAATTGACTATCTTTGCTTGTATTGTTCTATGTTAGGGATCTTTTGTTCCATTTTAGTAACAATTTTGTTTAGGAGAAAAAGAAACATATTGCAGTTCATGCTTTGTAAATGCCACTCTTCTGTTACGATGGACACGTGGTATGCCCTTGTTTGGTAGGTTTAGATTGAAACCATGGTCAAGTGCTTGAGCCATGTTTAGTGAGAAGCTTGAATGGATTTTCTTTTCTTTTGTATTTGGCCCTTGTCTTTTCAAGCATGCCAAAAATCATCCCGGTTTTGTAATATGTGGTTTGTGGCAAATTAATTTACTATGGATCTTGCATTTTTGTACCCAATATTTGATAGCTGCCTTCTTTTGAACGAAGATTCATTGAGGGAGAGAATTACTTTCCTTTTGAATATGAATCGATGTGCAACTCCAACTATCATTTCAAAGGTCAACATCAATTCATGCTAATATAAGGATGAATAACAATTGTCGTGCCCATGAGATTTGAATTCAGGATTACTTTCAACGAAGTGGAGACTCTGTTATTAGACCAAATGGCCATTGACATACAATATAATAGCAATATTATGCCAATATATGTACACTATAGAGGCAATATTAGAGCAATATAACCACAATACGATAGCAATAGTATTACAATATCACATATAAAAATATAATTATTGTCCACTTATTGCTAATTTTTGACATGTTCAGAAATTTTGTTCTCTCTTAGCTCACTCAGCTCAATCTCTTTGGCACATCTCTCTTTTTCTTTGGTTTGTGTCTATCGCAGCTCTCTGTCTCTCTCTTGGCTATCTCTCTGTCTCTCTGTAGTGCAACTCTCTGTCTCTCTCTTTGCTCTCTTTCTACAGCGCAACTCTTTCTCTCTCTGCCTCTCTCTCTAGCTTCGTTCTGTCTTTTTCTCCCCCTATTCGCTCTCTTGCTCTCTATCTCTTTATTCATACCTTCCTTTTTTTTGTAAATTATTTTTTAGTTGTTATTATTTTTAAAAATAATTTCTTACAATGTCTTATGGTGCAATTATGATGCACCTGACTGCCTGTTTTTGAAAGGCACGTTGTTTCTTTCTCCTCCTCTTCTTCTTTTTGAATGAAGTATGGCTTAAACCGTAAACCCATTGATGAGCTGTAGTCAATATACATACAATATAATAGCAATATTAGGCCAATATACATACATTAGAGAATCAATATTAGGGCAATATAATCGCAATACGACAGCAATAGCATCACAATATACATGCAATACGGTGGCAATATGCATACAATATGTATACAATACATAGGCAATATTAGTACAATACACATGCAATAGGACAGAAATATTAAGTCAATCTACATACAATACACACACATCCATTACAGACTACAATTTAGACATGGAAAATAAATCGCCACCGAACCCTAACAATACTATCCTGCGAAGTAAAAATTATTTCTTTCATAAAACTTGAAAATTCAATTGTTATTACATAGTCAACCAATCTTTGCTCTATTACATACATACTTCCTACCTATAATTATAAATAATGGAGAGCTCACAAATTCTACTAATTTGATCTTAACTTCATCAATTTGTTCTTCGTTGTATGAGTTAGCTCTCCCTTCTTGCACTTTTTCCAAGCTGTTCTATTCTCCTCCCGTGTAGCAATATCAGCAACAACAGGTTATCTACAGCAAAAAGAAAGAGAGAACCATTAAACAAAAGAAAAATTCATAAGAGACAGAGAGAGATAGAGCAGCTGAAAGTTAATATTGAAGATAAAGTCAAGAATTAAAAATAGAAGAATAAAAAATACCTGGAAACTTCAACCATGCTGATATACTAAAAGAAACTTATCCACCAGACCTGTACCAAACAAAGAATAATTATTTACAAAAATATTTACACTAAACTCTTCTTTATTGTCTACCATACACATATTTAAGCTAAACATGCATATAAAATACTAACCTACCCTACAAGTGTGCATCTTGGATCGGCTAACAGATTCCGTGTATGGATGGCCAATGGTGAAAACGAAAATATAGGGCCCGCATACTATCAGATTCATTGAGGGAGAGAATTACGTTCCTTTTGAATATGAATTGATGTGCAACTCCAACCATCATTTCAAAGGTCAACATCAATTCATGCTAATATAAGGATGGATAACAATTGTCGTGTCCATGAGATTTGAATTCAGGATTACTTTCAATGAAGTGGAGACTCTGTTATTAGACCAAATGGCCATTGACATACGATATAATAGCAATATTAGGCCAATATATGTACACTATAGAGGCAATATTAGAGCAATATAACCACAATACAATAGCAATAGTATTACAATATCACCTATAAAAATATAATTATTGTCCACTTATTGCTAATTTTTGACATGTTCAGAAATTTTGTTCTCTCTTAGCTCACTCAGCTCTCTCTCTGGCACATCTCTCTTTCTCTTTGGTATCTGTCTATCGCAGCTCTATGTCTCTCTTAGAGAAGCTAAATAAGATCATAGCAAAATAAAAGGCTACAAAATCAAGTGAACCTATAGCTAGGGAGCCCTGTAAGGTCCTGTGAAAAGGCAGTAGTTGCAAAAGAAGGAACAAAATCCCTCCTGTGGGAGCCAGATTAGTCCGCCCTGTAATCAGCCAAACAATATGACTGTTTATCATAGATGAGTTTTCTAGTAGTAATCAATTTTACTCGCAGTATGGATAAGTACTATATACTTATTTCACCAGTAATAAACTTTTAACACTTTACTTTGCTTCCCTCTACCTCTCCCTAAAATTTTCCATGCTCTGCCACCGCTGAGCAATGGGCTAGGCAACTCGGAAATATTATCTAAATCTATTAAGTAGCCTAGGATGCACAAGAAACAATAAGCAACAACAGTTTTGCAGTTTATTTGAAGGTGATTTCATTAATAAGGACAGAATAGTACCCTAAATGCAGGGTGATGTCAGAATCTCCATTCTCAAATGCAAAATTGCTGACCAAATCTGGGTTTGTGACACCATGGTTTACAAGGGATTTCTCTTTTTCCACCGGATAATATTCCAGATAGGATGGGACTGCATGGTCAGTTTGTGGAAATAAACACTGAAGCTCCTCATCCTACAATATAAGTATAGGCCATAACAGATACATTACATAATATACAAATCACTCACAGGGAAGTAAATGTCAGAAATTGATCAAATTTTCATTAGCAAGAAGAATGTTGTTTACCTGTCTGCGCAACATTTCATTCTCAAGTATAGCACGCTGTTCCTGGAGGAAACAAATAGCTTCAAATTAAATACTGGGTAAAATTGTTTGTTTTGTTGATAATAAATAAATAAACTTAGTCTTTTCTATACAGACCAGTGTAGATGCAAGGTCATTGTGCAACTTATACCATAAAGCCAAGCTTTTAAAAACTAGAACATAAGTATATAAGGAAAAACTTTACATTATAGATTAGTCACTTTCTTCCTTTTTCTGTCACTTTTCATTGTCATATCCCTTCCTCTTTTTATTTTTTCTTTTCTTTTCCTCTAAATCATTGTGATTATCCATACTTCAAAGTAAAAGTAGCTTAATCGAAACAAAATAGTATCTTTGGTAAACTTCAAGAAAAACTGCAGCTTTCATATGTTTGGAGAAATGAATTTTCTGTGACCCTCCAAGTTGCATAAATTAACCACTCATAATACAGTACATACTTAGTTGCTCAGCTGATACATGACCACTCATAATTGAAATTCCTCCCAACACCACTGCAATAATCTGTAGATGTGATTTGACAAAGCGGAGTCAAATAATAGATTTTCATTTAAATGTAATTACTTGAGACATTTTCCTTTCTCACTTCAGAAAACCAACAACTTAAGCCCAATACCTTATGATAGTTAACTAAAAAAGAACCAAACTTGCGTTGAACGATAAAGAGTACTGAAACTCACACACCAGAATCCATAAGCCACACTCTCTCGAATGTTTACAAAAGCAACTTTGACTAGCCATTGCTTGAACCTAATATCACATAGGATGCATGCTTTAGGTGTCAGAATTCTCAGATTTTCTTGTGCTATGTTTATTAGAAAGACGGCAGTAAAAAGAAAATGCCTACCAGGAAATTAATAGTAAAATATACACCTTCCAAATTCTTTTCTTTCAGTTCCATAAACCCGGACAGTTCTCATCAAGGAAAATGTTTCTTGCGCAGCCTACATTCAAATAGGAAAGTGATCAACCAAAGAAGATTAACATAAATTTTGGAGCATTTTGGATCTATAGTCTGTCTATACTTCATTGGCACCAGCAGTGAAGTCTTGGACTAACTTTGCAGCTTTCTTTTGGTACCTATATATTGTTATAAAATATAAAATAATCAAATATATCACTTCTTCATTTATTGTTATAGCAGAACTTTGCGGTATAAATAACCTCAAGCTTCGAAAAATCCAAATCAGATATAAAGTAGAAAGAAGGTAAAGAAGCTTACTATCCATAAAGAAGAAAAATCATAGATAACACACAGCAGATAAACAATGTTGATAATGCGAGAGGCCGAGATAATATCAGCAAATTGATCAGTGCACCTATCCCCTGAATATAGAAAAACTGTAACTTAGACTAGACTATTAAAAAAATCAAATGCACATTTGGGGGAGGGGAAGGGTAAGAACCACAACCTGAAGAACATTGCGTAAGATCAAACTAATATCATTCGCAATAACAAGAGATAATCGTTGACAATTTGCCCCAAGTCTGCTTGTCAAATCACCAACTGCTTCTCTGTCGAAAAAGGATATATCCTACATCAAAGATTACACCAAAATAGAGTACATAATTGAATAAAATCGGAGATCAAGCAAGTCAACATTGCTTTAAATAAATTTGTTGACAATTGGCACACTCAATTGTTGCAATTACTAAATGAAACACAAACTTGGAAAAGAAGAACCGAGTAAAGAGTTTCCCTGAGATGCTTCATCTGCATTATGATGTTTCGAGCAGCAGATGGTGTATAAAGAAATTAGATAACAATCCCGGAAATAAAAAAAATAGATAAAACCATGCTTTCAAACAGAGAAAGCACAAATGCACAAATCTTCTGGGCACAAACTTTCAACAAAGTCACAATCTTTTGCATTTGATTTCTGTGAACAGTGCCTTTTCCATTTACGAACTTTCAACAAAGTCACAATCTTCTGGGCACAAAACAAATCCTAACCAATTTCAAAGCAACCTCTAAACCCTAAAACCCTAAACCAATTTGGAAGAAACCCCTAAACCAATTTCATACAAATCTATACACTATAAACTAAATTCACAAAAACCCCAAATTTCTAAGAAAAGGAACGTGAACAGTACCTTGTGGATGTGAACTATGGAGTTAAGCTTGGATGGCTGAGGGAGTGGCTAAGCTTTTACTTTTCTGGGTTGGCCTTGTAAGACCAGATAACCCTAGATAGGGGATAAAGATTGAGTTTTTTTGTTGAGAAATTGACACAGGGATGGATTTTGCAAGAGTGGGAGAAACAGAGTGGTGGTGGTCATGGAGCGACGGTGGAGAGATAAAACGCTGAGAGAGGAAGAGAGAACGCAGACAGAGGGAGAAAGATGATTGTCGTCGAAGAGAGAGAGGTGCACGAGGGAGAGAGACAGTCGAAGAGATAGAGCGAGTTAGAGAGAGAGAGAGCAATTTCTGAAAAACTGATATGGGTACAATAAGGGGACAATAATTTTATATTTATAGGTTGTAGTTGTACAAAAATTAGGAAGGGATGGTATTTTTAGTTAAAATTAGTAAATGGGTGGCATTGGAAGTCATTTCCCAAAATTTAAAACCTTTGTAGAAAATGACTCGTTTCTAAGAAAACTATTCTTTGCGCTTAGTGAAAAAGGATCTTGATTTGCAGACAAGAGGTCTCAAGTTCGAACTCCCATGGCATCTTAGTTGTATGTGTGTGTGAGATACTCCCCTCCCCTCTAGTTTAGATTATTGCTTGTACTATAAATAAAAAATAAAAAAACCTATTCTTTGCAAGGGACATGTAGTTCAAGTCAGAGTATTTTTACTCTTGTATTCGTGATCCTAGATTCAATTCCTCCTTTTTCCAAATATCACTTGTATAAAAAAATAAAAAATAAAACTAATTCTTTTTTGCTAGATAAATACCTTTTACTCTCGTAAACTTGAAAAAAAAAATAGGGTATTTCTAATATGAAATTGAATTTTAGTGAAAATTGAGCGGCCAAAATAGTAGTACAACCACTTAAAATTCCTTAGCTAGATTATAATTAATTGTGTTTATGTCTAGATAACCTCCCCAAATTAACATATAGTCAAATCAGTATTTGTCATTTGTGCATAGCATCCAACTGATTAAATGTGATATATGATTTTTTTAAATTTTGACTTAAAAAACATTTGAGAAAAAAGGACACTAATGTAGCCAAACACAATGTATCCTTTTTCATACAATTGGGCACCAACTTAAAATTCCATCAGCAAACTCAAAGAAAAAACCCAAGAGAATAAGAATTTGAAATATATTATAAAAATAATCTAATATTCGTTAATAATATTTAATTATTTATCAACAACTAAAATGCAAATAACAATACCTGCCAGCACGTTTGGCACCATAAAAATATTTCATAAATTGAAACCCTCAAAATATATTCATTGTGTGAGCAATTAAAAAAAAAACTCTTGCTTTGACTAATTGAAGGGCATAACCTTCGTTGGGGCCACGAAGTCGTTTCTAGCTACCTCAGTGTCATGTAGCTGAACATTATATAAGGCATACAATACGTACCAAAGGGCATTAAACTTATACTTTTTATCCTAAAGGGTCTCAAAGAAACCTCTACCAACACAGCCATGGCTTCTTTCCTTCCTTCATGGAGCTTTAGCTTCCTCTTCACATCATGGATGCTGGTAACCCTAAGCGGAACAGTGGTTGCAAAGGTCGTTTACCGACCTAGCCCGTGGCACCTTGCCCATGCTACTTTCTATGGTGACGAGACTGCCTCCGAGACTATGGGTATGTATGTTGTTCATATACTTAAATGATCTCTTGTCATACTATAACTACGTTACCATTATTGGAGATGTCCCATAAGAAGTTTATGCTTTAATTATTACTAAATCCTTAATGCTACTTTTTTTTGGGGGGTTATAGGCGGAGCTTGTGGGTATGGAAACTTGTTCGTTAATGGGTATGGCACAGACACAGCAGCATTGAGCTCAACACTATTCAACAATGGATATGCTTGTGGAACTTGTTACCAGATAAAATGTTATGGGGCTAGTGCATGCTTTAGAAATGTTCAATTCACCACCGTGACGGCTACCAACCTTTGTCCGCCAAACTGGTCCCAAGACTCCAACGCTGGAGGCTGGTGCAACCCTCCTCGGACTCATTTTGACATGTCCAAGCCAGCCTTCATGAAAATTGCTCAGTGGAAGGCTGGCATTGTCCCAGTTATGTACCGCAGGTACGACACAAGCCCTTAAAGCTTCATACAACATTTCATTGATGTATTATTATTTTTCATTATCTCTCTTGTTACGTGACTTAGTATACCTATAATAAATAAATAAATCACATCAATATGATGATATGGTATAACTGTTGCACCTAAGCCTTCACCAAACCTAAACTACACACAGATTTCAAACATATGGTTATAAGAGCATGTTAAAGATCAATTTTTTTCTTGGAGTTCTCAATCATCTATGCTATTTCCTTGCAGGGTACCATGCTTAAGGGCCGGGGGACTTCGATTCTCTTTCCAAGGAAATGGGTACTGGTTGTTGGTGTATGTGATGAACGTAGCAGGAGGGGGTGACATTGCAAACATGTGGGTGAAGGGAAGCAGATCAGGGTGGATCAAAATGAGCCATAACTGGGGAGCTTCATACCAGGCCTTTGCAACCTTGGGAGGTCAAGCTCTCTCTTTCAGGATCACTTCCTACACATCCAAGGAGACTATAATAGCATGGAATGTTGCTCCTTCAAACTGGAATGTGGGTTTGACTTACAAGGCAAATGTCAACTTCCATTGATGCTCAACAAGCAGAATATGAGAGATTATGCCATCTATGACTCTTTTTTTGTTTTCTTAATTTCCTACTTTTTATGAAGCCTGGTTGGCTTTTTCTTTCCTCTTTTTTTTTTTTTTTTTTTTTTTTTTTTTTTTCCTCTGGTTAATTTGCATCTGATATATATGCTTACAAAAGTGATTTCTACTCACTAAAATGACAGCAGAATGTTCACATGCTAAGAGTACAACTGCTTGTTTTCATTATTTGGTTGAAAAACAAGTGCTCTGCCTCGGCAAATATCATCTATATACTAATCTGAAAAGTGCTTTTGTCCCAAGAATATATTTGAGAAGCATTTCAGAGCCATGACAAAGTTTATGTGTGGCTTTTCTTGTATCAAAGGATGAAAAGTCTTATGTTTCATCAAACACTTTATGTTGTTATCCTGCAGAAACAAAACGAAATTGTCAAAGACTCTCTGGTTTTCAATCCTGTGATCTAACAGTAGATCAAAAGCATAATAATTCATTCTAAAGATTCAATGCCATATTGGGAAGTCATCAAAGAAGAGAAGAAATATGCTTGCAATCCTAAATCTCAAACTGGGTCAAAAAATAAGAAACAGAGAAAACACTCAAGTATAATTGCGTCACTAAAAACACCCACAAGACCATGATCATTGCTACCAAGTCATGTTTTTTTAATTTGTTTGATCCCATGTGAACCGTGGGCCCATTTAGAGGGGGAATAAAATGGAATGCCATGCTTGCTAAAACGTGACCCCCACAAAGGGGTTTAAAGTGGGGAACATGTTATCAAATCAAACGAACAATTAGGAGCAATATTATGCCCTCCCAAAGCAAAAAAATTTCTTGTACTGTAAAAAGGTATCTCACATGTCATTACGTTATTGGTTGAGGATGGTAAAAAATGCTATTTCTGTTGCTTGAAAGTTTCTCTCCTCTCACCTCGACCAATAATGCTATGTCACGTGAAAGTGTTATCACGCATGTCATAACGTTATTGACCAGAGATAGCAAACTAATGTTATCCTCGTTTCATGAAAGTCTTTCTCCCTAAAGAGGGCCTCTCATTTCATTGCCTAAGCACGCCAAGCTTCCCTTTTTCTCTTCCTTTTTCCACAAAGTGCCATCATCACCAAGGCTTTAACATCATTTCTTCAACCTTCCCACCTCCATATTTTACTTTCTTTTTCTTGGGAGCCCAATTTTAGTTTCTAAAGGAAACAAACAAGTATGTATATTTTGTTGTTGTCCAAACTCGATATTGTGAGGTCTTGCATTGACCAACCCTCCTACAGAAAACAGCAGGCAACCTTTTAGTTTTGGATCAAAAATGTCAAAACCTAACTTGTATTCTCTCCAAGACCTACATAAAGGGAAACAAAGTAAGAACTTTCTTTTCCCTTTTACTTGCTTACCTTTTAATCCACCAGAGCTTTTTCTGAGCTATAAAGTCTTCAAACAGTGTGATAAGCTTAACTCTTTGCATCCTTGTACCTGTTTATATCCTCTGGAAAAAAAGAAACTCATTTAGATCTAGTTTTCATAGAATTCAAGCCATCGCCATTCTTTTAGTGTACAAAACCATTGTACATTTATGATTTATTACCACCTTCATCCTTCAAAATCAAGCTCATTTTCTCACATGGGCTCTCTCTTCTCTCTCACGTTGATAATTCTCTCGTGCATATCCATAGCATTAATAAAAACTGAAGCTCAGAAGATCAAGTCAGCTCGCCTACTTGACCTGCTCATCCGGGACTACACCTTCAAGGCCTATGACACACACTTCAGGACAGGAGTTCTACACACTGTAAATTTACCAGCAAACTTCTCTGGCATCGTAGTTGACACAGCAAGATTCAGATGTGGTAGTCTCCGAAGGTACGGTGCGCAGGTAAAGGAATTTCATCTAGACCTTGGTGTATCTGTGCATCCATGTGCTGAGAGGGTCATGATAGTTACACAAAACTTGGGTTACAATTGGTCTTCTATATATTATGCCAATTATGACTTATCTGGCTATCAGCTTGTTTCCCCTATACTAGGCCTCTTAGCTTATAATGCCGGTACTGATGTGAACTTCAGCAACCCTTTTGAGCTTGGAATTGAAGCTGCTGAAAAACCCATCAGAATAGACTTCAGAAATATCACAAGGGTGAACAACGAATTGGGTACAAGGCCATTATGCGCTAGTTTTGAAGGTGCCGGCAAAGTGGCTTTAGCAAAGGAGGCTTCTCCTTACATTTGTATTGCAAAAAGGCATGGCCATTTTGGGTTGGTAATTGAGAAGCCATCACCAGTGGAGTTGAACAAGAGCAAGAGAGTGAGCCCGTGGAAAGTGGCAGTAGGTAGCTCAGTTGGATCCGCTTTAGGTGTTTTTCTCTTGGGGCTGCTTCTGGTGGCAATGTTTGTGAGGGTGAAGAAGAGGTCAAGGATGGAGGAAATGGAGAGAAGGGCTTATGAAGAGGAAGCTTTGCAGGTATCAATGGTTGGACATGTTAGAGCTCCTACCGCATCGGGCACTCGAACAACGCCAACACTTGAGCATGAGTACATACCTCCTCCTCATTGAGTTGCATTCATTTTTGTTCAAACTTATTCTTTTTGTAACATTAGCTTGAAATGAAAAGGTATTCAATGTTTATTTTGAGATAAATTTGAATTTAACCAATTTTTACAAAGGTTTCCAGTGAGTGGAACAAGGGAATTCTACTTTCTGAGCTGTGGCAATCCCTTGTTCTTTTTACCTTAAAATGTATATTTAACTGGGAAAAATATAACATATTTCAACCTGAAAATAAAGTTGCATTTTTTCATCAAATTTTTTTTTCCAGTTTCAATGGCACACCATAAGTATATTGGCCAACAAGAACAGAGAATCTGGTAAACATGGGAAAGCTACACTCTCTAAGAAATTCCGAAATCTGGCTGAAAAAAGGTCTTCAATCTGGACTAGTGCAGATTAAGGTAAGAGAACAGAGAACACACAAAATTTCATTCAGATATGGAAATATAATGCAGAATTTTCTGAAATTTTATTGTGCTGCTGCTGGTGGTACTCCTATCCCACAGGACAAAAGTAGCAGAGCTTTGGATCTCCACTTTGATCAGATGCATGCAACCTTTAGAAAAAGAATAATTTGATTTCTAGTCACTTCTGAGATAAAGGCAAAGTCATCCCTCATCCCTTAACACAATGATTCTCACCTTTACCTTTCTTTATTGTGTCAAAGGCAATTCCATTGATGCTTCAAATTTCAAAACGCTCTTAACCCACCATTTACATTGAAACTGTCGGTGAAACAATGCTATAGGCCTGCCATGAATTCATTACCTATTTTATGTGATAGCTTTTGAAGCCCATACATACATATGAGTTCTACTACTTTCAAGTGAAGAACAATTGGGCAGGTGTAACACTTGCATAAATTCCTTTGTTAGGAACATACAAGCAATATTGGAGAAATAGGGCGAATGTTTTTAATCATTTGAGCTTTCTTGCCTTGCATTAGATATTCAAATTTTTATTATGTGACAACGAAAAATCATAACCTTATAAGTAGACCTAACAACATTTCGTGTTGTGTGAAATTATCTTCACGTAACCTCTCCGGTTAACTTTTCATGTCTAAAGTTATGAACTCAAACCATTTAAAAATTTTGCGTGTCATCATGTCATGATTCACCCGCTTACCCATTTTGCTTTATTTTTTCGACAGAACTCAAAAATATAAGACCATTTGATACCAAGTAATAGTATAACATAAAGAAAGCATCTTACAATACGACAGAAACTTATGTCAAACACATTACATACAAATGTTGAACCAAAGTACCAAAAACCATACGTAAGAAAGAAATAAATTATAGGCTAAGAGAATTTTCACAAAAAATAAGAACTAAAAGCATATTGAATAAAGATACCCATGTCACTGTCGTGTTTTGCCAATAAACACCGATCCGACCTATTAAAAATCGTGTTATTATTGTTCAATCTGTTAAGGGAGAAATCTCAACCCAGTTAACATGGCTTGACCCGAACACTTAATTTTACTTCTTCGTATTGTGCTTTCGTGTGTTCATAATTTTGTCAGGTCTAATTATAAGAACGCATTTGAATATATTAGTAATGATCGGTCATCAAGAGATTGTTACTTTGCCTAAAAGCTTGTATTTCAAATGTTGCGCGTGCATCCCTAAGTAAACTAAACATTACTCAATACTTTTAAGATTAAGGCTAGTCGAATATGGTACTGCGCTCGCGCTCTTGCATCCGTGATTGAATCCACCTACCTATAAATTCTACTAATTCACTTCGTAAAAAAAGAAAAAGGGAAGAAGGATGAGTTAGTGAGAAGGCAGTCTCCTTATTAGATCAGAATTCCAACAAGATCTCAAGATAACCACTCTTAACTGTAAGCACATGCAACACCTCTTGAGATTTTGAGAAGTTTGTCTTCCGGAAAGTATAATATGATATAAAGGTTCTAAGTTGTTTTTTTTTAATCATATCCTAGCTGTTCTTTTCTATGCTCGGAATGATATCCTAGCTGTTTTCTTTCTGTAACATACGCCATATATTACATTTTGTTACCCTTTTATGATTTATATTTTACATGCATGCATCTTCACGCAACCAACATTCCTTATAAGCAATTAACTTTACAAATAAATTGTAGATAAGTTTATTTTATCAACAGATTCTTACAATTTCCTATTAAAGTAAATTTTCTTTTAAGCGAGCATGGCTTGATTCCTTAAAATTGAGGATGATCTCCTTCTTAAAACCAATGGAGTTTTGACACCGGTCAAATTCCAGCAATATTGACAAAGTTTCAATAAATAAATAAAAGAAAAAAGAACATTACAAAAATTTGACACTTTTTGAAACCACATTTATTGTAAGAATGAACTCTTCCTTAATTTTAAGGAGGCAAAAAAAAAACTTTTTCCATAACAAAATTGAATATATTATAACCCAAATCCTAAAAACCCACTCCAGTACTTAAATCCAGCATGCCTTATGTTTTTTTTAATGGAAATCCACATGCATCCCCTTGATTTTAAAGCAGACATGATCCTAGCATAATAACTACACAAAATATGCAACATGGGTAATCTATTCAATCTGAAAAACTTTCACCACCACATATATAAACTTACAAGCAAAACTTTCTATTTTATTCTATAGCAAAAATTTTGTACACCAAGTCCCAATTTATTATTATTTTGAAACTTGGTAAATAAATAAAAGGGAAACTCAATCCCCTAGTTTTGGTAGGTTTCTATAAATTTTCCTTGAGAAAAAGGGAGAGAGTTTTAGTTGTTTAAAGTGTGAAGCCTAAAGCTCCGGCCTTTAACTGTTTACCCAAAGCCCCTTACCACAATATAACCCCCTTATGATTTTCCCGGGATAATTAACTACTTTCTTACCTAGTTTTCCCGGGAAAATTACTAGTGAAGTCTCTAGCCATCAAACGCATCAACCCCTTTCCATTCTCTCTCTCTCTCTCCATCGCCATCCCAAACCATTCTCTCTCTCTCTCTCTCTAATACACACAGAGAGAAAGAGACACGCACATACACAGTGATCTTCCATGGACGATCCCGCGGCACCACTGTCGAACAACCAACCAGCTCCGAGAACCCCATCTTCGTCTTCGTCGCAGCTCAATCCGCCTCCGGCTGTGCCGCGCACCCCTCAGGCTCTGCAATCCCTAGCGCCATCTCGGCACATCGACCGAATGATCAACTCCAACCACCACCAATCTCCGTCGAGGACCATCTACTCCGATAGGTTCATCCCCAGCAGATCCGGCTCCAACTTCGCCCTCTTCGACATCTCGAATACTCCGGCCGAGGGCCGCGATGACTCCTCTAGCGCTTACGCCACGCTCTTACGCGCCGCCCTCTTCGGCCCCGACGCCGCCGGTGTCGTTCCTCCGGCGACGCCAGAGAAGCGGAACTTGATTCAGATGAACCCGCCCAGCCCCAACATCTTCCGGTTCAAGACCGAGACTCGCCGGTCCATGCACTCGCTCTCGCCGTTTGGGTTTGATGATGTGGTCACTGGGGTTCACCATAGCCCGGTCAAGGCTCCTAGGAAGGTTCCCAGGTCGCCTTATAAGGTAAATTTTATCAATTTCTGGTCTTTTTGGCGATTTAGGTTCGGTTGGTGTTTGAATTTTGTCAATTGGGTATATGGAGTTTTGTTTCTTGTTCAGGTTTTGGATGCACCTGCTTTGCAAGACGACTTTTATTTGAATCTTGTGGATTGGTCTTCGCATAATGTGCTGGCTGTTGGGTTGGGCAATTGTGTTTATTTGTGGAATGCTTGTAGTAGTAAGGTGAGCTCTAGCTTCACTGACTTTGCTTCTGTTTTCTAATTCTTACATTATTGTTGTAATTTTGTTTTGTTGAGTATTACTTTAGGCAAATGTACGTTCTCCAATGTCACAAGTCACAACCTTGTAGGTTTTTATGACTGTTCTGATCATCTAGTGTGTTCTTTTCTTGGTGTTAGTATGAAATTTTGCTAATTTGAGTCTTTTGCCTGTATAAATTTTTTTAACTTGATCATTGTATGTTACTTCCAGGTAACTAAGTTATGCGACTTGGGGATTGATGACAGTGTCTGTTCCGTAGGCTGGGCTCAGCGTGGGACTCATCTTGCTGTTGGAACTAGCAATGGGAAAGTCCAAGTAAGAGATACTTGTACATGATATCAGACATGTTGCATTCTTATAGGTTTAAAATTGAGATGCTATTTTTAATATTTTAATATTGCAAATTGGAATTAAAGGTGGACTTGCAACAACATCTAAACAGTAGGTGTTTTAAGCAACAAGTTTGTGACTTTATCATGTGGGATATGATCATCGAACAACATAATGCTTGAAAACTTTTATCTGAACTACGAAAGTTGTGGAAAAGTTTTGATATTACGACAAATAACAATGTCCTGTCTAGCTCAATAAAGGTGTAACAGCATAAACAAGCCCCTGTCTGGTCTCCTTAGCAGAGCCACTCCCTCAAATATTTTTGGTGCATAATTAGACATTATCGGTAGTACTTTATCATTCTAGAATCTCCAAGTATTGTTTTAATCTTAAGATTCCTTACTAGGTGTTCAGAGCTGTAGATAATCTATGTTACTGGTTTTTAGATATGATTATGAATAGGTTAACTGGGAACCTCCATCTCCTGCTCTTTACATTGTGACAGTGTCCAAACAGAATTGGATTCTAATTTTGGTGACTTTTTTCTTTTTGTGCACATTCACCCATTGATAAACTTTTGACTTGTGATCTGGTTATTTGGAACATGCCACTTCTGTATCCTGCCTTTGTTGGAACCAGATTACATTGTGTACAATAATCAGGTTATGATTGTAAATTTATGTGATAATTTGATATTCAAGACAGTTGCACGTGAGCAGTTTGTGGGTTAAGTTTTGTGCAGCATTACAACATGAACTTCATATCTACCAACCTCTTAATATCTAATTCTTGGCATGTTAGTTTTACTGTTAAACTTGTGCATTTGCATATATGCTGCTGAATGATTAGCTGATGCACTCATTACCTACTCTGTAGATTTGGGATGCATCTCGTTGTAGGAGGATAAGAACTATGGAGGGCCATCGGCTGCGCATTGGAGCCTTAGCCTGGAGTTCGTCTATGTTGTCCTCTGGTAGCCGGGACAAGAGTATTCTTCAACGTGATATTCGTGCTCAAGAAGATTTTGTTAGCAAACTTTCCGGACACAAGTCAGAGGTCAGAATCCTTTATTTCATGTTCAGTTTGATTGAACTTGCGAGTTGAATAAAAGACTGCTAAACTTTTTGGACTCGAGTGTGCTTTCATGAATGTTACTCATTCTAATCCTTCGGTTTTCTAATTTATACTTTGGGTAGTATACCAGTTGTTATGTTATTATCATATATGCTGCATGCGATATTCTGTTTAATTTATATTTTCTCGGTCTGAAAATAATTTTATTGTTCTTTAGGTTTGTGGACTAAAGTGGTCTTACGATAACCGTGAGTTGGCATCAGGCGGGAATGATAATAGGGTATGCTACATTTTCCTTTCAGCCTGACTTACGCTATGTGCATTGTAATTTGGTCATGCTTCCTATTCATAACTGATAATTTGTCCCTTGTATATACAGCTTTTTGTTTGGAATCAACATTCAACTCAACCGGTGCTGAAATACTGTGAGCATACTGCAGCTGTGAAAGCTATTGCATGGTCTCCCCATCTTCATGGACTTCTTGCATCTGGGGGAGGAACTGCAGACCGGTGTATTCGTTTCTGGAATACAACCACTAACTCACACTTGAGCTGCATGGACACTGGAAGTCAGGTGAAAAACTTGTTGGTTTGCTTAATATGCTTACTTTTCCTCTTGGTTTGCTTTAAATATTCATGTGGAAAGGAAGCTTTGCCCTGTGGGGAATATTTAGTGAACCTAAACTGATTGCACTGGGTGCCATTATTTCAATAGTTCCCAAACTTCTTCTTTCTTAACATTGTGCTTTTTCTATTGAGTAGATCATTCCACCTAATATAGAATGGTGTAACTTCAATTTTTTACTTTGAACTTTTCCATATATTGGTAAAGGGAGAAAACTGGGGTTAACACATTTGCAACTTGAATCTGATTAATTTTGCTGTGTTTTGCATCTAGATGCTGGATGAAAGGAAGAAATATGTTACTCAGAAAAACATGGATTCATCTCATTCGTGATGCTAAATGCTGATATATTTCTGTTCATAGAAATGAAATTAGTTGGTGACTGAAATCCCTCCCCCTCCCTCTTTCTAACATGGACTGTGCTTCCATCCATTGTATATATGCAGGTATGCAATCTTGTGTGGTCTAAAAATGTCAATGAACTCGTCAGCACCCACGGCTACTCCCAAAATCAGATAATAGTTTGGAGATATCCCACCATGTCCAAGGTACCAAAGTGCCAAAGTCTTGAGAATTCCTGTAACCAATAAATGTCTTTACTTCCATTTCTAATTTTCAATTTTCTTCTGCTGATGCAGCTGGCAACTCTTACTGGCCATACATACAGAGTTCTTTATCTTGCTATCTCACCCGATGGACAGGTAATGTACCCCCAATTCCTTCTAATCACCTGCCATTTTATGGTTATGCAAATTAATTGACGTTCCTTTATGCATATTCTGATCTATTACATTGATTATTGCTGTTTCAGACGATTGTCACTGGAGCAGGAGATGAAACACTTAGATTTTGGAATGTATTTCCTTCCCCTAAATCCCAGGTAAAAAGACTCAATAGTTGACGGAAATTAATGCATACTACATGCCATCAATTTGGTTAATAGTTATTCCTTATTTCTTAGTAATTTGACTAGGGTATAATGTATATATAATGAGTGGCATTGATTATTCTGCTTTTGTGGTGAGGAACTAATTGTGTTCCATATCCTTGACATTCTACTGAGAACGTGAATTAAAATTGGTTTATGCAAGTGCTCTATATTGCATTTAGTTGTTCCCTGTGTTTTTCCCTTGCTCATGTAAATCAAATTATTATTGCAGAACACAGAAAGTGAAATTGGAGCATCATCACTTGGACGAACTGTGATCCGGTGACCTCCTGCAGGACTTCGATACCAACTTAGCAACCTTCGCAATTGCTCGTATTGGCCGAGGAATGGGAATCCAATGAGGATGATATGTCATTTCTTTTTGACATGATAAAAGAGCTGATCGGATGGTAAACTTAAATCAACCCACAAATGAACAGAGATTTTACTGGGACCCCAAAGGCTAAGACAAGAGTTGAAGCGATGATTGGTTTAATCTTTTTCAAATGTTTATTTATTCTCTTTTTCCCACTTCAGTAGTCGAAATATGTATAGATCGAGAGGGGGGTTATCAATTATTTTCACCTTCTCGGTGCTCCCTTGTATATTTAAAGAGAGAATATTGAAAGATAAGTTGGTCATTGTGGTGTAGTATCTTCACATTCTTTGTAAATGGATCACAATTATTTCACATTTTTTGCTCCAAAACTATAGAAGTTGGCGACGTCAAGGACAATGTTTAAGCTCAAATTTATACTTAACTCTTTTAAACAATTTTAAAACTTATTGGTCATATATTATCCAGCATATATTCATTGATGAGATATTATCTATAAATACTTATATTTGCCTACTTATTCCCTTTGCATACTTTTTCAGTTGCTCTCTCGGAACACTCTCTTTACTCTCTCTCTCTCTCTCTCTCCTCTCCTCTCTTCTCCTCTCTGAAAATTTTGGTTTATTCTTCGAATCTTTGCTCTGCTCTCTCAGAGATGAAACCCCAATCATTCATCTCCTTTCCTTTTTTCTGCATCTTGTGGGTTTCACTTCTCTTCTCTCTTCTCTTCTTCTTCCCCCTTATTATTCTCTCTCTCTCTCTCATTTGGGCCATCCTAATGTTCAACTTCCAACACTTTTGAGAGCCTTTTCTGCCACTTGGATTTGCTTAAGAGATGGATTTTCCTCAAGTATGTCGTGATCGGCTTGGTGTAAAGAATGAGAAAATCAATTTGTATGGAACTCGCCCAGAACATTGTATTGCCTCCGTATAGTATTATACGTATACTATACTTTTCGTTTTTTTTTTTTTTTTTTTTTTTTTAATGGTATAGCCGTGCGGCTTTCCTATTTTTGACACGTCCTTTTTCAATATATATAAATAGTATAGCCGAACGGCTGCACCAGATTCTATAATTTTTAACTTTTAAAATCGTTTAGCCGACCGGCTATCCTCGGGTTTATTAATGTTTTTTAAAAATAATATCGCCGAGCGGTTATACCTATTTTTTGACACTGGTCAAGCACGTATAAATATTATAGCCGCGCGGCCATACTCGATTTTTTAATTTTTTATTTAAATAGTATAGCTGACCGGCTTTACTGTTTTGACACGTGGCGCATAGGCGCTAACGGGTCATTTTAAATATATATATCAACAGTATAGCCGTCCGACTATACCCGGTTTTTAATTGTTTTTTAAAACTAGTATGGCCCGGCGGCTATACTCGATTTTAATGTTTCTTACAAATCGTATAGCCGGGCGGCTATACCAGCTATACCTATTTTGCCACGTGGAAGCCTAATCGCTAGGCTCATTCCCTTTATATATATATATATATATATATATATATAATATAGCCATGCGGTTATAGTCGATTTTTAAAATAAAAAATTAAAATAGTACAGCCGTCCGGCATTACTGGGTTTTTTGTTTTAATTTTTTTTAAATAAATAGTATAGCCGAACGGCTAGACTCTTTATATATTATTCAAGTATTATACACATAATTCTCACATGTATTTTTTAATAATACATTCGTGTTCTGCACACGTCTTAAAGACATGATAAAGTTCACATTTTTTAAAAGCAAATGTACAATACTCATATTATATAGGTTTGTAGGTATTTTTCAGGTTTAATACACATATTTTTATAAAAATTTCAATAAGACACATAAAATTCAAGTATTATACACATAATTCTAACATAATTATTGAATAAAAATAATATATATTAAAAAATATAGATAACTTATATTAAAATATAATATTGTGGCCAAACATTTAAGTTGTAATTTGCCAAAAGTTCCGTATTTTACTAACTATGAATGAATGTATAGACGCGCGGCTATACTCGATTTTTTTTTAAAAAAATAGTATAGCCCCGTGGCTTTGCTGTTTTGAAAAGTCGCGCCTAATCGCTAAGCAGGTCTTTTTTTAATATATATATATATAATTAGTATAGCCGCCCGGCGATATCCGGTTTTTATTTTTTATTTTAAAATAACTGCAATCCAAATTTAGTATGCAAATACCCCATGTACGCGCACATTTTGCAAATATAACTTTTAAATATATACTTATTGGCCACTTAACACTTTTTCTTTTTTCTCTCATCTCTCTCTCTCTCTGTGGGTCGCTCTATCTCACTTGCTGTGTTTGGATTTGAGCTGTTGGATTTATCTTGATCTGGGCTTTTGCGCCCTGTGGCTGGTCAAATCCATGATCATCAGCGTCCCGTGAACCCCTCTCCAGTGCGAACCACTCAACCTCTTGATGAAGAAAACGAGTGGGGTATGGCCTTTGGCATCTGTCTTCTTTGTTTTTTATCTAGTTCCCTTGTTTGGTTACTGAGAAAATTTTGTGGAAAGTGAAAATGAACGAGAAAAGCTCGAACCTTTTTGCCTGATTTATGTGGGTTTATGTAGTTTTGCTAAAATCACCTTATACTAATCCAATAATTGTGTTATGCTGAATTCTTCTGTTGGGTGATGCTTAGACATTTAAGTTGGTTTGGTTATTTCTATTTTTGTTACGAAATGGAAAGCAGAAGCAAAAGCTTTGTTAGTATTAGATGTGGGTTTGGCATTGCAATTTGAATTGGTTAGCTACATGATTGCCTAGAGGATCAGTAACTTGGGGATTATTTTCTGTCTTGTGAGTTTTGCTACCATAATTGGAATAATTTTCTTTTTAGTTTCTCTTCCTATTGGGTTTGAATGGTCTGATTGTGAATTTGCTACAATAGTTTCTCTTCCTTTTTTTAATATATATATATATGGGGGCGGATCCGTGGCAGTGTGGCACTACGTTTTTGACACAATTTTTGGGCCATTAGATTACTCCACTTTCAATGGTTGATAAATATTATTTGTCAAGTAGTTTTAATTTTTTTAAATAGACAATCATTAATTTTATTTTCTCTCTCATAAAAATAAAAGGAAATTTTTCTCTCTCCAAAAACTAAATACCCAAACCACTATCCCACTTCTCACGTCTCTCTCTCTTTCCTTTGATTGAATTGGCAAATGAAAATGATATGAAACCAGTAAGGTTTGCCTATAGCTTTGATCAATGAAGTATTTCATTGAATAAATTCTCTGATGACAGTTAGTTCTTCCACCTCTTAGACATTAAATAAAAAGTGAAAGGAAGAAATTTGGGAGGAAAATGAAAATGATATGAAACCACAATGCAAATATTAATTAAGAAGCTGGTTTGGAGAGAGAGAGAGAGAGAGAGAGAGAGAGAGAGAGAGAGAGAGAGAGAGAGAGAGAGAGAGAGAGAGAGAGAGAGAGAGAGAGGCGTCAATTCTCTGTAGAAGAAAGAGAGAGAATTAATTAATTAATTAATGAGAAGAGAGAAAATGAATTCTTAATTAATATGGTATCAGGATTTTAATCCCAATGTATAAATATTAATTAAAGAGAAAAATATTATTTTGCCATGTCATATTTAATCTCAACCATTAAAAGTGGAGTAATCTAATGGCTCAAAAATTGTTTCAAAACTTATGTCAAAAATACGGTGCCACGAATCTGCGTATATAAATAGTATAGCCGCGCGGCTATACCCGATTTTTTAATTTTTCTAAGCAGTATGCTATTCTTAAAAATAGTATAGCCGAACAGCTATATGCGATTTTTTTAATTTTAAAAAAGTATAGCCAAACGGCTTTACTGGGTTTTAGGGTGGATGGTATATGACCAATAAGTTTGTAAATGAGTGATATTTTGCCCAATTTCCCATTACAATTTGCATGTTCAATTTATGAGAAGATACTGGAGTAAAATGACTTATATACAACACTTTTAATTCCCATCCACCGGTCGCTATTATTGTCATTTTAAAAATGTTCATACACTCCAATAATAAAAAGAAGAGTGCATGATGATCTTTTCGACGCAACAATAATATTTCTCATATTCGGTGTAGAAAAGCATATGTGAATTAGGTCAGTCGATCAGGATCATGTGCCCACTTTCTCACACCATTCTTTCATAGTTTAGAATATTGTAGACTATCACTTATATTAAAGAACAAAAAACCATAATAGAAAAACATATTTCGAATCTATCTATTTAAATATTCATCTACTTTTACAATTTAATAGTTGATGCAAATAACGCACCAATTTAATAGTTCTACTTGGCAACTAGAACTGGAACATACTGATGATGGATAGCACAGCCCCATTCAAGAACACTGATTCATAGTGCTTGAATGGGATTTGGTCTGACCATGAATAAGTCTGACTTCCAAAAAAAAAAGACCTTTCAGAAAGCCAAAAGGAATAAATATGTTTCTATTTACATCAAATCAAACAAACTAAGGAAATTGTTTTAGTTTGTTTCTTGGGTTTGGCCCTCAAAGCGCTGCTGGGGACCATATCTAGTTTCATTTACATGGGGAAGCTCTTGGGGCCACGGAACCAAACTCAATGGTGGGAAGCAACAGCTACACTTTTCTTGGCATGGCTCTGGCAAGTCCCAGTTGCTTGGAGAAGTTTCCTCCTTGTTTTCCTGGTGGACCCCACCTGGCCCACTTCTACAAGGTGCTGCTGCATCACTGAGCGGACCCCAACATTCCACCTTGTTGAATTCTGGAATGCTTGAGTGGAAGTAAACCCCAAACCAAAGCCTCCTGCAATTCTGGGTAGTAGCTGAACAGATTGCCATCCCCATGAACAAAGGCCTTCAAAACCTATGTAGATATTGGTTTTAAATATTAATAAAGATCAAAAAGACAAAATTAATCAGTAATTAAGAGTAATTGATTATCAATTAATGACTTACAACAGGAAGTTCTTTGCAGAAGATGAAGTATCTCAGCCTTGCAAACAGATCTAGAAGGAAATGACCTCCACTTATGTGGCAGTGAACATGAAGAGACATCTTGTCCTTAACTTTCTTCCACTCAGCCACAACTTCATCTCTCTGTAACTTGTTGTACCACCCTTGCAACTGCAAATCAATTTCCCCAATTATCAATCCAAAAAATTTCTTTTTTATCTACACCAATAGCTAATAACATAAACAAACAATCCCCTCTTTGATTTCCTCTGTAAAATTTTTTACTTGAGCCTCAAGAAAAACAGACACAACACACAAGTAAGGGCATAAACCTGAGAGTTGTCTATAGTCTGTGAAACTGCCAGAGTGAGTTTTGAGGTGATATCACTGTGAGTAAGGGTGTAAGTTCTTGGAAGGCTCCCTGGGTGCTTCTTCTCATCCACTCCTAAAAACAGAACCTTCAGCTTTGACGCTTCAAATATGGCTGGCCCAAATAGCCTTGCAACCTAATCAAACAAACCCACAAATCCATTTCAACCATTCTTGTCCAAAATAACCCATACTCAAAATAATAATAATAATAATAAACCCAAGAAACAATTTTGTGAATTTTTTTTAATAAATAAAAATAAAAAATAAAAAATAAAAAAAATAAAAAGAAGCTTACAGGAACCATGGCCCTGTTTCTTTTCTTGGGTATTTTTGTACAGTGCAGGAGAGAGCCTCTGTGATCAGATAGAGGGAGTGAAGGTTTGAAATCCGAAGGAAGCACAGAGGAAGCAGCAGTCAAAGTACCCATCTCTGTAGTCAAGAGACTTGGGTTTTCTTTAGACACCCACTCTCTCTTGGCTCCAATCTTTTTGGCATCCAAATAAAGAAAACACAATGAAGTCTATGGAGCTGCGGCAGTGCTGCTTATCTTAATTAATAAGATTATAACACAAGCACAGAAAAGGAGAAGTCCTTACTGAAACTTGGGTGCTTTGCTTTTGCTTTTGCTTTTGCTTTGAGGATGATTTTTGGGTTAACTTGTGAGCCCAGCGTTTGAAACTTCGAAGATTTGCCCATTTGAGTTTGAGACGTGTCCGTTTGGCAAGTTTTGCCGCAGATCACGGACCACAGGTTTTTTTTTTTTCGGTATATTGGTGATTTTTTGCCCCCGAACTTGTACTTTATTTTCAATTGACCCTTATATTTTTCTTTTTAAGAAAATTAAGGACCCGAACTTTTTTTTTGCCAATTTCCCCTCCGTCTAAATTTAATAGGGGTGGCATTTTAGACCGTAAAACCGCAAAAACCAACCGACAATTTACCGCAATGTAACCATAATCGCGGGAAACCGAACTGCATTTGCGGTTGCGGTTGCGGTATTTGATTTTCAAAACTTGCGGTTACTGCAAACCGCGACTATATTTATAAATATAAAAAAATTGCATTTTGTATATAGCATTGATGCTCAAACAACACAACGGGGTCCTTCAAATCTATTCACCACCACCAACACTTGAGTTTGTAACTTTAATTTGTAATATTGGTGCATTACATTTTCCTTTTAGTTTGTAACTTTAATTAACTTTGAATTAGATTTTTCCTTTGGGTTGTAACTTTAATTCATTTTGCATTACATTTTCCTTTTGGTTTATAACTTTAAAGGATTTGGAATTGGAATACTTGAGAAGTTGAGGTTGTGAATGTTTGAGAAGTTGAGGAGGTTGAGAATTTATATATGCTTGAGAAGTTGAGGTTGTGAATTTATATTTTTGGGTTAAAGTATGCTTGAAATCAAAAGGCTTCAAAAGAAGCATAAAAATTAGGCTTAAAATGTGGAACATTGGATTTTTATTACACAAAAATAACTTGCGGTTTTAAACTGCTAAATCACGATAATCGACCGTTTTTTGCGGTTTCAAAAATCATCATAACACAAATAGTTGGTCGGTTTGCGGTTTGGGCAAAAATTTGCGGTTACCGAACCACCTCCACCCCTAAAATTCACAACATTTCATCTAATTTGCCGTTGAAAATGAAGGCAAAATGGTCATTTTGTACATTAAAAATAAATAAATAATGAATAAAATTAAAAACAGAAAATTGAAGTTCTCTCTCTCCAGGCTTGCGTGGGGATGGGGGGGGGGGGGGGGGGGGGGTGGTGGTGGTGGGGGCGCTCAGGAATAGGATGGGTTTGGGTGCCAGTGGTGTGTTGGCACTCAAAGGATTAGCAAGCCTTATTATATACATACATACAGCCAATCCTTACTCTAGGAAGTCTGGTCGAATGGTGTTCACCAAATTATTTGGTCAAATGGAAATTTCTATGGAAATATCGGAATATTATCGATATCGATAAAAATTAAATAAAAATCACGAAAATTGTGAGAAAAACTTGGAAATTTTTCTTGAAACTTTGTATGATGTTTATTTAGTTAATTATCACAGAAAATGGAAGGAAATGCATTGCATGATGGGTTTGACTTATTTAAGTTGATTATAGAGAGTATTACCAGCTGACATAATGATACAATACCATTCTATAATTTCTCCAAAGAAACAAACAAATTTCTCAATCAACAATGTGGCCCCTCAATCGAAGTCATAATAAGTAGGTATGAGCATGCCTTCCAGCCCATTTTGGCGACCAGTGAGTGGCAAAAAAAAATGGAAGGAAAATTGCTTTCTTTTGAACCCAAAAAATCTCAAGAATGTTAATATATTTTTAAGCCAACCATTATTTTCTATTGAAGAATAGTATTTATTTAATTTTTCAAAGTAGTATTTGAAGACGTGTAATCTTAACTTGCCAATAAATCTTGTTGTGTTAGTGTTAGTTTAGGAGTGTGACTAGTCATCCGTTGTCGTTTTCATAATTTAGTCTTTGTGTATCAAATGCTTCTTTCTTGTATTCTACGCGTTGGAGGCTTTCTGTTCACTCATCAGGACTTGGATACATGTTAGTCCAAATAAAAACAAAAGAGCTGCCGACCAAAACAGATATATTTTTTCTGTTATTTCAGTGTTTATAATTTGTAACTACATTGCATGTGCTTTTTATTTCAGTGTTTATAATTTATAAGTACCAAGTTTCAAGAACCCTACACCAGAAGTCCTTACGTTTGGTAAGCTGCCAGCACTTCCATTACTCGTCCAAATCACCCACTTCTATGATTTGGGTACGAGGCCTACCGTCCACAAAATAGGACTGCAACGTCTACCCGTCAAAGGCTTGTTTGTATTCTATTTAAATTCAACCTTTTAAATTTAAAAACAGAATTTAAGTACAAAGCTCAAAAAAATGTGTTCGGTGGTAGGCCTAATTTTGTAAACCTAAACTCAAAAAAATACTATTCTGTTTGTTTAGAATTATAAGTAGAACATCTAATTACCCAGTTTCAATAACTATCAGAAGGGTCCGATTTGTCAATTTGGGATGGGAAGTTCAGAAACACAGGTTTTCACACCCTTACCCACCAATGGCAGAAGCTCCTTGTCTTGTATTCATGAAAGCATATAGACATGATAGCCTTTTTGTTGCGGTGAACTTTTTCTCCAAAATGACATTTTATACCATATTCTAGAATTTCAGATGCCACGCGTGAAGCTGATCTACACTACTTTTCAAGGGAATTTTTCAAGAAAGAGTCAATTTCTTTCTAAGATATCTCAACTCCAACCATACTCGATATGCATCTAACGCATTAACCAAGAGAACGTGAATACATTAGACAAAGAATAATAATTACTAAAAGCCTATATATACATGGAATGATTCAATGCTAGGAGTAAAAATTAACTTTATAGAAGATCAATTTAACTTCCATGAAATACAATCATTCATATGTTGTTCCAATTTAACTACAAGCAGAACTTCAAGAAAAATAATAATCACACATTTAACTGTATTCTGCATTTAGCTTTAAATATTAAGATCTATACATTATATATTGAACTGTTTAGCTTCACAATTATTTCAGGTGCACACCAAAATCTTGTGCGACCATCGGGAAGCTTTGCAGCTGCAGTTGCAGGTTTTTGAAGCTGTAAACTTTTATTATCACCAATACTGGTATTGAGATGATCCTAAGGGTTTTGGCCACTTCTTCGTCTTTCAGGTGGCCCAATCACCAAGTCAGTCTCCACATCCTCCATATCTGGTGTCCGGGGCTGGCGTACTGCACAATTCTCTCCATCTTTAAATGTGCTTGGAGGACCAGGCGGTTGCATGCCACACTGGATCAATCCGTCATACCATTAGTAAGTAAATCAATTGGCTTATTTTGGTAATTTATGATCAGTTTATGCATCGAGAAAGGTTCTCTCTTAGACTTTCTGGTATTTATGTTGTCAAATTGTGAATATGATTCATTTCAATTGGAATTATTGATCACGTTAATTCTTACTTCAGTGCATGTATGAATCAGATTCACAGCTCAACAACAAAAGTTTGACAAGACATCGTTACTTGTCATAATATATATATCCATTTAATCACTTATGCTGTATTGGAGATCATCATGAACCCAGATTGAATGCGGCAAAGAATTACATAGGGTGTGTATACCATGTTGAAGTTGAAAGTTGTTTATAGAAAGAAGATTTGATTACCTTTTCCCGTAGCTTAGCATTTTGTTCAAATAGGTTTTTCTCCTGATCATGTCAAAACAAAGAAAATGGCATTAATCTATATCAGCCCTTTCTGATAAAAAGAATACTTATAAGTTCTAATACAGCACTTATATTTAATTACCTCTTCCTTTAGCTTCTCTATCTGCTCCCTCAATAACTGAGTCTGATAATAGGCAAAACAAAGTGCATTAGTTTATGGTCATGAATCAAAGTACATACTACACACACATATGTAACATTTTAGGACCATAAGCATGTTTTGCTATCATACTATAAATTTGGACCACTAATTAAGTTCGTTTTTGCCTCAATATATGCGATCAAAATTCACGGTCTAGCAATATAAGCATCCTTAAGTTGTCACATGGTTTGTTGTCTTACACTACAACATTCACATCCATATATTATAACTATTTAGTTTCTCCACTTAACAGTTATAAATTTTGGATTTGATTCGCCAATGTGATATCAACGTCATAACCACCATGTGTCAATTAAAAGAGTGAGATATTCGTTAACAAACCACCCAAAGGAGGAGAAAAACTTAGTTGCTGCTATTCCCAATATCACGCGTCATAGCATTATTGACCAGAGATAGCAAAAGTGTTATTCCTGTTTCATATAAGTCTTTCTCCCAAATTAGGCAAGAGGGGGCCCACAGTAGAGATCCACACGGAGTAATATTCACACAATTAATGCTATCTTTGCTGCAAATTGTATGCAATACATAAAGAAAACCAATTATGTGCAGACCGAAAGAATGAAAAAGAATGCATGGGCCTTCATATGATAAAAAAAAAAGTACCTTTCTAGCCCTAATTTTGCTTAAGCTTCGCTCCAATTGGTTCTCTGTCTGCTGCAGTTCCTCTATCGAACATGATTCCAAACAATTACCTAAGAGCTTCCTACACCATATGCATTAAATTATATGGATATTTTACATACTAATATTTAAACCTCAGACCAAAACGAAACTCTGATTGCAGTATACAAAACTAGAATAAGCTTCTTTCGCCAATATATATATATATATATATATATATATACAAATTTCAAGTTGAGCATTGAATTAACTGTTTAGAAGCTTCAATAAAATCAATCTTCTTCGCCATGCTAGAAGTGTCATCCTTCCCATGCTGCATGCAAATCCAATAATTAACAAAAACTACAAGATTATCG